AACCGAAATTATTTCGGGTTCAACCGGATTTTGGACATGTTACTAAACCCGAACCGAACCTGACTAAATCCGAACCGAATCCGACCCGAATTTTTATAATATCCGAATGGGGCTGAAATTCACGAACCCGAAAACCCGAAACCCGAATGAACCCGAACCGAAACCCGATTGGGACCCCGATTGCCCAGCCCTAGGTATAGCATACCTCAAAAGGAGCTGATCCCAATCGGAATAACCCGCGTCTTCGAGATTTTTCTCGGTAACACTCCTCTGGGCTTCGTCTCGGCCCGTTAACAGAATGATAGTGAAACCAAGTTTCTTGAGACCTTGGTACAGTTTCAAACTCGCAACGTAACCTGGGGTTGTACCTTGTACCACCCACTCATTGAACTCTTTCGAGTTGAACGGCTCAGCCCTAAATTCATCAGAAACAAATCAATCCGTGTGGTAGGGAAAAAAAAACAAAGCGATTAAAATATCACATAAATCTTAAACCCTAGAATCAGATCTGACTACACAAATCTATCGGTTAATAAAGTTCGTCAAACAATCATCACAACCGTTGTTATTTACAACTTGGCCCTAGGCCCCAAGTTTTTAAAGTTAAAATAGTTTTTTTTTTCCGACAATTTGGCGGCCTACGTGACTACGTCTATGTATATTAACTGTAATACTGAGAGTATTTACCCGTAAGTATGAGCCTTGTAGTAGTCGAGGTTCGAGAGAAGAGTCTCATCGACGTCGAAGACCCATGCGTCCTTACCGTCTCCGCCGATCTTGACCGTTTTAGCGAAGTCGAGGGCGTAACGAGCGACTACATTGTAGTCATTGTCGAACTGACCTTTGTTGTAATAGGTTTCAAGATAGCTAACGCATTCGGATGGAACCACCTTCCATGTTATGGCATTGTTGGTCTCAACGGCCAGTCTCCAGCTCTCACAGTAGGAATTAATGGTAGAGGGAGACTCGACGGTGACGGGAAGCTTCATGACGCGAGAAGAGATGACCGGACTGATTAAGACGGTGAAAATTGCAAGAAAAAAGAACCAAATCGTGTTGTTATGAGAACAAGCCATTGGAGATGTTTTTTTTTTGTATTGTGCCAAGATGGGAGAAGAAGATGATTAGGTGCGTATTTATAGTAAAATCAATGTTGTCGTATACTAAACCATGTAAATGTTTTTGTTGTGGCCGTCGTATCAAAAGCACATGTGAACGTTGTTAATGTATTGTTAGTCGTAATTTACAAACTCCTCGTTTTGCAGCTGTCTAATTTTTTAATATTATCAATCTCTTTAAGAACCGTGTTATTAAAAAGTCACTAAAGGTTGAATATATTATCCGGATTACGACTTACGCATTTGGTGTAGATTCAACTCCTTTCCGCTATCAACAAATTGGATGTTTGAAAAATTCAGATCAGAATATAAATAAAAAAATTCCAATCCGTGGACAAGATGCATCCATAAGAGCATCTTTAACCTCATTCAAATTTTTACTCCAAAAGTAAGTTTCAGTAACAAATGCTCCGTAATGAAATAATATAGATTCACTCCATAAATAGATATTGGTATTAAAAAAAAGATATTGGTATTTAGCTCTATGTTCCTAACACAAAAGAATAGAGTAAATTTAGATTTACTTCATAAATTGATATTGGTATTAGTGTTTTGCCTTTGCCGAGTTCAGATGGAGCCCATATAAGAATATGTAGTGTAACTCTGAAGCTGTAAGCCATGCAGTTTTCAAGAATGCCAACCACCTTGTATTCAGAGCTACAAGAGTAATGACATATGTATAGGGAAAAACAACAGTATTCGCAGTTTCGTTTGCATTTTGCTAAGCTTATACATTAGTATGACCGAAAGTCTTAGGCCTTGATAGCCTCACATTTCAGAGAAGGTTTAAAAGTGGCCATTATCCAAGTTTGGGCCTTGAGCTCTACGACATTATCACACTAAACCATTCTTGATGCTAACCCAATGCTAACCCAATTTACATAAATTTTGTACATCATCGATTTTAATCCAACCTCGAGTTAGCAATGTCCCTGGATAATAAAACTTTTGTAAGAATTAACCTTGTGAAAAGTGAAAACTAATAGATCTGACCATCCTTTCTAGTTTTTTATATTCTTGTATTTATGTTTCTATCCGTTATGAGGACTACTTTGTTTCAGGTTAATGAGTTATGATGTTAAAAAGTGTTATACAAAAAAAAAAGAATAATATTTGACCAAACTATTTTTAAAATAAAAATAATCAAAGAATGAAATAAATGAATAATCAACACAACTGAAACACACAAAAAATAATAAATAAAATAAATAAATGTGACACAGACAACACAAAGATCGTTGTCTATACCATTTTCTTTCAATGTTGATTTTTCACATATCAAATTGATCAAGAAAATCAATAAAAACCGAAATTAAGCATCAGAGTAATCGTGGATCGGCCTTTGTTAAGTCAAAGTGTATGTGTCATTTAAGCCTTCTGTTTTTTCATGAGAGGGAACTTTGGTCGTCGTGACATAGTTCCTTGCGGAGCTTACGAGAGAAGAGCTGACATGCGTCGACGCTTAGGTCAACCGCGGCGGAGAGAGCAACGAATAGAGCTGCGTCCGCCATGCAAGTCACGTGTTGTGCTCCCACGTGCACCACCGGCTTGCTAACTTTCCCTTCTCCTTCAACGTTCGATCCCATTACAAACCCTTTCACCGGCGATGATCTTGCCGGCGACTCTCCCTGTCCACTCACTCTCCTGTCAATGATGAACTTCCCTCCTTGCTTGGTGCTCATTGTTCCTGTCCGGTTAAAATATCCATTATTAGATATATTAAGAGCCACAATACCGTGATATGTGTGTTACCAAATCATGTAGTGCCAGTTACGGGTAAATTTGGATTTTAAAACTACTATTCAAAGGATTACTAGTATATAATATGGACTATTTTTAGTAACTGGGACTAAGAACAATATTCAGTATTATGCATACATAGTTATTAAACATGTGTATTTAGACCTTAGGTATATACTTTCAAGATAACTTTGAATATTTTTCTTTTGAATACGAAGAGATTTTGGACTAAAACCGGTAATAATTTTATATCTAAAACTACAACATCTTATATTAGTTTTGTCATAAGCATTGCTCTATTATGCAACCTTTAGACTTTGTCGATGATATTTTTGGTTGAACTATTAACACTTGGTCAACTTTAGATATTCTTAGTAATAAGTATTTGGATATTTCCCAAGTTAATTTTAGTTTCTTCCTTTGTTAAAGAAAATGATATGTATTTACGGGCCAGGTATGGGTCTTAACCTGACCCAATGTGACTAACATTAGTACATGGTATTAAAGATTAATATTATTACCTTCAGCAATAGGAACGCCGGTGCTAGTACTGTTATCCGTCACAAGCTCGAACTTGTAACCCAATCCATCAACGGCTCCTCTCTCACGCCATGCCTCGAGCCGTCCCCACGGTTTCCAGCTGCTGACACAAGTCCCATGTGGTCGTAAGATAAGCCACGCGCCTGGATTGGATCTAGAGACACGGTCTGATCCTGGAGAGGCCACGAAAGGAGTGATCATGGAAGCAGCTGCTACAGGAGATCCAGACAAATCATGGATCGTTATCATCCAACCTTTTCTCTCTCTCGCTTGTTTCTTCTCCCATTGGTCACCTGATAATGTTCTCGTGATCCATCCTCTGCTACTGTACGTGAATCCCGAAGGTAAAGACCTTAAAAAAAAAAAGACATGAAGTGATTAGTTTGATATATTCAAGCATTATTTTAATTACAGAAGTGAACACATGAGTTGGTTATTACCGAGATCTTCCGTTACGGTCGGAACTAAATTTGCAGCTGAAGACAGGCTGTTTAATATTCCCTTGAATCTGATAAACCACGGGACTACATTCCGGTTCACCTCCAAATTGAAACACAAACCGAGGATCCGGTTCAGCACGGACCAATAAATGTAACCGAGCAGACGGTTTATCTCCCTCCCCACCTAGCTTCTTCCAGCCGTTATGGAACGCGACGGTTCTCGAAAGCGCCGCCGCGAGATCCACAGCTACTTCAACTCTTCCCAGTAGCTTCCCCGAGGCGACGCCGCAAGTGTGTCCCGTACGGCCGGCGTAGACAGAGACTCTTAGCGAGATCTTCTTGCCGGAGACTCTTCGGATCGCGTCGGCGTCTAGGTGGAAGCCCGGAGCTGAAGTTGAGGAATCCGGCGGAGAAGAAGCGTCGGAGAAGGAGGAGAGAGGGAGGAGAGCTCTCTGAGAAGGGAAATGTTTGATCCGGAGTTTGCAGTAACACGGCGTGGCGGAGGGATGTACTTCGCCGCCGACTTGCTTGTTGGTCGCTGTCTCCGGTAGTCTGAGAGCTAGAGAGTCTATTGTGAGTCGTACAAACGGACATGGATCCATCACATATGAATCTTTTTGAGCTTTTCTTACTCTTCTTGCTTCGAGTTTTTGAAGATAATTTTGGAAATTTTAAAGAAGTATGAATAGTTGATTTTTCATGTGGTGAAGGGTGGAAAAATAATGTGTCGTCGTCGTCGGTCGTCTTCTTGCTGGTTCTCGTTTATGTAGCAACATGAGAATAGTGGGACCAATAAGTTATCTATTAGAAAAAACTATAAGCAATAATTTCATTTCATTTTCATTGGTCGTATTTTTATTTTTTTTTATTTATCGCGGGAAATTCGGCGGTACAATAAAACATTTAATCATTTTCATTATTTGGTAATTTCTTTAAGGTTTGTTTATTTTCTTGTTGAAGCACAAATGTATCATGATTCATGAATCTTGCATACATTTATTATAGTTATTATAATAAAATAAAAATTAAGACCTTACTGATATAAAAAACTAAGACCTTATTGCATGCTTAAAGTTTTGATTAATCATTGCGATAATGACAATCATATTTATTACTTAAAAAATTAATTATATTTTGATAAAAAGAATTATAATGATAAAACCCTACTTCGGAAAACAAAGTGGTATAAAAATACATAAAATATAAAAAATGTAGGGTAACCATATGAAATATCCACCTTTGTGCAGAAACTAGTTTATCATAATATTAAATAAACGCAAACCATGATTATATTGATTTGGAAATAAAGAAAATAAATAAATGATAGAAGAATCGAAACAGAGCAAGCGACGAGTTTGCATGGAGGGGTTCACATGGGCCCATTTCCAGCTGTATTGAGTTGTTCGTGGGTGGCGTGACGGTAATTTGGGCTAACTATTGGGCCACTAATAAATAAACGAAATATAAAATTAATCCGTCACCGTAACGCCGTCAGGATCGTCGGCGGGAGAGAAGGAGGAGCGACGTGGCACTCGCTGGCTAATTTTGTCGTCTTCCGCCCGATTTGTTCGGCGCGTTAGATCCTTCTGTTTGTTGACGGCGCTTTAGTTTAGTTGGTGGCGTTTGACTGACATTTATCTATTGTGACTTTTATTTTTTGCTAAAATAATTTCTTGTTTTTATTTGTTCAAGTCCGACGACATGTTGACAAAAAAAGTCCGACGACATAATAAAAATAAAATTTATTTATTCGAGATCAATTATCTCGTTACTATGTAATATTGAATGTCCATACTCGGAAACCACATGGAGAATATTTGAAATTTCTACCAAACTTAAATTAATTTCATGAAGCTAGATACCAATACAACCAATTAAAACAAGATATATAAATATATATATACATCAGACATATAGACGCAAAGGAGCCCACGTCCTGCATGAAGATTACACTATTGAGACCGACCTTGGAAAGTGATGGCTTACTGTCTAAGCAAAACAAATTAAAAAATGGATTGAATTTGATACATAATAGAAATAAGAAAATGAAACATGAAGACACATTTGCATCGAGTGTACTCTCATCATCGTTTTCAAGTTTATACGCATTTGCATCTTTGTTTTTGAAGAACTAGTAATGTGATTTGAGTGTATTTTCAGTCTTGATTTTAGACTTTAGTCACGCAATTATTAAACTGTTGTGAGATCGTCGTATTCGTTTACTATAGAAAGTAGTCATGTTGCTACAAGCCTACGACTATACGTAACTTATCATCTATTAATTTTGACTTCTGTTGCAGACATACTATATGTAAAATTATATCATTATATCATTTCTTACGGTCGTTTTAATGAAATATATCTATCTATATTTTGACAAAATATAAATGAAAATATATAAAGGATTTAGCGGTATATGTATAAAGGTGAAGATTTTTTTTTAATAACTGGAAAGTTGCTATGATACATCTTTTCCTGTCAACTGATGATGCACATCTATTTCAGGTCGAAAGCAACTCGTCAGCTCCGTTTATAGAAAATATGATATTATTCAGATCGTTAAATGCCAATATGTATAACTGTTAAAACGATTAAAAATAATAACCACAATAATTCTAATCATATGTAGCATGCAGAACTCATTCATATCATATGATTGATTGTTCACATAATACATCACTGGAGCAAATTCACAATACTTAAAATTCTAGTTGACTTCAGTTTTATAATATAACCTTTTTCACTTTCTTTTGATTAGGGATCAAGGAACTTGTATATGAAGCTTCTCTGGATGAATTACAACAAATTGATTACCTGTAATTGAATGCTTGCGCATGGTCGAAATGAATTTCTACAATATATGACTATTTGAGAACAGTATAATGACGTAAATTTTGTTTTGATACTTCCCTGTATAACATGATACATGAAGAACATTTTTGAATCTTGCATCATTAATCACGTCGTAAACAATGCATCAACAATTTGTATCACGTGATAAGAAGGCAAGAGGCATTTTGGTCTGTAAGAATAATATAAAAGGCTATTTTAAGTGGATTGTTACGAAAGTTACCGACCCTAAATGGTTTATAGGAATGGTCGCGAGACTCACGACTCACTAGTTACTTCCCATGTTGCCTCCACTGGAAATTATTTCTTTTGCCGTCCAAAACGAATACTTATTTTAATTACCTTCGGTTTTAACTTGAATATGTCATGTGTCAAACAGAAAAATAAAAACATATCGATCACGAGCAAAGATATGGCTCTCTTAATGTCAGCAAGGACATATCCAGATTCTCGTCTATTTCGCATTTGGCAATATCTTTATTAATATAAACAAAACATTTCTCAAGTTGCTATATCATGCACTCTCTATTGTTGAAGAAAATTCATAGCATTTATGTCAGTAACAACACTATTCCCACAAATGAAAACGAGACTTTGAATCTATGCGCTAGCCTAGCTATACTACTAGGAACTAGACCCTCATGATCCAACTTACATCAGGCCCCACTTCGATATGGATTTTGCTCGGATGCGAATATGGTTTTGGAAAACCATGTTCGGTCATTTGCATCCCAAGATTCTTACCTAACCCAAAAAATAATTGAACATATAAACTAGACTCCGAACTATGGCATTGCTAAGACAACCAAAGTTAAATTGACTTACTAACTTTCATCTAACCAATAAGCATCACTATTGAATCTTTAAATCACGAATTGTAGAAACATATTTTTTGACATGAATATATATACCATATAAATACTGAAATTACATGCTACCACTTTTGAACTATAATTTTATATGTTTCATCGTTTTGGCCGGGATGTCATGAACTTACCTTACCACTCTTTTCAACTTAAAAACTGAAAACAGTATTCCAACTGTGAGCTTAGCTTCATACACGCAATTTCCCTAATACACTGAGAATATATAGTTAATACTTAATACTAGTTGGAAAAAATCGACACAAGGCCCTGAGAAATAAGGGGCCTAAGGCGATTTTTAAACGGTTTCACCTAAAAATTTTTTTTTTACATATTTGGAGGCCTAAAATTTTTTTTTTGGGGCCTATGTATATGTAATTTTTTTCAAAAAATTTGGGGGTCCAAGGCGAATGTTTCCTCCGGCTTGGCCCAGGACCGGCCCTGGGCCCTATTCAAATTGTCATGGTTTATTACGAAAACAGGAAAACAACTATTTTCCGACAATAAACATGCGAATTACTGAACCATAGATAGGTCCACCATTACTTTTATTTGCAATTTAACAAGCCCTGTCTTTTTTTTTTCCTCCTTTTTAGTATTTTTCTCTTGGTCATAAATTGATATTATTTTGTTCGTGTTTAGAGTATTTCCAATGCACAACTCTATATTTCTTCTAAAATAGAAAATTCTATTATAGAGATGATTTTTCTACAATGTACGTTTCAATAATATATTATTTATTTATAGTTGAAAATATATATATGAATGCTACTTAGACTCTATATTTAGAAATAAAAATATCATTTTTTCTATATTTTCTACTAAAATAAAGAATAGAGAAACTTACTATAGATGCATATATCGGAGTAAATGTATCTTTATAGTATAGTTTTTTTTATAAGAAAATTTAGAAATGAGATAGAGATGGACTTATATGCATCTTTCTATCACTTATTAACTTTGACATTTTTTCCTTTGGTTGCAAAAATGTCGTTTTCTTTGCTCCCCTTTTTACGGGATCCAACTTATCAAAATGTGATGGAATTGCATGTTCCTTTACTGCCATTGGTATGTTCCATCGTAATGTCTCCATCGGTCTAACAACACAAAAGGACCAATACCCCTTTTCTTTTACAGGCTTATTTTAACATTTACGCTATTCCTTTTCTCAGCAATATTATTAAAATATTTTAGTTTCTTAAAATCTGAGGATATTCTAGCCAATACAAGGGTTATACTTATCTTCAATGAAAGATGTAATCCACATATAAACCCTTTTTCGGAATATGCAAATGAACGGTAAGTTCATGAACAATTTAATTTAATTTCATGCATATGAGAATTAAATTTAAAATATGTTGACGTGCCATATTTTTTCCATCACCACTTGACAACAAATCCCAGATAATAAAGAAAAAATAATTCAAATTTTAGAAGCACCTTTAAAAGTTAGTTTCTGTTACAAATTAGAGAAGTTATGAACCAAATAAACAAAATAGAAATTATAGTATGGCCTCTATATTTTTTTGGTTGTATTTAATCATCAAGTTTTATTTACGTGATGATGCATGAAAGCTACTTAAATAGCCACCAACGACCAAGAAAAGTTAGAGAATATGAAACATTACAAATTTACAAGGACTGATACTTTATAAGTATATACATGATCATGAAGATTAAATCTTATAACGTATAGTATCTAACAACTCACATGATCTACCATGTTACACTTCATCAAATATATTTAATTACCTAAGCACTTGACAGTACTCTTCAATCAAGCTTATTTTCAGATATAATCCAAAAGAAAACCAAGTGGCATATCTACACAATGTGATCCCAGACAAATGCATATCAATTTTATAGCTCAGAAAAAGCCTCTGCCAATCTTATTTTAATATCGTTAAACATGTGTTTGTTTAGTTTGTATGAATACATACGATTTGTATATTTAACCTATAGTTTTACCAATAAATTATCCAGTTGGACGCATATCTAAGAGCATTTCATCAATTAGATGGACATAAAATGTAACATAAAGGAAAAAAGATAGTGATAGACTTTTTTACCGCCATCACAATGTACACCAACCAAAGCAAAATGTGTTGAATATATCATCCTCACATATTGAGATTCTTATCAACTTTTATTATAAAAATACAGTAATTTTCCTATTCATCTTCCACTTACACGCGAACAAAATACATTAACACAAATTGGAAGGACGTAAGCACGAGTCAGCAGACAAGAAGAGATACCGAATCGGGTCAAGATAATCTGGTTGGGACCCGTCACATGCATATGGACCCTCCCTACCTAATCCAAGCTAATAATAACCTCGATTCTCTCTTAATTACCTTAAATATTGAGAACACTATTGAAATAAAATAATAAATCTCAGATCTTTGATTCCGACCATATTCAAGAAGATCATGCTCACGACATAATGCTAATGTTTCTCCAAGTTTGATCTTCTTGAGATTAGATTCCCTGTGCATTGTCGTTCCTTTGTTTCTTGTTCATTTGTTAGGGTTCCTATTCTTACATTATTATTGTTTTTGGTATATAAACCTAGAAGTTATTGGTATGATTTATATAAATGAAAAAAAACAGGAATACACAGGAAAAACATTTTGTAAACAAAATATATAGAAATTGCTTAAAACAATTGAGCTTATGGCTTTGAGTTTTTTTTTTTTGAACACAATGGCTTTGAGTTGAATGCGGAATAATGGATGGAAGGGAAAGCCTTCTCGGCCCAATTCAGCATCTAAAAGGAATAACACTTGATGGACAAAAAGCCTCTAAATTACGCAAAATGTAGTAACTATCATTAACCAAAAATGAAATTACTTGGAACTAAATTTTTTTTCGCTAAATTGTAAACATCATTACTTTTTTTTCAACGCTAATTTATGTATTAATGATTATATAAACGGTTCAACAATACTACATGCCTTTTGATGATCTACACCTAATTGCATCACTTGAGCTGTTTTATGAAGATTCACATCTGGCCGAGTTTACTTGACCATGTTGACGATCCCTTATAAGTCTTTCCTCTTTAGTTTACATAATTGTTTATAAATCGTTTTCGCCGGAGATTGAAACCTGGACCTCCTAATGTAGAAGAAGCATTAAACCATTGATGTATCATTACTAGTAATGAAAGTTTGGTTACAAACTAAATGTGAAACCACAGTTTATTGAGACATCCATTTGATTCTAAGGAACCGCAAAAACAATTAAAAACCCCTAAAAACCTAGGTTATCAAGTCCAAGCTTGTAACAATAGAAAGCTTAGAAATTAATATGACATAATAGAACAAAGACAACAGTATGTTTTTTGAGAAAAAAAAAACTATGTTTTGGGGAACTAAACTAACTGATACAATATTTAAGAGAAAAAACTATGTTTTTTTGTAACTTTTTGTTGTCAAACTTATAAACTCTAAATTATAGTACAAACTAGTGGAAAATCAGTTAGTTAATGAACAAGTTATTTTACCAACGAGAAAGGTAATAAATACCGTGATAGTCGGTTAAGTGATTATCGATAACAATTAGGAAACGATTGATAAATAATAGAAACGTCCTTGATCGTTGTTAAATCACTTTCATCGTATAGCCAACATAGCCACTTAAAAAATGCCACATCATTGATCTGTATCATAAAAAGCACGTGGCAAGATATCATTGGATACATTACGCAGTTGCCGAACAAATTTTGTAGAGAAGCTGGAAAAGAACGTTCTAGGGGGAGAGAGTTTGTTCGGTGCTCTCTTTCTATCTCTCAATAAACTCTGTTCTCCTCTGCTGCTTCTGAATCTATCGGATCTTCGAAAGCGACGAACATGTCTTCTCCTGGCGAGTGAGTCCTCTGTTTCTCTCTATCCCTCTTGATTCGTTTTCGATGTAGAGAGTTATAGTTTCGGATCCTTTTAGGTTATGAAATTTCATGATTGTCTACCTTTTGATTTCGTTTAGATTGATTTTGGTTTTCAAGTGCTTTAATTCGAGGTGAAAGCAACATCATCTACGCGCCATCATCTACGCGCCATGGATTAGTTCTTGAATATAAAAATGATTATTATCGTCTCTCTTGAAGCTAAAGACTCAATCTTTCTCTTTGCTCTAATGTGATTTGATTAAAACAATTGTTCTTGGAACACACAATTGTTTGTTCTCAAAGTATCCCTACATGTTGATGAAGTAGTTTCAGGAGTGAAAAGAACAAAACTTTCTGAGGTATTGCTTTAGTGACAAATCTTAGTGCGTTAGATGGCGTTTAACAGATTTTTTCTTAGACCACTACTGCCTTCAAATATATTAGACTGAGAACAATGATATGTGTTTTGCTGATCTTGATGGCACGTCCTAGTTACAAGTTTATCATGGTTGGATGGTATGTGTATGCCTCGAGCTTACAACTTATTACAAGTTTCTCATAGTATCTGTTATTTGGTGTTGTTGATTGCAGATACTACAACTCACTTCCACCAATAACCAAGGCTTATGGTACTTTGTGCCTCCTGACTACTACACTCGCCCAGCTTGGCTTGGTTGCTCCTATTCACATTGCTTTGATTCCTGAGCTCGTCTTTAAGCAGTTCCAGGTTAAAAGATGTTTTCTTCTATGATTTTTTCCTTATTTTCACAAAAGTTCTTTTATCAGTCTAATTCGTCTCTCTGTTTTCATATTTGCAGGTGTGGAGGCTGATAACAAACTTGTTTTTTCTTGGTGGCTTCTCTATCAACTTTGGGATACGTCTTTTGATGATGTGAGTATTTAGTTTCAAAATATTTTAATAGATGCAGAACGAAAGCTTTGCTTTTATCATAACATCTTCTCTGCATTGATTGCGCAGAGCAAGATATGGAGTTCTACTCGAGAAAGGCCCATTTGAGAGACGTACTGCAGACTTTTTGTGGATGATGATATTTGGATCCTTGACTCTGTTGGTATGTAAAAATCTTCTTACAATTATTTGCTTATCGATCACCATTATTTGTTCTTTGATACACACTCCAGTGTTGCTTATGGTATGCCACAAAGTAGATATCAGTCGGTTAATAAAATCTAAGATATCCTGAAGCTGAGATATAAGAACCTTTTTGATATTTTACTCAGGGTTAGTTGTTGTAAAGTGATACAAGCTTTTGGGAGATGATACTCATATTCTTCTGAATCTGTGCTTAAATGTCAGGTTTTATCAGTCATACCGTTTTTCTGGACACCATTCCTTGGAGTTTCACTTGTGTTCATGCTTCTATATCTCTGGAGCCGAGAGTTTCCAAATGCCAACATCAGCCTATACGGTCTTGTCAATCTTAAGGTATTGAAAGTGTTTCTTTCGTATTCATATTCAAGGACCCAAATTAATGTTAATGGTTTTTGAATTACTCCGACTCCACAGGCTTTCTACCTCCCTTGGGCAATGCTAGCACTCGATGTTATCTTCGGTTCTAAGATCATGCCAGACCTTCTTGGCATCATAGCTGGACATCTATACTACTTCTTAACAGTCCTTCACCCTCTTGCCACCGGAAAGAACTACCTGAAAACCCCTAAATGGGTGTATCCTTGACTAAAATTTCCTGTGATTACTTCATAATGATTTCCTCTGTCTCTTTCTGTCTTTGGTTTTGCTGTGATCCCTTGACATTGTTAATAGTAATAAACTGGTAGCAAGATTTCGAATTGGAGCTCCAGTAGCAGCTGTTCGTCAAGCAGGTGGTGTAGGAGCAGTAGGATCAGGAACTGGAGGAGGAGCTTACTCAAGTGCTCGTGCCCCACCAGAGAGCTCCAACACAGCCTTCAGAGGTCGATCATATCGTCTCACCGACTGAACTCTCGGGTTCCTTTGTTCTTCAATCAGTATCATCATCATCATCCCATATCTTTTGAAAAGAATGCCACTGACAAGTAGCAAGTAGCTTTGTGTTTTTTTTTAAGCAGTACAGTTTTTGAGTATATGACTTTGTAGGGGAAAGAAATCTTTTGAGTTGGTTTCAAAAACAATGTTGTGTTCAGAATGCTTAGTGCCCTTTTAAACTATCTCAACTAGTCGGCAAACAATATTTTCACCTAAAAAATAATAAAAATATTAAGAGCAGGATTTATATGAACATGTTATGATTTGCTTTGTTTAACAAATAAGAAACCAATCTTATTATTAATTACTAGTGATTTTATTTCGTGGTAATTAAGTTGGTAACCGTTATAAATAATCGAGAAAACAAAGATAGTTGACATGGCAATAAGGGAAATAATGATGGAGGTAGAGATAACAAAGGCGAGACATAAGCTAATTGAAATTATAGTTTTGAAAAATTGAGAGGTACGGCTGAGAATGCGTCTATTTAATTAAACGGTTAAGAATATCACTGTTGCCGAGTTTCTTTATCTCTCCCCTATTTATCTGAAGGACAAAGTCCCCACGCTACACATAACATTAAGATAACGCCTACGGAAATAAGAAGAAGAAAAACAACAAGAAGAAGATGTCGTGGCAAACTTACGTTGATGAGCATTTGATGTGTGATGTTGGAGACGGCCAGGGTCATCACCTAGCTGCCGCTGCAATCGTTGGTCATGACGGTAGCGTTTGGGCTCAGAGCGCCAACTTCCCTCAGGTAATATCGAGATCTTAGTAATGTCATTTTGTCTGGAGATTAACATTCGATCTTTGTTTTATTAATAGTTTTAGATCATCCATGTTCTTGTTACATTCGATCAGTCTCTTATCTTGTTTGTATAAGCACATTTCTTGTGTATATATAGGCTTTCTTTTAAAGTCTTTTTGCTGATCGATCTGAGGAGATACTTCTACGTTATGGATCTAATTGCACCTAATGAAGTTTTGGTATTAAGGAGATTTTTTTTTATTGCCAAAGGATTTAATTCCACGAGAAGTTCATTTGACCATAGGCATGTTTTGTTACCAAACGGTCCAAACCAAGCATGTTTCACTGTCTACACTTTTTAAATTATCCTTACTCTCTATATCATTTATTATATAGTTCAAGGCACAAGAGTTCACTGCTATAATGAAAGATTTCGATGAACCGGGTCACTTAGCCCCCACAGGGTTATTTCTAGCTGGAGCCAAGTACATGGTCATCCAAGGCGAGCCTGGCGCTGTAATCCGTGGCAAGAAGGTAATCTAACCCATCAATTATCCATACATATATGATATATGTGCATGCATGATCAAAGAACATTATATATGTTGTTGGTTTGATTCGACAGGGAGCTGGAGGCATAACCATAAAGAAAACAGGTCAATCATGTGTGTTTGGGATCTATGAAGAGCCCGTGACACCAGGACAGTGCAACATGGTCGTCGAGAGGTTGGGTGATTACCTCCTTGAACAGGATCTCTAAGCCCACACAGCAACACTTCATAAAACCTTCTAGAAGATTCCAACCTCCATATTTTGTTTCTACAAACTTATATATTTATGATTTGGTTTCTGGATTCTCTCTAAAAAGCTGAAGGCTTGTTCGGATTATGATTCTTTACAAAAATGGTTTCCCTCTTCTTTTTTTGTTTTTGGTTTCATACGATTCATTTTTTTGTTAACAATATGCTTAATTAATATACCTATTTGTTATTCTCTCTTGCTTTTTGACGTTTATCTTTTTTATGTCTATTACATTAGTGTTAACTAAGAATAGAATCTATAGTATTTGTTTTCTGGATTCTCGGTAAGAAGCTGAAGGCTTATTCAGATTATGGTGCTTTACAAAAATGGTTTCCCTCTTTCTTTTTCTTGGTTTCCTACGATTCATTTTTTTTTTGTTAACTATGCTTAATTAATTTACCTATTTTTCTCAAATCGATTGTGAGGGCTATGACAACCGATTAATACTTACAGAGTATAAAAGTGTTCATAGTTTTCTTCATCACTTTTTTATGTTAAATTAACCGGTTCAAAACTTTCTTCATCATCTTCGTTGACATCGAAGAACACACCATTGCAGTTCCACATATTTAACTTGACTTTCAACTTATTCTTGATGCAATAATATATATTCCAAAATCGTTAGTATATATCCACATGTCCGGCAATTCATACGTTTTGCAGTATTAGTCTGAATTGTTCATGATAAATATTAATAGGTTGTCATACCTTATCATAGTAAACCTGTTTTGTACAATTATCCATATATATATATATGAAAAAACAAAACACGAATTTAGAACAGTAAATTTTATTTTTGTATATAAATTAAATTTTAGTAATCTATGTCTAAGAAATTCGTACAAGCTGATCAAACTCTAATAGAATGTATATTCAAATAAAAAATATTCATATAATAAACTGGTTTCTTGGAAACATTTTTCTTTTATTAAATTAAACTTCGAAAATACAATAGAACGAATAAATATTATTAAAATAAATCTGGCCTACATTTTAATTTTGGTTCTCTTATGAAGCATTCCAGAATTACCAAGATAATGTCAGAAATATCTTCGATGGCCAGACTCCTCGTGATCAAGACTTGTTGAATCGGCTTCACCTTTGAAAGTTCATCACTACAAGTATGCATCTCTGTTCCTGTAGCACCGGTGTACATGTTGAACATGTCGTAGTCCTTGTCTGCCAAGGCACTGAGGGTTTTATTTTTATCATAAAGAACATTTCCATATAACTCTTCGCATAGTTTAATTGCCTGCAGATTTGTCGTGTTTCTTTCTGCCAGCTTAAATTGCTCCAATGCATCAGAAATATTTCTATACTGATAATCGAGCAAATATTTAGCGAGGCAAGAAAAATCCAATGGTGCTGTTTCAGGGGTTAGTTTTAAAATCTCAAAACAAAGTACAGAATTGATATCCTTTTTCGTGCAGATGCGTTTGATATCATCTTTTGTAACCATCATATTAAATCTTGCATATGATGAAACAACAAGAAAAATTAAAACCACTATAGGAGCCAGTGAAAAGTTTTTTTTGTCGTATGCAACCATTTTTCTTGCTCCAAATGTTTAAGAACTTATGAGAGATTTATATAGGCTGAAATATGCACATCTTCAAATGTTAATATTGCCAACAGATTCTCCGTGCTAATAGATTATGTACATAGTAAAATGATTTGAATTAATATCAGTATTCAATTTTGTTCTTTTTGTTAATTTTAAACAACTTCCAAAACTACAGATTTTATTGATGAAGAATATAAAATAATTGGAAAGAATCGCACACAATTCTCTGTTTAGGTAGTAAATATTGGGTAAATATTATTGAATATAACATATATTCTCTATTAAAAGAAAATTACTATTTTTGATTATTTACATAAATTTATTTAATATATAACATTTCTAAATAATTATAAGGATATCAATAATAAATCTATTTTGAATCTTTTTTAAATTTTAGTTTTAGTAATCACAAATCTGTTGAGACAAAATATTTAACAAAAAAATCAAATATTTTTTAATTAATACACTGATTACTTTCGTAATTAGAAGTATAATATTGTTATAAATTAATCTTAATTAATATTTTATTATAAACAAAATATAATAAATTATATGCTAATTTTATGCAATTTATAAGTATAGTCTGTATTATATTAAAAGTAGTAATAAATGAATTACATATAAAAATTATATTAAATTGGTAAATTTTGAGAAAAAATAATTTAAATAAAGAAATAAAATATCATCCACCGTTTAAGTGACTGAAATATCATTTACCTTTTAACTATATTAGAAAATAAGATTTTTAACATATGTTAATTTTTAATATTTAGAATTGTATATTATCTATTTATTTATTTTTAAAAGGACAGCAATATATTATATAATAATGATTCAATATGAAACATAATATAAAATTTTATATTTATAAAATCAAAGGTTATTACATCAAAGTATACAAGATTTTTTCTTTTATCCGCACGGATGTGTAGGTCAAAATCTAGTTGGTATTACATCAAACTATACAAGATTCTTTCTTTTATCGGGGATATATGGTATCTTTGAAAATTGTAGATTTTGTTCATGTAGAAAAAACCTCGGTTTTGAGTAAGATAAGTAGATAACAGAACATATTCAATTTAAACATATTTTGAGTGTAAATAGTATTTTATAACTTGCATGATCAGCAAATCAACGTCATGAAAAATATATTTTATGACTGAATATTGAAAGTCAAAGCTCAAGTTACTTTTATGGCTTCTATTATATAAAACTCAAGGTCCAATATAACTTTATAGACTGTAGACTGCAGTATATTAAACTCAAGATCCATGATGCTTAAATTCTACCTTAGCATTGGCAGGTTGAGGCGCGTGTGTATTCTCTAGTGTATTAGTGACAACAAAACAACTAATATTCTCACCATCCATCTAATCATTTATACAAACGACTTAGACACTTCATCTGAAGTTGAATTGTGGACGGGGTTGATGGATTTGAACAACAAGACATATTTCCTAGATAACATTTTATAGATAGATATCTTAGCTATGATTTATATTACTTAACATCAGTTACATCACACAGAATGCAATAATGTAATTAAAGCCCATCATCATAAGGCACTCCAGTGAAGTTAAGCCAAGAATCTTTGTTTATAAAGCTGCCCCAATGTGAACGATGACGCTGCCTTCAGATCGAAATGATCTTGAATCCTTTTCAATCATCTCTCCTGCTTATAGCAATTCCTGGCCCGATGTTTTTGTATTCCTCGTAGAAAAGGTAGAAAGGCCTTGCATTTCAGTGTTCTATGGTGAAAATAACATATATATTTATGTTTATATTAATATATGTTATAAAATAAAAAATAGTACAAGTCTCAAATACTAAATAGTTGTTACGATGTATTCTTGTTTTATAATTAATAAAATCATGACAATAGTAGATTAAACAATATTGTTATTACAAATCAGATTTGCATCTTTTTCTTATTTTTTCCTTTTTTTCTACTTAAAATCTTGTTTCTTAATACTTTTTGAAAAGTTGGATGATCACTCATATACTTTTATCAAGACTTGTGGTATTGGCTTCAATTGTTGATTGTTCATCAAACATTATTCAGTGTTTAACTTCCACATAGTGTAATAACATTTTTGGTGTATGAAAGCTAAAAAATCTTTAAGAACAATTAACTGTTGTTTGAATCTGTATGCACAAATTTTACACTAAAATTATAAAATGAAATTTATTTTGTGAGGATAATATAAATCGGAAGAAATAATGATTCTTTGGAACCAAATAATGATTATATGATTGTCATCTATCTAATATGTGTTCAAATTAATAATAAGAAAACATACATAAAGAAAATACAACTATATATAAATAAATACATCTCTACAAGTATATTCTAATGGAAAAAAAATTATTAATATTTCATGATTTTGTATAGTTGTGAGGATAAGAAAATAAGGAGGATATTGTTATTAGAGCATGCCCATCAGTGATACTGGGCATGCACGAGTTCCTAGGCACTTTTTTAATTTTTTTTTTGATTTTTTCAGAAAAAAAAAAAAAAAAAATTTCGGCGAATCACGGTCCTGGCGAACTCGTGACGATCCGGGTTCACCACGACGAACCCACGCGCGCCGGATTCACCACTTTTCTCCTCGAAAATCGTGTGAACTCTACCTAAAAACCCTTAATGGGCATGCTCTCAGGATTAGAAAGTGAAATCTTTTAACACCGTGTTATTTAGTCATATAAATTGAATCCAATGTAAACCCAATCATATTTAAGAAATTTCTTTTTCAACGGATAACCAACCACAATTTGACTACTTTGCAAGATATATTATATATGTGTATATAAATATAGTGGAAATGATATGTTAACATTTTTAGTAGTAAATTTAAATTACAATAAAAGATATTTACCACTTTTGGTTTTCTCCAATCTCTCTTTAATCAAACTTAAAACTTTTCGTGTATTCATTGGCGACCACCGTAATCTCCACATGCTATTGCCAGACCTTAGTTTCCTTTTTGCCTCTTTATGTGTATTAACATAGTTGATGTGTTTGGATATGTTGCATTTGTTAGAGGTTTTTGTCTAATCACTTACACTATGATTTTTAGAAGTTTCTATGGTTTTCTATTTTATAAAATCTAATGAAAAAACAAGAAAATGTTTATAGTTCATGTCAGATAAATACACCTTACAAATGCTAAATTAGTCTATTGGTCAAGATGCTTCTGCTTACTAGTTTTCCTCCATGCGTTCCATGGACAAACTGTACAAGATTTAAAACCTTCCCTTTTTATTTTTCTTTTGTGAGAAAGCTCCTCATCTTCTTGAAACCATAAACATAATAAATCTTACCATTGACGGAAGCCATTCATTGAGCTGTTACCATGATTGTTTTATAAAAATAACATATGCTATCTATTCTATGTTGTTGTCATTTTCATTATGCTTCTAGCTTTGAGTTTTGATCAGTTCAATAGTATAAATATTTGAACAAAAACAAAATACTTAGTTATAAAGAAGTCTTCTTATATAGTATTGGAAAACAAAAATAATTAAAAGATTATTGTCGGCAAATCATTCCCATCCCACCTGTCTTTATTTTGTTCTAACAGCTCATCGAGATGTGGAGTCTGATATTCTTTCTTTTTACAATAGAAACAGAATGTAGTATTGACATTATAAGCGAAATTGATCTGCTATTCTTTCTTCATTTCGTATAATACTGCACAAATGTCTTAAGAATATCAAATTGTAAGAGGTTATTTAGCTGTGCTTAAAAAAAAAGTGGTCTTGATAAAAAAATCTATTGACTTGTGGAAAGGAGAATATTAAATTGAAATGGATGGACATAAATAATGGAATATTAGTATGTATGGCATACAATACAAGAGCATATCCACCCTTTAACCAATGATGTCCATACTTTGACATATTCGCTATGGTTTTATGAATTAAAATCGATTTTATTTATTTACGTAAAATGAACTCATAATCATTCTTTTTTCAGCAACAAAAAGAAAAACAAGCCGTGATTCCTTTTAAAAAAACAATCTCGAACATTTGATCAAATAATTGTGTTCTTGGTCACAATTTATGAAATATTTCTTTATTGATCATTATGTATGACATGAACATGCGAGAAATTATATGCTTTTCACTTTTTTTTTTGAAAATAATACCTTTTTAATAACGTAAAAGCTAATAAATGAGATTTGATGTTACATATAAAGCATTTTCCATTATCACATTAAAAATCACCCATCAAATTAGTTACGTTCGTTCACACATATCACACATAATTTCTGCAAATGTCTGTAAATTCCAACAAAAGATAAGTATTGTTAATTTATTAAAAATAACAATTACAAATCAAATGTTAGACACGAAACTAAAAGGGTACTAACTCACAATTATAAATCAAATGTTAGACACGAAATTAAAAGGGTGCTAACTTACATTAAAAATCATCCATCAAATTATTTATGTTCGGTTCACACATCACACATAATTTCTGCAAATGTCTGTTAAATCCAACAAAAGATATGTATTAGGAATTTATTAAAAATAACAATTATAAATCAAATCTTAGACACGAAACTAAAAGGGTGATAACTTACAAAGGTGTCAGAAAAAAAAATTAAAAAAAAATTATGCATTTAATTTATAAACATTTTATTAATTTTAGTATTATTAAATTCAGAAATTGTTTTATTTTATTTCTTTAAGAGGATTTTATTGGATGCCTAAAATCGTGTTATTTAATTCAAGTTGAAGCATTCATCGAGTCCACGAACAAAAAACTCACAACAAGAGAAACACAGAGAGAGAGAGAAAAGAAACAATCTCGTCGGAGAAGAAGAAGAAGAAGAAGAAGAAAAAGATGTCGTGGCAATCATACGTCGATGACCATCTCATGTGCGATGTGGAAGGCAACCACCTCACATCCGCCGCCATCCTCGGCCAAGACGGCAGTGTCTGGGCCCAAAGCACCAACTTCCCTCTGGTTCATTATCTTTCTTCTCTGATCTTCTTTTTTGAATTGACTTTAGTCAACTTTATTAGATCTTCTATCCTTTTTGGTTTGTGATCTGATCTGATGACTTTGGATCTGCTTTGACTTGGATCAGATGACAAAGGATTCAACTTTGTTGAATAATTTTGACATTTATTTAGTAAATAGTAAAAACCCATGTAAAGGATCTGGTGGTATTATTGCTTAATTAGTTGAAAAGCTTATTGCTTTTTTTGTGTGTGTGTGTTGTTGGTTATGTTTTTAGTTGAAGACAGAGTTTGAACAATTGTCTTGTTGAGAATTTGTTGAATGATTTGACTTTACTTAGTAAATAGTACAACCATGCAAAGATCTGGTGTGTTAGTACTATGATCATTGCTTAATCAAAGCTTATTTCTTTTTTGTGTTGTGTTTGTTGGTTTATGTTTTTTAGTTGAAGCCTGGTGAGATAGAAGGAATCAAGACAGACTTTGAGCAACCTGGACATCTTGCACCCACTGGTTTATTCCTTGGTGGAGAGAAGTATATGGTTGTCCAAGGTGAAGCAGGAGCTGTCATCCGTGGCAAAAAGGTAAAAAATTTTTAGTAGAACCGAACTTATGATCGGAGTTTCATCTTATGATCTATCTTTGTAGGGACCTGGTGGAGTGACTATCAAGAAGACTAATCAAGCTTTTGTCTTTGGTATCTATGATGAGCCAATGACTGGAGGTCAATGCAACTTGGTTGTTGAGAGGCTTGGAGATTACCTTATCGAGTCTGATCTCTAAGTTACACTTTCAAAAAGTGCTTCAAACATATTTCAACTTTAAGGTTCTTCTTTACTACAGGAAACAAGCTTCTGCTCCGTATTATGATTTGATTGTGGTTGTGCATCAAACATGGCTTAATTATACTCTTTGAAATGAACTAAGAAACAATCACATTTGTGTTTGGTTTTGAGTCTCTATTGTTTCTCTTTGTGTTGTATTTCTTAATGTATCTCTCTGGTTTTCGATTTGAATAATGAAATAACTCCGGTTTGGTAATACACTTTGAGTTTGTAAAGCGGTTCTGATCACTTGTTTTCGATCAGGCTGAGGTTCTTCTTAGTCTGTAATTTGAAATGATTACATTTGAACCACACAGATACATACTACTACATCACCAAGGTAGTCTTTCCAGTTCAGAAACTCTGGTACAAAAGTTCTGTTAAATAATGGGTTTAATTCACCTCAAAACTTAACAGACAATAATGGAACAATGCATAATGCTGTCACCAAAGACTCAAACTAACTACAAAGCATGGTAACAAAACAGAGACCGCAATGGAAACCACCATTTGTCTGAATCCTTCACTGCTCGTTGAAGGTGAAGCCATGGGCGAATCAATGGCAGTTATGTTTCCCGTGATGTTACCCGCCATTGTTCTGTTCATTCTGCACAAACAACAACAACAACATCAGCTTTAATATTAGTCAGAAGATTGAGAGATACCTGAGAGAGAGAGAGAGAGAGAGAGCTTACCCATCAGTAGATGGAGCAATCATGTACAGACAGTTACCATAGCCTGCAAGTGCATAACTCAACTGAGACAACAATGGCTTCACAGTTACTCTTTAAGTGTATGAATGCAAACATTTACTAGGGTCCTTGTCGACTTCAACGCTGACTCCTCCAAAGCTGCAATCTAAGCTGCTCGCTCCACTCTGCTGGTAATAAGTATTGAACGCATACGATGCATGTGAGAGAACAGTGTCTGGCTCAAAGCAAGGTTGGTTTGGTTGAACAGCGGAACAATCAACATTCCCAGGACCACAAGCCCAGTCCAATGCACTCTGAAGCTCCGTCACTGAAGCTTGTGATGAAGCAACACACCATTTCTTGGTTCCTCCACCTCCTCCTCCACCAATGGTCACAGTTGAGTTACCTGGACTTGAACTTGGACCTGGACTCGTTGTACCTGTGGTTGAATTTGATGGAGAAACAGGAACACTGCTTTCCCCAGTGAAGTCTAACGCATAAACACTTGTTCCATTAGCGTAAAACATCCCCCAGTTTCTCTCAGATTCTATCCCAGGCTTCCTGTTCTCATTGAACAACGAGAACAAGTACACATCTATCTCTTCCCCAGGCTTTGCAGGAGTACCTAACCAAACAAAACAAATCAGTTAATGCTATGTTCCCATCCATCTATGTTATCTAAAGATGTTACCTGGATCACCAATGACATGTCGGATGAGGTTAGTATTGTAAGCAAGAGCGTTATCAGGAGTAGCAGCCGTCTCTTTAGGCGACCCTTTACTCGGCCACCCTGACTCAGTAACCATAACCTTAATACTCTTGAAGTTCATAGCCGTCAAGGCGAAATAGATAGCATCAAGCTGAGCATCAAACATGTTGGAGTAAAGCAAACCAGTAGCAGGGTCAACAACCTGCGTAGACGACTCGAACAAAGCATACTCCAGCTGAACCTTCTCAGCAGAATCTCTATAAGCGTAGTAAGGATACAAATCAATCATAAAAGGAGACTCATTCTCAACCAAGAACTCAAGCATTGGTTTCAAGAACGCTAAGTGTTTCTTGCTGAAAGAAGCTGATGAAGGAGGGAAGGAGCGTGATAATACAGCAAGTGAATGTGAGCTAGAGATCTTGATCTTTTTATCCAAACCGGACTTCTTGAGAGCCGTGTGGATGTTGCGCATAGCGGGTAAGAGTAGACCAGTGGCGTTGTCTGGAGCTTCGGTTACTTCAAGGCCTACAGAGATGGAAGTGATTTTGGTTGTTGGATAGTAAGGAAGGATGTTGTTGTGGAGCCACGTGTCTACATTGGATTGGAACTGAGAAAATGCGAGTAGATCACCGTTAGGGACACCAATCATTAGCTCTATGCCTGTGTTTGCAAATGCTTTGAGAACGTCTATGTTGGCGTCGTAGATTCTGACAAACTTGATGTTGAGATGTTGGATTAGTTCTGATACTTTGCTAGGACTTGGGAGATTGTCTGCGTTACGTCCGTAACAGATTCCTATTTTGCTTGCCACACCAAAATCTGCAACAATCTCAAACAAGAACAGAGATTAACTTAGAACAAAGAAAAGCATCAAACTTTGAGATCGAGAAGAGGAAATATTGTAACCCAGAAGAAAGAATCAGATGTAAATGCAGACCCAAAAGAGGAAAGGTTTAAAGACATACCGAGAAAGGCAAGAATGGAGACACAAATCCAGAGGACTAGCTTTAGTCTTTCACTCATTTTTTGTTCTGAAGCACAAATCTCCCAAAGTTTCCTACTTGAGTGAAGTGTTCTTTTTCTTCTTCTTCTCACTTGTACACAGAATATGTAATGGCTCACTCTCTCAAGAACACTTGTTGGTCTGTTAAGTAGGAGGAAGCAAAGAGAAAGAGAGAGAAAGAGATTGTTGCTCTGGGGAGAGTGTTCGGGTCCTTTCTCTATGAGAGTTCGGATTCCAGCTAAGAATATAAAATTGGGTTGATAGAAACGTCTCGATTCCGTAAATTAAGCTAGCATGTTTGCCAACTCTCTCTCTCTCTCTCTTTGAGTGTTGTAGATTTACTGCTTCCGACAAGAAACTCTTTTTTCTAGTAATTATGAATTAATTTTAAAACGAAAACAGTATAAAAAGCATATGGTGGTAAAACGGATTCCACTGCAAAGAGTACATACAGACCACAGTGCTCTGCTTTTCTTGTTTTTATTTAACGGTCTACTCTACACTCGATGCAAAAATTGCAATTTAACCCACTAATGTATATCGATTTTAAGTTTTTTGCCCATTAATTATAAGTTTCGACTGAAGTATTCATTTTCTATATTCCTTTTTATTTGTAATAATGATTTATAAAAAGTTTTTGATTGTTTTGAAATATAAAAAGTTGACATTTTTATGTTTATTTTATTGAAAATTAGTTGAATTATTTTTAGTGATATATTTTAGATATAAAAATATTCTTAATTTGTGTGTTTTTGATCGAATATCATACATTATAAAACATACTACATAGCTTTTTACTCGGTTTAGGTGTGCTACATAACATTTTTGCTTTTTTCCTTTATTATTTTCCCTCTTTTATAAGTTGTTAGTTTTTTCAATAATTAAAATTATATATATTTTTTACACGGGTGCTATTTTGCTATTAAGAAAAGATTATGAAAAACGGAAAGTGATGTTCGTAGTTTGTTATTTTGCTATTAAGAAAACCCTCTAGACCTAATAATTCAGAACTCTTCCTCCACCGATTGCTTCCACGCCAATTTCAGTCGACCATGATCCCCGAAGTATCTATACCAAATCAGAAAAAGAATCAACCACTATCGTTCTCGTCACTACCAGATGAAATCATAGAGAACATTCTTGCACGTATCTCAAGCTCGAATTACCCTAACCTCTCTCTAGTCTCCAAGAGATTCCTCTCTATCATCTCTTCTCCTGAGCTCTACGCAACTCGCTCTCACATCAAAACCACCGAACCATGCCTCTATTTCTGCTTAGAAGACTTGCCCAATATCTCTTCTCCTAAATGGTTTAGTCTTCGAATGAAACCTGCTAACGAAACCCCAAATAATGATGATATTATTGTAGACTATTCGTTGGTTCCGGTACCATCTAGTCACCATACTCAACATCACGTAGACTATTCTTCCACCGTAGTTGTTGGTTCAGAAATATATTTAATCGGTGGGCCATCCAACGGACCGCCATCTTCACTTGTCCGTATCCTTGAGTGTCGGAGTCATACCTGGCGTGATGGCCCTACCATGTCCGTGGCACGTGCGGGTGCGTCTGCTTATTTTCTGCATGGGAAAATTTATGTAATGGAAAAATACCGGAAAGATGATGACAACTGGATGGAGGCATTAGACGTAAAGACTCAGATTTGGAGTCCCTTGCTGAGCCATGGAGCTACTGAGTTTCGCAGCGACTGGTTTTTAATCAGAGTGTTTAGAGGAATAATTTACGCAATTGCTGATAAGACCTATGCTTATGACCGGAACAAGGGTACGTGGGAAGTTGTGGACACGTACCATATGAAATTGAGATATATACTTCTAGATTGCTGTGTGATTGAGAATGTTATATATAGGTATCAATGCGATGGTTTTCTCTTATGGTATAGTTACAAAAAAAGAAAGTGGATAAGAGTTAAGGGCTCGGATATGGAACTGTTGCGTACGCATAAAACATATATGTTTTCAGCGGAGTGTGTGCTTAGTATGCGTAGCTACGGTGGGAAACTCTTAGTTATGTGGTCTCCCAAGTTTGTTATAAACAATGGAGTACCTGAAAGAAAAATTTGGTGTGCAATAATCGCGTTAGAATGGAGAAGAAATAAAGTATGGGGTAAGATTGAGTGGGTTAATGAAGTGCTTACGGTCAGTACTAGATCGTATAAGTTATTGAGTTGTGTAGTCAGTTGGATTTGAGGATTCTTGAAAGATGATATTCTTTATGTCTCTCATATGATAATAGTTTGAGATCTATAATGTTATTTTATATAAAAAAATATTTTTACAATATTAAGTTGGAATGATTTTCTTAAAAATTATCTTATATCAACATATTGATACACTTCAAAACTATAACTATGCGTATGGTCGAGTGGTGGATTGATTTGAGAAGGATTGTGGATGGACTCTTATATGTCCTATCTCAATTTTTCACACAGACGTGTCTCTCGAACCACTCGGAAGCATGTCGAACCTTGGACTCCTCAGTTTAAAATTCTAAGATAAGGCTTTCTCGATGAACATGTCCAATTCGGTGATAGCTAATGGAAATCACTTTCATGATCCTCTTGACGGTCATCGTGATCTACTTCGAGTATTAAACCTTTTAGGTGTGCTACAACGATTTTTGAGTTTTTTTCCTTAGTAAAATTTGCTTTTATTCGCTGTCAGTTTTTTATAAAAAGTAAATTATGCGTGTTTTAAGAAAAAATTGCTATTTTATTTTTGTATACTAGGTAAAGAACTCATGCTATCAAAGTGATTTTTAATATTGAAGGACTATATTTCATTTTTATTTTATTTTTTGGAATTCAGTGTTCATGAACTGTATTACTAATTGAAGTAGAGTTTCACATTATTGTAATGTTTTCTTAATGAAATTTGTTGAGTTAACCTTGCTTCCTTATCTTGTATACTGTAAGTTTGAGAAGAGTTGTATAATCAGTTGTACACGGTTCAGAGACTGACACTGTATTACTGATTACACGTAGCTGAAACAGAATACACTGACGACAAGTTGGGTTGTGTCTAATTCCAAAAAGACTGTCTTGCTAGTTACTGTATGTGATCATAATTTTCTTTCTCTAAAACCCTAAAGGAGATTTGTAAATTTGTTTTTTGTTTAAATCCTAACCACAAGAAAAATTGTTTTTTTTTGTAAACCTAACCAAAAAAATGGCAAACGTTTATTTGACAGTAATTTTTCTTTCTAAGAATTTGGTAATAAATATGATACTAAAATTATTTAATTAACAAAGACATTGTAAGAAGTAGTGATATTTTTAAAAAAAGAACGAATTGTAAAAATACTACTTTTAAAAATATTTAATACTAACTAGAAATAATTACTGATAATATTTTTATTTTTTTGTAAAATCCTGAAAAAAATATTATAGTAAGAGATTATGTAATAGTAATCTTTTTCCTAAAATCTAAAAAAAAATCAAAAGAATAATTTGAATAATAGTTATCCTTTTTTTCTCTTTTAAATCCTATACAAACCAGATTTATTTCTTGATACTTGTCACAATCTTAATTTTTATTGATACATGTCTTGTTTAGATTAGTTAGCAACTTTTAAGAACAAAATTTTATATGAATATTTAATATTAACTAGAAATAGTTATTGATAATATATATATATATATATATTTTTTAAATCCTAAGCAAAATATAATGGTAAGAGATTATATAATAGTAATTTTATTTTTGTAAAATCTAAAAAAAACAAAAGAATAATCCGAATAATAATTTTTCTTTTTTATCTTATAGATCTTATACAAAACAGATTTATTTCTTGATATTTGTCACAATCTTAATTTTTTATTGATATATGTCTTGTTTAGATTAATTAGCAACAATAACCAAGTTTTATATTATAAGATATTTAATATTAACTAGAAATATTTATTGATAATATTTTATATTTTTCTAAAATCCTAAACAAGATATAATGGTAAGAGATTATGTAATAGTAATTTTATTTTCTAAAATCTAGAAAAAAACAAAAGAATAATTTGAATAATAGTTTTCCTTTTTTCTCTCTTTTAGATCCTATACAAACCAGATTTATTTCTTAATACTTGTCACAATCTTAATATTTTATTGATACATGTCTTGTTTAGATTAATTAGCAACTTTTAAGAACACAATTTTATATGAATATTTAATATTAACTAGAAATATTTATTGATAGTATTTTTATTCTTATTTTTTTTTTAAATCCTAAGCAAAATATAATGGTAAGAGATTATGTAATAGTAATTTTCTTTTTGTAAAATCTAAAAAAAAGAAAGAATAGTCCGAATAATAATTTTCCTTTTTTCTCTTATAGATCTTATACAAAATAGATTTATTTCTTGATATTTGTCACAATCTTAATTTTTTATTGATATGTCTTGTTTAGATTAATTAGCAACAATAATCAAGTTTTATATTATAAGATATTTGATATTAACTAGAAATAGTTATTGATAATTTTTTTAATATTTTTCTGAAATCCTAAACAAAATATAATGGTAAGAGATTATGTAATAGTACATTAGAAGGAGATCATTGAAATAAGTTTTGCCTCTGGGTATTTCATTGACATAGGTTAGCTATTATTTTATTGGGAACATCACGTGACCACAAAAATGATCAATGTGCAAATTGATATATATATATATATATATATATATATATATATATATATATATATATATATATATAGTAGAACTTATGTAAATTAATATTTGATAAATTAATAAATTTTATAAATTGTTAAATTTTATCTATCTTAATTTGAATCGGTTCAAAATTTGACATTAATTGATAAAATAGTAAATAATATTGTTTAGAAAATTTTATGTAAATGTTTGGTCCCATTAAAATTGTAAATTAGTAATTTATATATACATATTTTATATAAATACGAATATAGCATTATATTAACAAATAATATTCACAATATAATTATCTTTATATTTTCTTAACATTTAATTTATTTTTGATGAGATTTAGTAATATTATATCTAAAACCACATTTAAATTAATGTAATATATATTATATATACCAAATAATATAATAAAACTAAAATAAATGTTAATTTTTTAAAAAAAAATACTGTACATTAAAATCAAATATATATAAAATATCTACAAAATAATATTTTTTAAAAAATTATTATCTCTATAAATTAATAAATTTTGAAAATCTCAATATTATTAATTTCGAGAGGTTCTATACCACAAATAACCTATGCCATATGATTTCTGATATCTACAAAAAATTTCTGTAAATATTTCATGATTTATTTTCTATCTAAAAGTTCCATATATAGTTTAGATTTTAGGAAAACAAATTAATTAAAAGAAGAAAAAAATCTGATTTATTTGTTCTTTCTAATAAAAGCGTGATTCTCTTAAATCATCAAAATTTAAAGATCATGTGATTAGTCAATCTAGCTAGTTTTGTTAGTAAATAGAAAGTTAAAACGTTTTTCCCTCATTCAATAATAATCCAAAAATATTTCTTTTGGCAATTACTAATTATTTATTTTATAAAAAAATCTGACCAAATTCGTAAAAATTAACAGTTTATAAGTATAAAGTTTAAAGTTAAACTAATTAAACAACGAAACGTGTCGAAGTGACAAAACTCAACTCATCTTATAAAAGATCCCTGGAGAAGCAATTAAAACTTCTTCCGACTCCTTTCCTCCGACACCGGAGAAACCGATTCTCTCTCTCTCTTTCTCACCGGAAACCAATCCAATCATCAGCTCAATGTTATAAACCCAATCGAAGGAGGAATAACAATTCGATTCTAAAAAAAAAAAAAGTCTTCTTCTTTCGATGGGAAACAAAATCGCAAGAACGACACAAGTCTCGGCGACGGAGTATTACCTCCACGACTTGCCTTCCTCTTACAATCTCGTCTTGAAAGAGGTTTTAGGTCGTGGGAGATTCTTCAAGTCGATCCTTTGTAAGCACGACGAAGGTTTGGTCCTCGTTAAGGTCTATTTCAAGCGTGGAGACTCGATTGATCTGAGAGAGTACGAGCGGCGTCTTGTCAAGATAAAGGATGTGTTTTTGTCGTTGGAGCATCCTCATGTTTGGCCTTTTCAGGTTTGGTTTCGGTTTCTCTTTATTGGGTTTGTTTTGGTTTTACATAAAGGTGTTAGCTTTGAGGATACGAGAGAGCGTATTAGTTAGTAAAGAACGGGTCTTGATAAGTTTTTTTGAGATAGTGTTATTGTTTGTTTTGCAGTTTTGGCAAGAGACTGATAAAGCGGCTTATTTAGTGAGGCAGTACTTTTTCAGTAATCTGCATGATCGGTTAAGTACTCGGCCTTTCCTCAGTCTTGTGGAGAAGAAATGGTTGGCGTTTCAGGTCTTATTCTCTCTCTTGCATCACTCTATTTGAGTCATTTCTTTTTAAAGAGTTCGGTTTAGTGAACTTTTTTTTTTTTTTTTTGTTTCTGCAGTTGCTTCTTGCTGTGAAGCAGTGTCATGAGAAGGGTATATGTCATGGTAAGGTTTAATAGTCTGAGAGTATAGGAGGCTCATTACGGTGAAGTGAATTCTGATTTGTGTGAATTTTTGAACCGTTTTAGGTGATATCAAGTGTGAGAATGTTTTGGTCACGTCCTGGAACTGGCTTTACCTAGCTGATTTTGCGTCATTCAAACCTACATACATTCCTTATGATGATCCTTCAGATTTCTCCTTCTTTTATGATACAAGGGGACAAAGACTTTGTTATCTAGCTCCAGAGGTACTATAGAACTACTATCAAAATTTATTCTCTTTATTTGATCGATGTAGATCTGTCATATTGTTCTATTTCACCTCTGCTGGGTATATTATTATTCTGTACTTATTTCTCTTCCTCTGTTTCAATAACCCCTTTGTCCATGGTGCAGTACGGTTTAATTTTTTTTTTATATAACTACTATGAGTGGTGGCAAAACCATCAAAGGCAAACCACCCTTTATTGTTAGCCAGCTTCTATGTTTCTTCCCCATGTTTAAACAGATTGTTACTTAATTACAGAGATTCTATGAGCATGGAGGTGAAACCAAAGTTGCACAAGATGCTCCATTAAAGCCATCCATGGATATATTTGCTGTTGGGTGAGATTATATACCATCTTGTTTTACATCACTGTGACGGTTCAATCTTTTTCGTAGTATGGCATTATAAAGAGGCTCCTATTGGTTCAAGCACACACACTTTTTCTAGATGGAAAAAGTGTTCTTACCTTGAAACATTAGCACGTGTATATTGGAGTTGATAACCAATTGTAATAGCTTCATATCAATGCTACAGGTGTGTGATAGCAGAGCTTTTTCTTGAGGGTCAGCCACTATTTGAACTGGCTCAGCTTCTCGCTTATCGCAGAGGACAACATGATCCTAGCCAACACCTTGAAAAGGTATTTCCTACTGCTTCTTCCTTTTTCATTTCCTCTGTATAGGTATCAAATATCTTTTTCTCTCCATCTTTGGCTGATTGTCTATCTCTATTTCTACTCATATTTGTTGGTCTTTCTCTTTTTATTGGATACAGATTCCTGATCCCGGAATTCGCAAGATGATTCTTCATATGATTCAGTTAGAACCCGAAGCACGCCTATCAGCTGAAAACTACCTGCAAAATTATGTGGGAGTTATTTTCCCAAACTACTTCTCCCCATTTCTGCACACTTTGTACTGTTGTTGGAATCCACTTCCTTCAGATATGAGGGTAAAATCACCATTTCCTGTAAAATAATTTTACACCCTGCATCAACATGCTTCATAACATTTTGCTTCATTTTTATTAGGTAGCAACTTGCCAGGGAATATTTCAAGAAATAATTAAGAAGATGATGGAAAATAAGCCAGGTGACGAGATGGGTGTGGATTCTCCTTTACCTTCAAATTCAGTGAACGCAAGCAAGGCCCAAGCAACTTTTGCAAATCAGAAATTAAACACGTCGAATGACTTGATAATGGATACTGTAAACTCTAAGGACGAGACCCTTTACTCTATTTCTGATGCACTCAAGAAAAATCGCCATCCTTTCTTGAAAAAGATAACAATGAACGATTTGGGTACACTGATGTCTCTCTATGATAGCCGTTCTGACACTTACGGAACGCCTTTTCTACCGGTAGAGGTTAACATGAGATGTGAGGGAATGGTTCTGATCGCATCTATGCTCTGTTCTTGTATCCGCAATATCAAGTTGCCTCATCTGAGGAGGGAAGCCATACTTCTGTTGAGGTCGTGCTCTTTGTATATCGATGATGAAGATCGCTTACAACGTGTACTTCCATATGTTGTTTCCCTGCTTTCTGATACAACCGCAATTGTGCGGTGTGCCGCCATGGAAACCCTATGTGACATTCTGCCGCTTGTCCGAGATTTTCCTCCCAGTGATGCGAAGATATTCCCTGAGTATATATTTCCGATGCTCTCCATGCTTCCTCATGATCCAGAGGAGAGTGTGAGGATATGTTATGCCAGCAATATTGCGAAACTTGCTCTAACTGCTTATGGATTCTTGATACATTCTTTCCAATTGAGCAACGTAGGGGTTCTTAATGAATCAACTTCGCCGCAGATGTCCACTACACCTGGTACTGAGTTGCAAAAGGCAAATGGCGATGCACAGCTTGCTCAGCTTAGGAAAACTATTGCTGAAGTTGTTCAAGAGCTTGTTATGGGTCCAAAACAAACTCCGAATGTTAGAAGAGCACTCCTTCAGGACATAGGGGAGCTCTGCTTTTTCTTTGGTCAGAGGCAGAGTAATGACTTTCTACTGCCCATCCTCCCTGCCTTTCTTAACGACAGAGATGAACAGCTAAGATCTATATTCTTTGAGAAAATTGTTTATGTATGCTTCTTTGTCGGTCAGAGAAGTGTGGAGGAGTATCTCTTGCCTTACATTGATCAAGCTTTAAGTGATCAGACAGAGGCTGTCATTGTCAATGCGTTGGATTGCTTATCCATACTATGCAAGAGTAGCTTCTTGCGGAAGAGAGCTCTCCTCCAAATGATAGAGTGTGTTTATCCTTTGCTGTGCTATCCATCTCAATGGGTAAGGAAAGCAGTTGTCACTTTCATCGCTGCCTGTAGTGAATTCTTAGGTGCTGTTGACTCGTGTGCTTTTATTGCCCCAGTGATACGTCCCTTTCTGAGTAGACTTCCTGCATCAATTGCTTCCGAGAAAGGTTTATTTTCATGCCTAAAGCCTCCAGTCTCAAGGGAAGAAGTTTACCATATCTTGGAAACTGCCAGGAAACCAGAAATCGCTGAAAAACAGCGGAAGATATGGTACAGTACTTCACCTCAGTCCAAAGATTGGAAAAATGTTGATCTTTTTAGCAAAGATGGAGAACAGAAGAAAACTGTGGAAGGAAAAAAACCTATTATGAATGCATCACAGCAGCAAGAAGTTAAAGGAAAGTACGCAGAAAAAGATGCTAAACTGAGAATCCCGAGGAATCCAAGACTCAATGCTTCTAGCACAGTTGAGCGTCGTGATCACTTGAATCAGGAGAAATTACAGTTCTCTGGGTTTATGGCACCATACATGTCTGGTTTGAATAACGCAACTGAACCTGAGGGCATACCTCTGTATTCTTTTAACATGGACAAACGAGCAGCTACGAATCATCCTGTGGCTTCTGAGTCTTCATTGCAGATGAACTCTCTGGTGGGCATGAGTTCGATGTCAGTACCATGGATGGATTCCATGAGCAATAACTTGGCTAGTTCGGTTCCAGTGCCTAAGCTGGTTTCCGGATCATTCCATGTTGGTACCAATCCTAAACAGTTTTACAGAGTTGTACATGAGCCAGAAAGCAGAGAAAATGAGCAAATGTCCTCAGTCATCAGCAAATTTCAAGACCTCGGTGTGTCCAGCTCCTCGAAAAGTGCTTCTGTAACTTCAGAAGATGCGTCTTCAATATCCGATCTTGTAGGAGAACCATCTCCGTCGAGGACATCGGTTCCAGATTCAGGTTGGAAGCCTCGTGGAATACTAGTTGCTCATCTACAGGAGCACCGCTCTGCGGTCAACGACATTGCCACTTCAAGCGATCATAGCTTTTTTGTCAGTGCATCAGATGATTCGACAGTGAAGGTGTGGGACTCTAGAAAGCTGGAAAAGGACATCTCGTTTAAGTCAAGGCTAACATATCATCTCGAGGGAAGCAGAGGGATGTGCACAACAATGCTTAGGAATTCAACTCAAGTTGTGGTTGGAGCCTCCGATGGTGTGATACATATGTTCTCCATTGACCATATCTCAAGAGGCTTGGGGAACGTAGTGGAGAAGTATTCAGGCATTGTTGATATCAAAAAGAAGGATATTAAAGAAGGCGCCTTAGTTTCTCTTTTGAATTATACCTCTGATAGCCTATCTGGCCCGATGGTAATGTATAGTACCCAAAACTGTGGGATTCACCTCTGGGATACAAGATCAGATATAGATGCATGGACATTGAAAGCAAACCCTGAAGAAGGATATGTGTCTTCTTTGGTTACAAGCCCATGCGGGAATTGGTTTGTGTCTGGTTCCTCAAGGGGAGTGCTCACTCTTTGGGATTTGAGGTTTCGTATTCCGGTACATTCATGGCAATACCCTATAATATGTCCCATAGAGAAGATGTGCCTCTGCTTCCTTCCTCCAAGCGGCTCACTGTCCACCACGATGAGACCTTATATATATGTTGCTGCTGGTTTCAATGAAGTTTCACTCTGGAATGCAGATGGAGGTAGCTGTCAACAGGTAATGTTTTTACCATTTTGTTGCATTTTCACCTTGAATTTTGAGCTATTGAACGTCTCAAGATATGGCCTATCGTTTTCTATTGGGATCTTGCAAGTTGGTTTCAGCTTTGATGTTAGTCAATGGAAGTAACTCAGTTTTGATAAGACTAAGACCATATGTTGTAGCTGGAGACTGATAAATGAGCTGATTATGTAGGTGTGGAGAGTAGCCAACTATGAAAATGAGACAAATGTTTCTGACTTTCAATGGAAGCTACCAAACAGTAAGGCAAATCCCAAGACGAATACTCGGCAGAACATGAGCTCCAAGTATAGAATTGAAGAGTTGAACGAGCCTCCTCCTCGTCTTCCTGGTATCCGCTCGTTGCTTCCTTTACCCGGAGGCGACTTGTTAACAGGTGGTACTGACTTGAAGATTCGGCGTTGGGATTACTCCAGGTTCTTAATCTAAACCTTCAACTTGTGTTCTTATAATCAAACGTTTTTTTCACACTTCTTGTCGATAATAAACAAAAGCCTGACGCAATTTCTTGTTTTTGTGTGTTGAACCAACATTAGCCCTGAGAGAAGTTACTGTATCTGTGGTCCAACTTTGAAGGGAGTTGCAAATGATGATTTCTACGAACTCAAAACCAACTCTGGAGTGCAATTTGTTCAGGTCTGTTGATTTAAGATGCAAAACACTAATCTTAACAGTTTAAGGTCGTCCCTAAAGCGACTGTTAAGCTTTTGACTAAGTTTTGCTGTGCAATTGTGCTTGTGTGTCTTCGGCAGGAGACAATGAGGCGGCCTCTGGCGACCAAACTGACGGCAAAGGCAGTACTTGCAGCGGCTGCAACAGACACAGCAGGATGTCACCGTGACACAGTTCAGTCTCTGGCATCAGTGAAACTTAACCAGAGACTGTTGATATCAAGCAGCAGAGATGGAGCGATCAAGGTCTGGAAGTGAAAGAAAAACCGTGATGGTTTCTTTGTGTGTGTACAGTGTTGTTAAAAGAAACTTTTTAGCTTTGTATCTTTAGCTAAATTTCTTTTTATTTGTAAAGACATTTCTGTTACTTGATTAAAACAAATGATAAATTCAACATGTTACCTCCCATGCCTAATCCCTCCATGTTACATTAGAATTACCCTTTGGGATAGAAAAAAAAAGTGATTAATAGAAATGCTATTGCCATGAGCAAATGAGGTGTTACTCAAGGTTAAAGAGCATTGAATTAAATGAACAAATTGTCAAGAAGTCGATTTGATAGAGAAATTTTGCATAGTCTTACAAATTAAACAAGAAAGATACTAAAAAAAAAAACGCACAAAACTTTAAAAATCCAAAGCGTTCATTCATCTATTTCTCAGACGAGTTTGGTCCTCTCTTCTTGCCAAATCCGACAACTGCAAATAAGAAAGCAATAGAAAAATTTAAGAATCACTTTGTCTAGTGTCAAATTTGTTAAACATTTTTCTTATGTTAATATTCATAAGCAACAAAAGTTAACTGCAAACGACAGCAGTTTCATATATGTTAAGCTATACAAGATTAAAAATACTAATAATGGAGGAATCTATAAAACGAAAATGAAATGCACACACAGGGTCACAGCTAGTATGAGTGTAGATAAACCTATCGTCTAAATATGGAAAAAATGATACAGTTGCAGATTCAGAAAAAGTCTTACAAGAATCATTACACAGAAAGTCAGAGACTGATACTCTTTAACATGCTAGCAAAGAACAGAACTCTATCAACTATAGATATGTTAACCAAAGCTTCAGCTAATTATATTTTAATTAACCAATAAGAACCATAAGTAATAGTAACAAATTACATCATTCTATCACACATTAAGCTCAAGCCAACTAAGTAAGTAACGTCACTGATCAGGCATAGAATCTAAGGGAAATATTTGATTACCAGCGGTGACGAAACGGCGGTTGTGTTGAAGACGTTTGTGAGCACGGCCACGTGGCTTCTTCTTCTTGTCCTGCTTAGCTACTTTGGGAGTCTGTCCTCTCACCTTACCGGCACGAGCCAATGAACCGTGAACCTTACCTAATCCATTGCACAACCAAAACCAAAGGAAAAAACATCAGTAAAAGAAACAAAAAATAAATAAAATCAAAACAAAACAGGGTCAAGAGAAATCACCCATAGTTGCTCTGACGACGGATTCGGCGCTACCTCCGGCAAAATGTGTGACTACAGCAGCTTTTGATGGATTAGGGTTTTCTTCCCTTCTTCAAGTGAATGATATTTAAGTGATGAGGATACGGCCCATTAAAAGTCTCTTAATGGGCCTAAGTTATTATCTTAATTAGAACTCCCGCCATTTTACCTGAGTTGGCTTTTCTAGTTCATATTGGGCCCAGTAGGCTTTATATCATTATCCTCGAAACGTGACGTCAGCTTCGTGTACACACTTATGTTTCACTGTAATAATAATCTCTATCTCTTCCAAAAACCCCAAACCAAAAACCCCAATCTACTTGCTGTAGGCTCAGAAGCTTAAGTGAAGAGGAAGAAAGGATGCTAAGGTTTCAATGCTCTCTTCACCTTCTCCAGGCTTCTTCTACGGTGAATAACAACAACCACTCGAATCTTTGCCTCCACAATTTGGCGCCGTTTCGTGTCTCCGGCACGATTAAGGTACCGAAGATTCAGAGGGTACGTGCAGATTGCTCTAGAAGGAGTGTAAGAGTGAGAATTAATGGTTTAGGTAGAGAAATGGAAGAAGAAGAAGAAGATGTGGAAGAGTTTGAAGAAGATGAGTTCACGTCGAGGAAGAGAGAAAGTTACGGAGGGAAGAAGGAGGATATCAATTACGATAAAGACCCTGAGTTCGCTGATATTCTTGGTGATTGTTTAGATAATCCAGAGAAAGCTCAAAAGAAGGTACTCAAAGTTTACATCTTTCAATCTATTTTTAAGCTTACCATTTTCAAGCAAGAAGCTTGTTTTATTGAATGAAGTAGATGTGAGATTAAAGTAGCATCCTTTTTGATCTTTTGGGTTGGTTTTGTTTGTTGGTAGATGGAAGAGAGGTTGAGGAAGAAGAGGAACAAGATTCTTCATACCAAGACTGGTTCTGCTAGTTCCATGCAGGTCACTTTCAACAAGTGAGTGACTCAGTTTATATAATTGATCCTCTTTGGTTGGTTTTGCTTACACATTTGATTTGCTACATCATTGGTTGCTTTTCTAATCATCGCTGACTTGTTTCTTCTACAGTGAATTTGATTTTCATGCCTCAAGTTTTGTATATGTTTGTTTTTCTCGTTGTCTGTATGTTTTAGAATTAACTCTCTTTCGCAACGGTTTTGTTGTCTATGTAAGGTTTGAGTATTCGAATTCATACATGTGGTTGGAGTTTCACAACGCTCCTCTGGATAAAGACATTGCCTTGATCACTGATGTGAGCTCCTCTCAAAACTAATATCTTACCATTCACATTGCTGCGTTGTTTTGATGGCTAAAAAATCTTGCAGACAATCCGTTCCTGGCATATCCTTGGACGGCTTGGTGGATACAACTCCATGAATATGCAAGTATGTCTCTCTATATCAGAAATTTAATTATCTAATTCCACTTTCTTCTTGTTAAGCTGTTTTCTCTTTTGTTAACAATGGTGTCAGTTATCGCAAGCGCCGGTGGATAAGAGGCCAAACTATGATGCTATCCTTGGAGCTAATATCGAGCCAACCACATTTTATAACATCGGGGATCTTGAGGTCCAAGACAATGTCGCTCGCATATGGTGATTACTCTTTACTCCACCCTAAAACAATTTTCTCAAGTCTTGTGGCTTAAAGGTTTGGGAGTTCTGTTTCTGGCGTTTGATGATTTGTTGCTGTGATGTGAACGATGTTTTTCGACAGGCTAGATATTGGGACCTCAGAGCCGTTGATTCTTGATGTTCTGATAAACGCATTGACACAAATCAGCTCAGAGTGAGTTCTGTGTTATCTCTCTGTCTAGTAACTTTTAAACGGTTTTGGACTGTACATGGTTGAAGCGCTAATAATGTTAACTGTTTGTTTGTGTCCAGCTATGTTGGGATCAAGAGAGTTGTGTTTGGTGGTTCTGAGTTTGAGAACTGGAAGGAGAATTTGACATCTGAGGAGTCTGGTTTCAGAGTCCACAAAATTTAACATGCTCCTGACTCTGTTTCAAAAACCACATGATATATAACTTTCTCCTTTGATTATTAGCATAAAAACATAATTTTACTTTGTACGTACGTACGTATGCTAATAAACACACAAACGTTGGGTAAAGTTTGGCTACTGAATCATACAAGATAATTAATGTCAATCGATCTTACAATTAGCTCTACGGTACTCTCTCTCTCTCTCTCTCTCTCTCTCTCTCTCTCTCTGATGAAATTAACAAAGAATCGCCAAGTGGAATCTGAAGAAAAGAATCAAACTTTCAATCAGTAACGAAAGATATGCAGAGGCTATGTAAAATTATCGACGGAGGTTAACCAAAGTCTCCGCCTTTAGATGAGGACTAGCTTCAGCGCTAACAGTAGAAGATGAAACGAGGAAGCATCCCTGACAATTAAGAGATTTTTTTTTATGAGATGAAAGTGAGAGGAAGAAAGAGAGAGAGAGAGAGAGAGGGGGCATGCATGCTCCATTAGAGTCGCGATCTGATCCTTTGGAACATCCATTTGAGAGAGAGAGCTTGTGAGGGTTTATGGCAATGGTGGGTTTAGTTAGAACGATGAAGAAGAAGGGATTGGAATCATGGGATCCTTCACGCTCCCTCTTCAATTTTTAAACAAAAGCAATCTCCTAACCGAACCGGATTGATCGGTTATCTCGCTCGGTTCATTAGAATCCCGATACTACGACGTTTTGGAGTAACGCACTCTATTTTTCGAGAGAAGCCAAAATAAAAGAAATTCCAAAGAGGTATATACGTTAAAAGGATGAATGTGCTATTCACGCGCCACAATGAGAGTGGGTAACTTTGAAAAATTGGTTTTGGACAAGAAATTTTTTTTTTTTGAAAAAATTGTTTCATATTAGTGATTATATCAACATAATGTACAAGTTAAAAACTTTACTTGAGAGTTTTGAACATTTTAAAATTTCTAATTATCTTGCTCTAGCAACAATGTTGCTACTCACATAGATATCAAATAACAAGGATGTTTAGAAACGTCGCCGTATTGCTAAACGAGCACATCAACGGCTTTTGATTAGACACTTCACTGAAAGGATAAAAGTAAGATTTACCGTGTTTTGAGCTTCTTCGATCATTTCACTACTTATGGAGAGGGAAGACGATTCTTTTTTTTTGCTCATTTTTGTTCTGCAATCATTGAAAAATCGTTTTGTTTATTTTTTATAAATGAGTTTCGATCCTGTAGCATTATTATATGATGATTGAAATTACTCTTTTCTGTCTGAAGACAAACGCTACAAATCTGGCAATTCGAGCAACAAATGAAAACAATTAAGTTTTGAGTAAAACGATAGCTCTATAATAGTTTCAACTTCATTTTGTGAATAGAAGGATGACAAGGAAGGCGGTTCAAGCAAAACTCTTAGCTGTTCAGGAAAAATCTTAAACCTACAAGCACTGTCTGACACACTCAAAACAAGCATTTTTTATAAGTAAAATATTCATTCAATGGCGGATTCTTCTTAAGCCTGTCTGTTCCTTCTCTTGGGGCCAGACTTGGCGACTCTAAGACCTTTGCTGATCACGCTGAGCCTAGCAAGTGCTGCCTTCTTCAAATCAGGCCTGTAGTAGTTGTCCACAACCTGAAAAAGCATTAAAAAATAAACCGATTAATACTGATAGACAAAGCAAACAAGAAAAGAGGCAAATATGAAAAGGTGCACAGAAGGAAGAATATATCTCAGAAGCCAAGCGTAACAAATATATTTCATAGAAGAAAGACCCCACAAAGGAGTCGTCTCTTCTTACGTGTTAGCTTTCTCATCACTGATAGAATATGCAAAACAAATAAACTAAGTTCATCCTCGAAGTATGATTACACTCTATCTTATTATTAGCACAGAAGCCAAGCGTAACAAGTTTATTTCACTGAAGAACTTCACAAAGAAAGTATCCTTCTATGTTAGCTTTCTCATCACAGATAAGATTGTAACACAGAAAAGCAGACTTAATCAGTACATTGAATTTAACAGCTAAGAGATTAGCTCAGAAGCCAAGCGTAACAAATATATTTCATCGAAGAGAAACCACAAAGGAGTTCTCTCCTTACATGTTAGCTTTCTCATCACAGCTTATTAAAGCTAAACTATCAAATAATTAGAACATCTTTTTATCACAAAAGGGAATATATACGAGTAAACTAATGTCAACAGCTAAGAGATTAGCTCAGAAGCCAAGCGTAACAAATATATTTCATTGAAGAGATACCCCACAAAGGAGTTCCCATCTTACGTGTTAGCTTTCTCATCACAGCTCATTAAACCTAAACTATAACGGAACCTAAAGTATTAATTCATAAGATCATTTTTATCACAGAAAGGCAGATATAATCAGTATATTGACATTAACAGCAAGAGTTTAGCTCAGAAGCCAAGCGTAACAAATATATTTCATTGAAAAGAGACCCCACAAAGGAGTTCTCTTCTTATCAGAACATATAAACAGAACAATAATGCAAAACAATTATTGATTGTAAGTAGAACTGAGTTATATACCTGGTTGGCAACAGCTTTGGCCATCCTGGGGAACTCCTTCTTGAGGACAGACTTGTTAACAGATAGCTTAGGCTTGTTTTGCTTCTTGGTCTTGCTGGTTCCAAGTACCACGCCTTGCTCCTTGTCAGCTATCTGAATGGTCACCGTCTTCTTGTTTGCCAAACCTTAAATCACAGCAAAAGGATCCATAACTTTAACCCCATGGACATACACTAAAAACGAATCCATGAACCGAATAGCAATACAGAGCACCTAAAGCAGATTCTGAGTAACTATTACAAAGCTGAGCATGTTTTGCTTTCAATCTAACATTCTGATTCAATTCAAGATGTTATTAATTTAATAACAATTGCATTTCGATTGAAATGTGTCAATAAAAAACATTCTAATCTCACAGATTAACAATGGTGAGCAACAACTTCACACATATATATATAGAGAAAAATAACAGTTGCAAAATCAATACCAGAGTGTTTGTAAGAGTTGAGGTTGCAGAGGTTGTTGCTCTCCTTGCTGAACTGAACCTTGGCATTGCCTCTACCGAACTGTTTCACCAAAAAACAGTTGTTTCTCTTCACGATCTCCCACACTAGCTGTCCTGGGACTGTGGCCATTTCGATCTTCTACACCAATTAATTTCAAATAGACAGTAAACAATTAATATCTGTGAACAGAACAAACAAGGGCTAGAGAGTGGAATGAGGAGCTGAGAGCGATCCAATGGATGTCAATAGACATTCAAGCTCACCTTAAAAATCGAAAAACTAAACGACGGCGGAATTGAAGAGGTAATGAGTCTTGTGCCGGAGTTAGGTTATGACGATAAGTTTATATATACACTCTCTTGCAAAACCCTAGTTTTAATTCTGTGGAATAGTATTAAATCAAATAATATTACTCTAGAGATTTAACACAAGGGCGTTTGGTCTAGTGGTATGATTCTCGCTTTGGGTGCGAGAGGTCCCGAGTTCGATTCTCGGAACGCCCCTTTTATAATTTGTTTTTCTCCTTGTTATTACGTTTGGTTTATTCTTTCTTCTCTCCCTGTTTATTTTCTAATCCAGTATATATATTTTCTTTAAACTGAACACTAAGCTGGATCATATGAAAATTAACAAACAGCAACACAACTATATAGTATATACAGCAAAACTATAGTTATTACATGGTCACTTACTATCTATATTTGTATACAAACTCTATGGATTCAGCACAACATCTGATATACATCACATCAAACTGGAATCTTGGTTACCAACCCTCTATCACAATTCATAAGTATATACAGAAGAATTCAAGTTACTGACTTGAACTTATATGCCTTAGGTGCCATTTGAGACCCAAATGTCTTCACCTCCTTCAGACCACGTTCCCCAGCTCCACCTCACTCTTGGGTTACTCATTGTGCACGCAGAAATCAGCAAATCTCTAACTCCAGGATCTGTGTCCTGATGCATCATCAGTCTCATGTCTGTCAAACCTTTACAGTTATTGAGTATAGACCTGATGAAAGAAACGTCTGTATAATCTGACGTCTCAACACGTGCTGTTATTTGCTTCAGGGTATCTGTTCCCTTCATATGTACTAGACCACCGCTTTGGAAATGGGTTTTAATGTTTGACCAAGTCACATGACTCAAAGTAAGAGAAGCGATGACAGGGAATGCTTCGAGGATTGTTCCCAATCCAAATTTCAGCCTTTCAGAATCTTCTATCGACTTGACTGAGTCCACTGCTAACTTTCTGATCTTGTTCCCAAAACGAGTGTTTGTGATTAGCCTGTACATATCAGGAGACATAACCTCTAAAGTATCCAATTCTCGAAACTCTGAGAAACTAACACCTTCAGCGTCATCTACAGAAAGAGAAAACTTCACCAACTTGGGTGTTTCCAAAACTAGAGACTTGGGTTTGTTGCATTTCAGCCTGAGTTCAAGGAGGTTTGGCGCAACAATTGCCAGGGAAAGTGGAGCATTCGACACTGTCCAATGGCAACTTTCTAGGTGCAGAAAATGGATCTTCGGCTCCTTAAGTCCACCAACGCCAATCAAGTTCAGTACTTGAAGAAAAGGGAAACAATCATTGACCTTCTCTAGATTCTCATCGTCGAGTCTGATGAACTCCAGTGTCAAATGTCTGAGGTTAGACATCTGAGTTAGACCAACAACAGAGAGCCAAGCATTCTTCACCTCTAGTTTGACTAACTTACTACCTGCAAGATAGAAAATCTATACTTAATGATCCCACATTATTTCCTGTAACTACTTAAAGATACATACAAACATACCTGAAAAGCTAAAAGCACAAATTGATATAACATTCATTACGGCTAAAATGAATCACGTCTGAGCTATTAGACTACATTATCTTAACTACTTATCAATATGACATTTGCTTATATTCATTTCCTTACACCTACTAGTCAAAAGCTTCCCAGTTTCCATTAACTAAAGAATGCGATCAGGAGAAGTTTCTGAAAATTAGATCATATATTATCATCACCATCATCTTTTCTTAGCATATTTTTCTGAGAATCAGATCATATATTATCACCCTCATCACCACCCTTAAGTAAACTTTATGAGAATGAGATCATATATTATCATCATTCATAGTCTTTTTTTTTTCATAATCTTTTCTTAGTAACTTTCTACCTGCAAGATAGAATTCTATACTTACAAACATACAAGATAGATCCCATAAACTGTAACATTCATCACAATTGTGACTACTCATTCCCAATATAAATAACGTTCCATCTATTAGCCTACATCATATCATCAATCTATCATCATCATCATATTCTCTTAGCAAACTTACAGTTAGACGAAATAATCGCCAAAACATCCGACCTTCGCCAACAAGACTGAATCCAAAAATCCGAAATCGACAACACCTCCAAATCATCACAAACCCTAGGCAACCACACCTTCACGAATTCAATATCCGTCAAATACAATTCATCCGAATCATCTTCAACCAAATCGTCAAACGACATCCCGCTGAGCGCCTTATCAACCCCAACCGAAACAGACCTAACGTTGCGTGAATCTTCAATCAGATTCATGAATACCGTCTTGAACGGCGTCACGGCGATCGAACGCGATTTGGAGTAGCGGGACAAAGTGCATACGAGATTCACGGCGTTAACTTCTCTCCAAAGGGAGTTGAATCTCTTGGACGCGACTCGGGATCGAGCTAGGTCTGCGGAATCGTTGAGGCGGTTCAGGATTTTCACCACGAGCTCTGAAGGTAATTCGTCCATGGTAATTTTTGAGGGAAAGGGGAAAAGAGACGAGTCGCAGGATATATATAGTCAAAATAAGTCACGTGTGGAAAGAACCCACACGTGTGGGATGACAGTAAAGTCCATAATACCCTTTAGAAATGTTAAAAATAACAGAAACGCCACTAGTTCGGTTCTGAAGACGGAAGAAAAACCCTTATTGAGTGGGTGAAGCGGCTGTCGGATTTATTGAAAATGGGGAGGAGGATTTTGAACGATGCGTTGAGGACGATTGTGAATGCGGAGAGGCGAGGGAAAGCTTCCGTGGAGCTTAAACCAATCTCCACCGTCATGTCTTCCTTCCTCAGAATCATGAAGGAAAAAGGTCAACTTTCGTGTTTTTTTTCGAAAAAAATGACGTTTATACTTTATATTCAATGATGACCATTTTGGTGTGGAGGATCTGTTAGTAGTGAAGCTAAGATTGAAACTTGTAATGAAATTTAATGTTTTTTTTGCTTCCAAGTTTATGTTTCTGCTTCCGTGAACTAATTGTTTTGATGCTAATAATGAGTGCTTTTGATGTGCTTATGCTTATACCTTATCTTAATTTTGCGATTCATAAAATCTGGTTGGTATGATGTTCATATTATAGATGGTTGACATTTCTAGATAGGGGTTTCAAGTGGTTATAGTTGTAAGTATCTTTATGTGTTGGATCAGCTTTTTAAAGTGTGTTTACTTATAATATCCTATGTGAATTGTAGGTTATATCAAGAACTTTCAAGTCTATGATCCACATAGAGTTGGTAGGATAACCGTTGATCTACAAGGGAGGGTTAATGACTGCAAAGCTCTTACCCATAGGCAAGACGTTAGGGCAAAAGAGATTGCGGAATACACTGAACGCACACTTCCAACTCGTCAGGTTTGTCTCTCCGTAACTTCAGCTTAGTTTACTCTCTCTCTCTAGTTAATCATTACTTTAACCTTGTTGGGGTTTGTTCAATGCAGTGGGGTTACGTTGTAGTCACAACTCCGGATGGGATTTTGGACCATGAAGAAGCTATTAAACGTAACGTTGGTGGTCAGGTTCTTGGTTTCTTTTATTGAAGTGCCTATTCTAGTACACAGCAAGAAGCTCTAGTGTGAAAGAATTTTAACAAATGTTCGAAAATTTCGTTCAAGAACATGTTATGCCTCTGGTTCTTTGTTTTGGTATCTTGAATTGTCTCTGAACAAAGTGGCAATTACAGTACACATTTGCTTGTTGAATCAAAGATCTTATAAAGCATTTCGCAGATTTTGTTGTTTGATGAAGTTAAATCCACTGGTTTTACAACATGTGTCATGTAGCTGTTGCTAACACTCGCTCTGTTATCAATGTTAATATGACATCCCTGTTCGTCCACAAGATACAAAGGAAAACCCACACTAATCAAAATTAGTTCTCAGTTTGTAAAGATATAGTCCATCCTCATAACTATGCTTACACCATTTAAGATAAGCAATCAATATATATATACATGAAACATAAAAGACAACAATCTGATAAGAAAGTCAAGTTTATGTTTTCGTACATAACAAATTAAGTACATAATCGCAAGTTCAATATTTAAGCAGATAATCAAACAAAAGAATAAGAGCTGACAAAACAATGAGTATCATATATAGCAACAAAGGGGTAGTAGATCAGAGAAAAGTTCAGCGACGCCCAGCCCCGAGCTTGGCAAATAAGTCGTCGTAATCTGGGAGCTTGGGATGAACATGGCTAGCTTTCTCCTTAGCTGGTTTTACTTGTTCTGGTGATGTCACGGTTTCTGGAATACAACTTGAAGATGAAGCTGGCCTTTCTCGATCAGCCACTGGTTTGGCCTTATGAGCTAGCTTTGGAGGAGATTCTTGATCGTGAGAAACTGTAACAGTTTTTGGAAGAGAGCTTGAAGAAGCTGAATCTTGTTTCTTAGCCAGTGGCTTGGCCTCAGGTACTAGCTTTGGGATAGGTTCCTGTTCATGATAGTCTTTGTCAGTTTTTGCAGTAACCAGGGAGGATGATCTTCTCTCTTGCCCCTTTGTTCTTCGTGAGATGGATATAGACGGCTTGGTCTGAATGCTTGAACCACCTCTATGTGACTCTCTCTCATCATCTTCATCATCACTGGACACTGAGTGGAAATATGAGGCAACAGCAGGGGTAGTCTTCTTGTCTTGTCTTCTAACAGAAGCTCGAGTAGGGATAGCTTCCTTCGAGTCGTCATGGGTGACACGTGAATGAGGATGTGTAGGGCGTGTTCTTACCTCAGTTTTTTTATCTTGACTTCTGATAGAAACTCTCTTTCGAAGTTCCATCTCTGTTTCATCATCACTAGAAGATGAATATGGAGGTATAGAGTTTGGTCTCTTGTCCGGGTTGCTTGATTCCTGAGTGTAAAGATCTTTCCTGATACTGCTGGAAGGAACCGTCTGCGAAGAAGAAGACCTCGGCGGATCAACCTCTGTTTGAACATCCTCTTTTACAGACTTGGACAATATCTTGTCTCTTGGCGGGCTCATTCCATAAGGTGGGAGAGTCTTTTCATTACTGAGTTCATCGGTCACAGGTCCAGAGCTAAGACCTTTAGGAGTTTCTGTGTCGGACTCTTCATGTGGCATGGAATCATCTTCTTGGTCTTCTGTGTCTGAGGGGAAAAAGTAGCGTCCTAAATCATCAGGAACGTCAGCTACTGGTGACTTGTGAGATGTCACCTTTGGCTTTTCTTCTACACGTCCAGAAAGTATCCCTATGTTTCTCATATCGTCTTCCTCACTTTCAGAATCTCGGTCATAATCGTCAAACTTTGCAGACGGCTCTGGCTCATGCAGAGAAGCTGGAGGACTTGTAGGGCAATCATCAAATAATGGAGCACTTGGCTTCTCCTTTTCAAGAACCTCTGAGGTTGAGCTTTGTTCCAGAGACTTGTCTCCTTTGAAACTCCATGAATGTGTCTCTGATGGCAAATGATCAGGTGTTACATCCTTACTTCCAAGCAATGAAAATCCTAATCCATGTTCTGCCTCATCGCCATAAGCATCTTCTGTGTCGAATTGAGGTTTATCAAAAAACGAGCTATGGTCATCAAAAGCTGGACCGTGATTATATCTCTCGGTGTCTTCAACAGTGCTCTGAAACCGGTTCTCCTCAAAGATGTTTGGTGCATCGAAATGGTCTGAGGAAGTGACGTTATTGTCATCAGAAAAATAGCTTGTGTGTGATCCTGAAGAAGCGTGGCTTGACTGTTTCTTGAGTTGAACACCTTCTGAACAGCTAACGTTGATATCATCTTTACTTGGCTGCTCCATCTCCAATGAGCTATCTCGAGAATGACCTCTCTTCCATGAAGCATTTTCTGATTGTTCATCAACATTCTTCTTAGAAAGCTCAGTCCTAGCAGTAGATTGATCTTCTTGCCTGTAACTGCTTCTTGGCATTTCTTCTTTAACAAACCCTCCGCTTTGCACATTTGAGCTGCTACTACTGTGTCTATGTGAGGGCTCGTTTCTTCTTGGCATTTCTTCTTTAACAAACCCTCCGCTTTGCACATTTGAGCTGCTACTACTGTGTCTATGTGAGGGCTCGTTTCTTCTTGGCATTTCTTCTTTAACAAACCCTCCGCTTTGCACATTTGAGCTGCTACTACTGTGTCTATGTGAGGGCTCGTTTCTTCTATTATCATAAGAGGATGAGTTCTGAGACTCTGTAGAACTCTGCATCGTCGTCCTCATCCTTTCTTTACTTGAAAGCTCAGCAGCTGCACGTGCAGCAAAACTCGCTCTTGCAGCAGATTCAGCAGCTGCACGTGCAGCAGCCGTAGCATCAGCAAATTCTGTTTCATATGGAGATGAATCCCCATAACCTGGATTCGGAGGTCCGTGTTCTCTGCCATCAGTCTTATCTCCTGTGGAAGAAAATATCTAGCGCGTCAACACAAACAACAACAAAAAAAACAGAACAAATGTTTATACTGAAAAAACTAACCATAAGGTCTTGTATCTTGATGATAGTAACCAGTAGATGCAGTGCGGCATGAAGATCTTCCATCAGTTTCATATACGTTCTGCGACACGTTAGCAGTAGCTGGAGCTTGAAACTCTGGAGGTTGATTGTGTGGGATTCTTGCAGAACCTGGGTTTATGTCACTAACTGACTGAGAGGAACTTGCTCCACTCTGCTCAAAAATTGAAAATGCTACTGAGCAAACAGATACTAAAGAAAGAGGCAGATGAAATCAACACCCAAGAGTGTCTTAGGTTATGAAATGAAGATATAGTTACTGACCATCAATACAGTTTCCTTTGGATCTGGCTCAACCACAGTTTCTGCTTCCCATGTTACATTATGCTCCATAGCAATCTCTTTCAAAATTTTGTTCTTTGTTGGACCATCAGGAGCTTTAACAGACAGTTTATCCACCAACTAAGCATTAACAGAGAGAAAGAAGAATCAACATCAAGAACGGCTCTCTCCTACAAGCATTAGAGAAAGGAACACAGCAAGCAAACAAACTTACCAAGCGACTCACACCAGAATCTTGCTGCAACCCAACGGCAGCAGAAACAAAATCTTTTCCATACTTTGCAGAGAAATGCTTAACGACATCAGCTAGCTCAGTGACATCTGATAACCTTTTTGAAGCGTATAAAACACTCGCAACAGCTTCCTTAAGATCATTAGGGCATGTCCTGAAAGCAAGACCACAAAAACAAACAATAATCAACAACACATCACAGATTAAAAACAAAAACAAAAAGCGTGAAAGTTTGGAAATATGAACGTACTTTTGTGAGTCAATGACACCCAAACGAATAACGATAAGTTCACAGTATATACCAACGAGCTCATAAGCAGCCACTGTCTTCTCTTCTCTCACTACATGCTCCACCTGAGACAAATAAAATCACTAATAAGCATTAATCATTCTACAATGATGGATTCATGAAAGATCCGATTTTGATTGCTTTACCCGGATTAGAGCCGTCTGGGTCTGCCCTGACTCTAGCAAATGAGCCAATTCTCTCCTCAACTGCTTGATCTGTGTATCCTTCTTGTTCTTCAGTATTTTCAGCCTCGAAGCCGCCATTTGCAATGTGATTTTGCTTCATTACAAAAAGAAAAACAGGAATCATTAAAAAACAGAAAATTGCAATGGCTCAGTGACTCAGAGGAAAAAGAAAAGTATTACCATTTCGCTGGCTTGAAGCTTCGATGAAGCACCTTCTTCATGGAGACAAGAGAGAGCAAAATCAAGCCTTTAAGGTCTGGGAGTCTCTGAGTAGCCAATTGAATGGGAGATTTGGTGTTTTTGTTGAAGATCAGATGAAAAAAAAGGATCTTTACGAGAAACTTAACCGAAGAAAAGTATCAGACTTTAAAGACGATGGAGAAGATGAAGAAGACGGATAAAAGTATCAATCATAGGATGAAGAAGAGGAAAAAAGGAGATTGACTTTTCTACAAAAATAGTTAAAATAGTGTTTGAAGATCGATGACGCGTTTAAGTGACTTGTAGAAACGTTTATGGATTTTGCCACCTAAATAAGTCCAGTTACAAACTTTATAAACATTATAATGCATTTCAACAAGGATGTATAAATAATAGTTTGTCGGATATTAATATATTAAATTACATTAACAAACAATATCTTATGAGAAAATGATTACATTACATTACAAATATAGTTTTTGTGTCTTCTCTGTTTCCATCAGCTTAGATTTTGGAAGTAATATAGTCAATCAGAAACATTTTGCTTCAAGTGTTGTAATGATGTACAACTTTCTGATATGGAATGCGATTTAGGTGGCTTCCAATGTTGCAGTCTTACTTAATATGCATAGGAATTGGTTGTGTTGTGCTCCATGTTTTACACCATGTTTCTTGGTGACATAAATGTTTTACACCATGTTTCTTCTACGTACAGTCTGGTCCGGACTACAACTCAGACTCAAACTCCTCTTTAAGTTAACAAAAAAACGACCTAAAAATAGAGAATTGCTTCATCAAAGTCTTAAACCTTACTATTTAAAGAGAGCAACTCAATTCCGTCTTTGCTCACATACATACTAGTAACGTTTTAAAGATTTATATATCGGTGGTGTTGACGATTTGTATTTTGATTGCATTAACCAAATCTTCCTTTTGAAACAGTTTGCACAAGAGACAAACTCTTTTCCCGTGGTTGTCAATGTAGTACACGTAATCTTGAAACTTCAGGCAATAATCTTTCACTGGTTGTTCATGAACAAACTGTAGGTGCAACATATTAAGCAGACAAACACGTTAAGTTAGTAACTTAAAAGAGTTACAAAAGCAATTTGTTTTTTACCAAAAAAGATAGTGTTCTGCATGACATCTCAGAAAGGTTTGATTTATTTATTATTTAATTCCTAAATAATTTTCAGAAAGGTTTGATTTATTTACAGCCAAAGACAAAAGTTTCTTGGAGTGGTCAAAGAAACTGATGCTACTTCCATGTTCCAGCTTTTTACTCTGCCATTGTTCCAGTTGCTTCTTTGATACAAAGTAACAACGACGCGTTAAGTAATTTGTAGAAACGTCCTTTTTTTTTTATGAATGTTATAAATGCATTTCAACATTTTTTTGAAGGATATCTAAGTCATATATAGTTTATCAGACTTAATATATTAATAAAATTCCATTATAGTAGTAGCAAAGTCCACAAGGTGTTGTACGAAGCACCAAAGATCTAATCTCGCCGGAGAAAATAAAAAGAGAAATTTTGGAAAAGATAAAGATCTAATCGAAAGTATCTGTCGGGATATTCGTTACTGTAAGGATAGTATAATTATTTTCAAGAGAATTAACATTTTATAAAAAATAAAGGCAAAATGTTTTGAATTTTTGATGATACGACGTCGCGGAGGCAGATACATAACTAAATGTGTTTTGTGGGTAACGCGCTCGCTTTTTTTGAGAAAGATGGAAGAATCCCCAAAAGCAAAGAATTTCCATAGGCTATCATATGCTACAAGAGGCGGTGGTGTTAACTCGCCCTTGGGTGAGAGTGGGCAATCTTCAAATTAGGTTTTGGGTAAGAAATTTATTTTTTTCTGAAAAAATTGTTTCATATAAATGATTGTATCATCAAAATGTACAAGTTAGATACTTTATTTAATAGTTTTGGACATTTTAAAATTTCTAATTATCTTGATCTAGGAACAATGTTGCTAAGCACTTAGATATATCAAATAACTAGGATTCTTAGAAAACGCTGCCGTATTGTATGACACAAGTGGCTTAAACTAAACAAGGAAACTATAACGATTACATTAATACGAGTTTTTTTGGCGCATTGAACAAATAAAACGACTACTTGTAAAACGATGGGGCAGGCAAGGCATCAAAAGAATTATTTTCGAGATGGTCTCTCAAATGGCATTTCTGGAACTAGACAGTCTCATAAGATTACTGAGAACCTAGCCAGGAGGGTGTGTTAGGCTTTGAAGCGAAGCTCTTCTAGCAATTGGGAGTTCTACAAAATAAAAAACAGAGAAGAACGTTAGTCAAATATTGCTAAAGACAAAAGCGCCGAGAAAGAACAGAACCAAACAGGCCTGAGGAAAAAACTACCGCAAGCTAAAGAGGAGCTGTTAGTCTGTATTGGCTCTGCTTTTGCTGAGGTTTTTGCAGGAGTAGGAATTTGGGTAGTAGAAGCAATTATCTTTATGGTTCAGTTCAGCTGTGAAGCTTTTGGTAGTTCCTTTATTAGCTAAGTCAATGACTTGTTTGGCTTTCTCACCAGGAAAATCATCAAACACCATAACTTGACTACCGTAGAATAATATGGTCAAGGGAGCACAAGGTTCAGACTCCACCTTCACAATACCAAACCCTCCTTTACTAATCACTTTACTGAAGTTGTTTGTAATGCTAGGGACTTCAGTGTATGTGGTTTATAGTAGTAGGGATTCTGGTATGATAAACATTTGCTTCAACTGTTGTATGATATACAACAACTTTCGGATATAGAATGCCATGGAAGTGGTTTATAGTAGTAGGGATTCTGCTTTTGCAGTCTTACATTACACCTCAATAAGCATAAAGGTTGGTTGTGTTAATACACCAAATCCGAATCTTGATGACATTAATACTTTATGCCATGTTTTTGAGATTAATACAAGACTAATCCGGACTAGGAAAATGCTAGAAACTCTGATCCAAACTCCTCTTAGATAAAAAAGACAAACAAACTAAAAACAGAAAATGATTCATCAAAGTCTTAAAACCTTAGAGCTCACAACAAACAAACAAACAAACAAACAGAGAAAATCATAAACTTGGAGCAAAATCAAATCTCTTTGTCTTTGCTCAGACACACATACTAATAACGTTTTAGTGCTTTTTTATATCTCAGGTGGTGGTGTTGAAGAAATGGATTTTGAGAGCATAAACCAAACCATCCTTACGAAACAGCTCGCACAAGATACGATCACCTTTCTTCAGTCCGTTCCTCATGCATATGAGGTTCCACTTTTTGATACACAGACGATCACGCCAAGCTGATGCTTTCGCTTCTAGCTTCCCATCTTCGTGGTTGTCAATGTAGCTCACGTAATCTTGGAACTTCAGGCAGTAGTCTCTCACTAGCTGTTTAGGAACCCTCTGTATATATAGTTACAAACAATATTAACTCAGTAACTTTAAAAGAGTTAAAACAGTTTAAGAAAAATGATCTGTTGCGGGGTTCTTAATTACCAGCTCGTAGATCCTGTTCTTCACGACTGTCTCAAAACATACATTCTTTGGATCATCTAGATACACCTCTGGATTCTTGATTGTAGTCTCTGTCCATAAGAGAAAACACATTTTCAAGATTAAGTATCTACCACGTAAGGTTAATAGCAAATGGTGTTTAACCTCTCTTCCTAGATTCTGAACGAGAGCTGTTGCTTGTTGAACCAACAATAGAGTTTACTGATCTGAGCTCTCCTGTAAAGATTCAATAGATAAACACAGTTATGTATCCTACAGAATGATGCAACTGATGAAAGCTAATGTGTTTTAGTGACCTTTGTTCCTAGAGTTTGTCACTTTTGGGGTCACGTCAAGGAGTGTGTCTTCGTCAGGAGGAGAGTAGGAGCTGTCACTCATGCTGTTGGAATCCTCTGACGTAAACGATTCATCAGAATCTACCACAACAACTCTCTTTTTTCCTGGGAAAAAACACAGATTTTTGATATAAAAAACTAATCAAACAAAATAATACAAAGTGATGTAAAAAGCTAATATTGTGCTTTAGACCTTTGTTCCTGGTTCTTGGGACTGTCCTTGCCATCTCAGGTTCAGTGATGTTGGAACCCTCTGAGGAAAAACCACAAAATCTCAGCATTAAGAAAAACAGAGCTTCTTTGTACAAAAAGCAAACAAACGAAATGACTTTTAAGTGATGAAAAGGCTAACCAGTGTGGTTGGCATTGGGGACAGACTGCGCCATCTCAGGTTCTGAAGAAGTGTCTGAGTCTTCGCTGCTCAGATGACAAACACTGTCTTCTTTGTCATCATCATCATCATCATCATCATCATCATCATCATCTATGGCTATGACTTGAGCAACAGCTCTGACCTCTTTACATCCTCCTCTGCCATAGATGCTGACCTTGAAATTGCGAGATCCATCATAAACAAAAGTCATCACGTCTCCATCTCTGAGACGGTTATCCTCCACGAACTTAGGCCACCCTTGTCCAAAATACACCTGACCTCGCCTCTTAGTCATAGCCACCTTCCAAAAGCATCCACGGCTTCCTTGGAGAAGTGCTGTTTTAGGCAAAGCAAGTGGTAACTCATCGTAATAAGACTCCGGAATCATCTGCACATGTACCATTGAAACCATTAAATCAAAAGACAGCTTATTACAAACAAGAGAGACTCTTAAGGTAAGAAGACTCAAGAGCCATCTAAACTCGTCATCAAGTTGAAAGCTCTTGTCACAACATAGGCTTTCCACACAAAAATTACAAGACTTGGTTTCATTTCATCCAAGAGGCGTACAGACAGTTAAAAAGACCAGACTCTCCTAAGAAAAACTGATTCAAAGTCCATGACAAGACAAAAAAGAAAAGGATAGACAAAGAGAAGATTCGTACCATGGATTCTGAGCTGAAATGAGAGAGGAAGATCTTAAGGAAACGTGGGAGAGCCATTGAGAGGAGATGAAGAGTGAGTGAGAAACTGGAAACAGAGAAGATGTAAACTATGGTTTATGTAGAAAGAGAGCAGCTTTGACGATAAGTCAAAGTAACGATGAGCACTCTCTAGTCTTTTTTAAGTAAGTCAGTGTACTATTTATTATGCATGGGGCATCTCAGAAATGTTTAATTTATTTACAATTTGATCCTCAGATAATTTGCAGAAGAACCCTGTAACTTCTAATAAATTGCGGTCAAAGACGAAGAAACAGGGAATCTTTTGAGTGTGTTTGAGTGTTTGGAGTGGTCAAAGAAACGATCGTCCAGTACGGTGCCCATCTGATACTGATGCCTACTTTCTGACCTTTTTGCCAGTTACTTCTTTGGTATAAAGCTTACTTTTCTTTTCTTTTTTTAATTCTATATATATATTATAAACAAAAACACAAATGGAACTTATAAATTAATAAATGGAGTACTAAAGAAAATTAGACTCAAAAGCAATGAAGACACACACACACACAAAATCAAAAATGATCAAACGTCATTTTTAATTAATTTTGCTTAGTCTACTTCTCAGTCACCATTTCCTTGTAATGATGATCTTTGTGGCTCACGATCCAGCTCAGCGGCTAAGCATTGTTGCAGCTCAGACACAACCTGGTTCATTGCTGGTCTGTTAAACCCTCTTTCTCGTACGCATGACATTGCCAACTCAACAAATTTCCAGGCCGAGTCCGATGAGTAGTCTCTGTGAAGCAGTGGGTCCACGACTCCGTCAAGCTCTCCTGTCTCCAAGAAAGGCTCAACGAAGTGGATGATGCTTATTTTTTCTCCCTCTTTTGCTCTCACTATGGCTCGCTTGCCAGTTATGAGTTCAAGAAGCACGACCCCGAAACTGTACACGTCGCTCTTCTCGTTCAGCATAAACGTCCTGTAGTATCTGCCACCATGCAATGCACACGTGAAATGTGTTTAGTTTATTAGATATGTTATGAATCCCAAATGTTTATTTACATAACTTGATTAGCCAACCCCTAGATCAAATAAACCGAATGATCATGTGATATGTATTTATAAAAGGAAACTTACTCAGGATCAATGTAACCGGGAGTTCCCATGACGGCAGTCTCGACGTGGGTGAGATCTTCATCAGGGAGGATCTTAGAAACGCCAAAATCAGCAATCTTGGCTTCCAAGTTAACGTTTAACAGTATGTTTGCTGTTTTAACATCTCTGTGTATTATTGGTGGTCTGCATCCATGGTGCAAATACTCCAACCCTATCAAGTGAAAAACAAATTTAACATAAGTTTCACACCTGAACCAGACTAAACCGGGGTTGAGATCTCGGTTTTGACTAACCTTGTGCAGAGTCTATGGATATATGGAGTCTCTTCTCCCAGCTAAGATCTTCTGCCTTCTCACTTGAAAGATATTCTTGTAAGTTTCCATTGGCCATGTACTCATAGATGAGAGCTGTACTGCGTTCATCATCGCAGTATCCGAGAAATGATGCTAAGTTCCTGTGATGGACTGTCAAAAGAAGCTCTGCCTGCACAACATCTTACACATCAGAACTATCTGGTAAATTTTTTTTTTCTTTGTGTTATTTAGATTACCTCGACTTGGAATTCTTTGGAAGCTTGTGATGATGAAGATGATGATGTTCCATTAGGTATTGTAGATAAAGAATCTTTAATCATCTTTACAGCAATTTTAGTTCCATTTTCTAGGGAACCAAGGTACACTATACCAAAGCCTCCTTTACCAATCACTTTATTGAAGTTGTTTGTAATGCTAGAGACTTCATCATATGTGAACCTTCTCTTCCCTGATGGTAATAACGGTCCTGGTCCTCCATTGTCTCCGAACATTCTCTTTCTTGAAGGTGGGATTGGTCCTGGTCCTTCACTGGCTCCTGAAACTAAACATTTGACTTTTCAGCAAATACTTACTTCAATTCATTGAGCCGTAAGGTAAGAATTCCAAACGCCTCACCTCTTCTTCGTTGCCTTAGTATGATCCATATGATCACCAAAACCACAAGGAGAACAATCACTGATGTGCCAACAGCTATTGGCACAACCATGTTCTTCTTCTTCTTTTCTTGACAAGAGCTTGTGTTACAAAGGTTTTTGTCATCCATACTGATGACAGATAGACAGCAAATCAAAAAAAATTGAAGTGAGAAACTACTTGACTTGAATAACGTTTCTTTAAAATACTAGGAACGTTACCTGAGTGCAAGTACACCGTCCTTCATTTTTTTCATAAGAGAATTTGGGATTGACCCAGTGAAGTTATTCCCTTTCAAATTCCTTGCAATAAAAGTAACATGTAAATAGACAAATTCATTATTAAAATAGATTAAGGCTACATACTTGTACTAACTTACAGTGATTTCAAATGTTTTAGATCAGCCAAGAATTCAGGCACATTATCTTGTAGGTCATTGTTAGATAAATCCCTGTGGAAACAATGCATACTTATCTTAACAGTTAATCCGAATAAAGTAGTGGAAAAATGTGTATGTGTGACTTGTATCTGTCTACTTACAATGACTCAAGAAGGGTGAGATTTGTGAATGCCATTACTAATGGTCCATGTAACTCGCTTGAACTAAGATTCAAGGACTTGATATGATGATTGTTATTATTGTAGCTGCATCCAACACCTTCCCAAGGGTATAATCTTGGAGCACAAGGATCACCACTCCAAACTTTCTTAACTTTATAAGTCGATCTTATGCTTTCCATCGCGTGAACTGCAAGTAACAAGAGAAACTGTGAAAAGCATCCTTTACATATCTTACAGATTCTAAGTAGAGATGCAAACACACCTTCTTCTACTGCAGTGGAAAATTCATCTAGAGATTGCGCTGTAAAGATCTCAATGGCATTGAGAATAGGTGGAAGTGTTGAATCTTCTGTCTTCTGAAGAGATATCAAGTGATCACCAGTGAAAGATCTTGAAGCTGACAAAGTCATTGAATACTTTAAAGGAGAAATGAAAGGATCTTCTGAAATAGGGGAACCGTTCCACCATATCTTCATCTTCCTACTCTCATCGGTCTTGAGATTTTCGAGTTCCGCCAAGTAAAGAAATGCATAGAACCTAGCATTTGTATCATCTGTTGTCCATGAAAGTTCCATTGTCTCTTCTTCGCTTTTAGGTGAAGCAGCTGTCTTAATAACTTCATCAGGTGGTCTGTAACCACTCTGAAAAACATCGATATAGCCAGTTGTCTTGATTGAACTCCAAGAGGGTGAAGTGTAAGGAGACCAGATACGATCATACACATCGTCTTGGTACCGTCCTGTTCCGTTCAAATATCCTATGTCCCATCTTTGGTGTAGCACCAACGAGATGTTTCTTCCAAACTCAGTATTATAGATTGAGCTGTTCACTGGCCTGAGCTCCAAGCCTGAGATAAAAGGTGTTCCTTTACCTTTATTCACAAGGCAAATGTATATAACCTCTGACTCTGTAAAGGTCAAGATCTCTTTAAAGACTTGCTCAGAAGCGTTCTTGAACTTCACTGTTGACCAGAAATTCACGTTCAGGTAAAGATCAAATTCTGGTAAGGCCTTCTCGTTGACACCACCGTCATAGTTTCCGTACATGAAGGAGGCTCTGATGAGGTAAAGATTGTCTTTAGCATCTGAAGGTTTCAAGGAGTAACAGTTTCTGTTTCCTTGTGGAAAAGCTCTTAGATCAGCAAGAACGTAGGGTAAGTTAGGGAATGCAGGGTAATTGTATTCTTTAGAGACGTTATGGTTTAAGCCTGCGGTTATGAAATCATCATCTGGGGCGTAACTGATACTAGTAAGAGGATCTCTCTCGGTACCTTTAAGAGGTGCGCCACAATCTATGCTGATGTAACCTGGATCAGAGGAGAAGAAAAAGAGATTACTTCTAACACAAGTAAAGTTGTTTATATCACAACTTTCAAACATCTTCAAGATCAAGAACTTGCATGATTACTTACGATACAAGATATTGTACAACATCTCCAAAACATTATTAAAGATTCAGGATACAATACATAGAGGAGAAGAGAGAACCTGTGTGGGTTTGGCCGTCAACTAAAATGGTGGTGGCAAGGAGGATACAAAGAAGACAGAGAAAGAGAGAGCCATGAGCTCTCATCTTCTTTTCTTCTCTTTCTCTTTCTTTTCTCTTTTTGTTTTCTCAAAATCTTCAGCGTATCATCATCATGGATAATAACTCAGACAACGTGCGAAGTTGCGATTAAGACAACAGAAACACCAACAAAGTTCAAAGTCTACTCCTCATGTCCTTACTTTATTAGCACCAATACAACTTGTAAATTTTTATTTCACATTTTCCAGGTTGTTTTTCTCTCTTTTTTTTTTCCTTTAATTTGGTGGTGACTGGTCTATGAAGATAGCACAAGACCCATTCGGGTTGAATAATTAATTTTTTTTTTAATGAAAGAGTTAAATATTCTATACTATTATTTGCGAAGTGATTTTTTCGGAGCTCCCACGTTAAAAGTTGGAATGGTTAATAACGTTTATACCCTTAATGAAGAAAATATATAAATCAGCCAAAAATAAAATAAAAAAACGAATTTAATACTTATTTGATTAGATAAATGATTTAAATTAATAATAATGATAAGAATTATCCATAATCTAAATATATATTTAAAAATAAAATAAAAATATAATTCCTATATATATATTGTGTTGTTATCAGAAAAATATATTTAATTAATATATAATCAACCATAAATTAGAAACAAATTTCACTGATTTGATGACTATTATTATCTAAAAATAGTTGATATTAATAAACCATAAACTAAAACTGAATTAATATATAGGTAACAATAAAGTAATTATATTTAAAAAATGAATTTTCTGATTTATCATATTCTCCATAATTTTATGTAATTATACTTATTTATCATGTTTTTATGATTTTGACTAATGATTAATTATTACCCTTAATTAATGACTAAATAAAATTATAGTTATATAATTATGAACCGTATATTAATTAGATTTACTACCCTTAATGACAAAGCAAACATAAACTTAATGACTAATTAGATTTATTACTATATAATGATTAATTAGATCTATTACTATATAATAATTAGAAACAAATCTTATTTATCATGTTTCTTATGATTTGATGATTATAATTATCAAGACTAATGATTATAATAAATCTAATTATTCATTATATAGTAATAAATCTAATTAGTCATTAAGTTTATATTTGCTTTGTCATTAAGGGTACTAAAAATCATAAGAACATGACAATTATATTTACTATCCTTAATGGCGAAGCAAACATAAACTTAATGACTAATTAGATTTATTACTATATAATGACTAATAGTTATTACTATTTGACCAAAAAAAGATATCTTACTATATAATAATTAAAATTTTCTATATATAATTAAACACAAGTAAAAAACGAATTTCAATGATTTTAGATTTATCTTGATCTAAAACTATTTTATATTGGGTTATAAAATCTTTATTAACCTTGAAATATAATTATATTTTTAGTAATATATCATTAATTATAAACTAAAAACGAATTTCATTTATTTGATAACCATCCTTATTTTTTTTATATTATTTCTTTATCAACATTGAAAAATAATTATATTTAAAATAATTATATTTGTTAATATATAATTAATTCTAAATTAAAAACGAATTTCATGAATTTGATAATTATCGTTATCTAATTTTTTATATTGTGTTGTAAGTCTTTATTAACCTTGAAAATAATTATATTTGTTAATATATATTCAATTATGAAAAATTAATTCAAAAAGAATTTATGTATAGATAGTTTACATTACTAAAGATAATTTTATTATACTTTTTTGTTATGTCTAAAAATGATATTAATTTATAACTAAATATTTTAAATTTATGAGTATTTACACATTTAATTTGTGTAATGACAATTATTTATATGATGATGAAAAATTTTATATACAGAAAAAAAAATTGTTTAGATTATTATTAAATATTTTCAGTGTATGAATAATAATTTATTGTAATTTACTTAAATTGATTATATTTGTTTATAGATATTAGAAAATTATTAAGCCCGCAAGTGCGGAAAAAACGCCTAGTTATGATACTATTAAGAAATAGGTTTTAAGTTCCAGTGGATGAATATAGATTTGTTTTTAATAATTAAAAATTTTATACGTGTATAATTTATAGATTGAAATGCTAAATGTTCTAAAAATAGTAAACAAGGGGGGAGTTTTGACTAGGGCTCATCACCATCGTGCCATTCACGTTTTAGACATGTGTGACTTCAACCTAAAATGATAATAATCTAGAAGCTCGATGCAATGTATAACCATAATATCAATTACAAGACTACATAAGAATTCCAAAATAGCAAATGAGATGTAAGAAATAAAAATAAATAGCTATATATCGCATACAAATACAATACACAAAACTAAGAGTCATGTGTTTAGTTTAAAGTGGCAGAGACTTTAGATCCTTCTTTTCTCTGAAGGGGAACTTTTGTTCCAAGGCCATCCTTTGTGTCCGCTTTACTCTGAGCAAGATTCACCTCCGCCACGGGAGCCTTTCCTGGCACCAGAGGTTTAAAAATATTACCTGCGCAAAGATTATTCATATGTTAGTTGTAACATACAGTTCAGTAGCATAATTACATGAATAAAACAGAGAGCTTGACTTTACCTATCTTACTGAAGAAAATACCATAATCCATTCCATTGTATACGGTCGGTATCACCTTTGAGTAAGGACATTTGGGGGAAAAGCCAACCTTTGTTCCATTAGATTGTTTGATTGCTTTGCTTAGTCTGTTAACGCAATGCTTGAATTGCTTATGGCAGTTAACATAAGTCATACCTGAAAAAAAACCATATTAGAGAAAAACAACTTCTCTTACAAGGTATCTTTTTTAATATACTTTATGATTTGAGTTAACCTTTTAAATCAACACAATTGTCATGGGTCATGCAACAAGCGTCAAGACCATCACAAGGTTTCTCTCCAGGGCATCCAAAGTATCCTATCCCACAGTACTTCCCGTAACGAATGCCGACAACTGATGAGAAACAGAGTTTCATGTAAGAAAGAAGTGATTCTCCAAATTCAAAGGGAATGCAGTAGTAGAAGATAATAAAACAATCTTAACTGTTGCAGTTCTTTGCAATGCAGGTTTTGCTGCATTTCTCCTATTAGATATTGATTCAGCCCATCAGAAAAAAATGCAACAAACATGAACATAGATAACAGTAATTATAACCTTGCTGTGAACGAATGTGAAGAGTAGGAAGGCGGTTAACCCGAAAGCAACACGTGACAAAACACCACCGTGAATCATCTTTGTCTTTCTTTAGATGAAGTTTATGTTGTTTTGTTTTTTCAAGATTGTGACCCAAAGATTGAGACTCCTTGGAACTTGAAAGATCTCACTGGTCCTCCTGCTTTCTCGACATCTTCCTCTCTTTATGTAGTTATGTACCAGACTTAAAATAGAATTATGCATCATAGACATTTCTGTTTACCTTTTGGAACCAACACGATTATTACAAACAGAGTATTCACAACAGCTAATCATTCGTTTACCTCTTGTCTGTTACTGAAATCATCAAACCAGAACCAAAAAACTTAGAAAGTGACAGAAATTTCCTCTGGAAATATCTGTTCTCATCAAAGAAAGTTTTTTCTAAGCTTCAAATCTTCTGTCAACTATCACACCTTCAAATATCAATATAACAAACCATATTCTTTAAAATTTATAAAGAAAATACCCACTAAAAAACTTGAAACACAAGAAAAAAAATGAAATCACATGATTGAGCAGGGCTGAGCATGATCATCACTAAAATAGCGAAAAGGAGAGTCATGTGCAGGAAAACCCTTCTTGTCGTAGTAATCCAACGGATAAGCAGCGGGCCCCTTCCTTGGAAAAACCTTTGGAGCCTCGTGCCTTACCATCAGTGCCCCCGGTGCAAAATATCCGGGCGGACCCACCGGCCTCGGCAACGTAAATACCGGCATCATCGGCCGTACAGGATGCCCGAAACCACCTCTAACTGGTGGTAACGGGCAAGTTGCAGCCGCGGGTGGCGAAGGTTCCTCTCGTTGCTCTTCATTACAGTAACGTTTGAGCAAGGAGCTGAACTGGGTCTTGGCTTTAGTTGGGTCCTTTTCGTAGGCGTAGAGTTTTGGGGTTTGTCCGATTTTTTCGATGGTTTGGATAAGTAGTGGAGGCTCTGCTGTGCCGGAGACTATGATCAGTCCCTTGGTTGGGACTATGGTTATGGCGTAAACTCCTGTTTACCGTAATATTATTAGGTTTAGGTTTAAATTAATCATTTTTTTATAAATAAGCGGGGGAAATTGATTATGGTACCTGTTACTTTTCGAAGACGTTTCTTTACTCTGCTGGCAAAGTCTTCGCAACATTGGAGATCCATTTTCAGTATGCAAATCTGTAGAAACGGACACCAAGAATATATAAAAATTAATTTGAAGATCTAAATAGTTATTATTGTATCTTTTTTTTTCCTTACCGGAAAATTCAAATCCTTCATTTTTTGTGTGTTCTCAATATGTTGAATCGAGTTAGGGTTTTTTCTGTCCGTGACCAAAAAAAACAGAACAAGGAGAGTTATGTTAGAAAGAGAGCAGGGAAAACTTTACGAGAAATTAAAATTCAAAATCATATGGTAAGATTACCTGTGGGAGAGAAGGGTGAGGAGGAGACTGGACGATACTGACGGTTACAACTTTTTTCAAGAAGATTCTAGGAAAGAGGAGTGTGTGGTTTTTCTCTGAAAATGTGGGAGAAAGAGGAGGTGAGCGAGGTGTCTGATGAGGGTTTTATAAGGGTTGTATAACACATTATGACCTAAACAAACATGAAAAATAGAATCATTATACTCGATACTTGTTTCCTTAAACAGATTATTTTAAACATTGTCAATAAAGAGTGTACAATACAATAAAAGTTTTTGATTGAGTTAACCTTTTTAGATTGTCATGGGTCATGCAAGACCATTCACAAGGCTTATCTCTACGGCATCCAAAGTATCCTATCCCACAGTACTTATTTAGTTGTTTGCTGTTAGTTATATCAAACAAAGGCCAAATCCTCTTGGAAATATTTGTTCTTATTAATCACAATCTTATCAAATATTGTTTAGCAAAATGTTATTTTTTTTCTTTTCTCAGCTCCAATTCCTCTGTTTTCGTTTAAGGGAAAAACTTGTTTCAGATAACAATCTTGTTCAAGCTATTGTTCCTATCTTTCAAGATTAATATCCGACGAATGTGAATTCTCACACACACACAATAAAGAGAGCATAAAATGATCAAAACATGTCTTAATAAATTTTACTATGTCTACTTCTCTATCACCACTTCCTTGTCATGATGATCTATGTGGCTCACGAGCCAGTTCAACTGCTAAGCACTGTTTAAGCTCAGACACGATCTGTTTCATTTCTGGTCTATTATCTCCATTTTCTCTGACGCATGACATTGCAACATCCACAAATTTACATGCTGAGTCTGACGAGAAGTCGCCATGAAGCCGCGGGTCCACGAGGCTGTCAAGCTCTCCCGTCTCCAAGAAAGGCTCGACAAACTGGATGATGCTGATTTTTTCTCCTTCTTTTGTTTTCAATATGGCTCTTTTGCCAGTTATGAGTTCAAGAAGCACAATACCGAAACTGTACACGTCGCTCTTCTCGTTCAGTCTAAATGTTCTGTAGTATCTGCACAAATAATGTATTTAGTCTTTTAGATTCAATTGTGATCTCTATTTGCTAAACTAAACCAGTGATGTGTAAAGGAACCTACTCAGGATCAATGGGAGTGTTGACGCAGCTGAGATCTTCATCAGGGAATATCTTAGAAAGACCGAAGTCAGCAATCTTGGCTTCCAAGTTATCGTTCAATAGAATATTTGTTGTTTTAACATCTCTGTGTATCATTGGTGGCTTGCATCCATGGTGCAAATACTCCAACCCTGCCAAGGAGAGAAACAAGGTTTCATAATTGAATCAGACTAAACCGGGTTTGTTATCTCGGTTTTGACTAACCTTGTGCAGAGTCAATGGCTATATGGAGTCGCTTCCCCCAGCTGAGATCCTCTGCCTTCTCACTTGAGAGATAATCCAGCAAGTTTCCATTGGACATGTACTCATAGATGAGAGCCAGACTACGTCCATCATCGAAGTATCCAACAAAAGAGGTTAAGTTCGGGTGATAGATTGTCAAAAGAATCTCTGCCTACAAAAACATTCTACACTTCAGCTACCATGAAACAGTGTTGAAGGACTCAAAACTATCAGATAAGTTATTTTTGTGTGTTCTTTAGATTACCTCAACTTGAAATTCCTTAGAAGCTTGTGTCGCAGATAAAGAGTCCTTAATCATCTTTACAGCAATTTTAGTTTCATCTTCAAGTGAACCAAGGTAGACTATACCAAACTCTCCTTTACCAATCACTTTATTGAAGTCGTTTGTAATGCTAAAGACTTCATCATATGTGAACCTTCTCTTCACTATATGTCCTCCAGTGGCTCCTGAAACTAAACATCCGTTCATTACCTTTCAGCAAAGTAAAAAAGACTTCATATTTCAAAAACTTTGACGTAAACTTTCCAAAACGCCTCACCTCTTTCTCTTTGTCTTCTTAGTATGATCCATATGATACCCAGAACAACCACAAGGAGAAGGATCACTGATGTGGCTATAAATATTGACACAATCATGTCCTTCATCTTTTTTTCTTGACATAAACGTGACTTACAAAGTTTGTCTTCTTCCACACTGGAGACAGAAAGACAACAAAATCAACAAGATTCGAAGTGAGTTGAATAATCTTTTTTTCTTTATGCTAGAAAATGTTACCTGAGTGCAAGTACACCGTCTTTCAACTTTATACCTGCGCAAGATCATTCATATCTTAGTTATAGTGACAAACAATTCAATAGCATAATCACAGGTTCAACATGAGGTCAATAATTTACCTATCTTACTGAATAAAATGCCATAATCCATTCCATGGTACACGGTTGGTATCACCTGTGAGTAAGGGCATTCGGTGGAGAAGCCAACCTTTGTGCCATTAGATCGTTTGACTGATCTGGTTAACCTGTTTACGCAATGCTTGAATTGTCTATGACAGTCAACGTAAGTCATACCTGAAGAAAAACCATAATGAAAATATTTTCTTTTTAGATAAATTTTATTATGATTTGAGTTTAACCTTCTAAGCCAACACAACTGTCATGGGTCATGCAACAAGTATCAAGATCATCACAAGGCTTCTCTCCAGGGCATCCAAAGTATCCTATCCCACAATACTTCCCGTAGCTAATGACGAGCACTGACGAAAACAGAGTTTCATGTGAGAAATTCAAAAGTGATTGATTCTCCATATTCAAAGGAAATTGCAGTAGTAGAAGATAATAAAACAATCTTAACTGTTGCAGTTCTTTGCAATGCAGGTTTTGCTGCATTTCGCCTGTTTAAGATTTTGATTCAAACCCATCAGAAAAAAAAGCTGACAAAATGCAACAAACATGAACATAGAGAACAGTGATTATAACCTTGCTGTGAACGAATGAGAAGAGGAGGAAGGTGGAGGCTAAGCCTAAAGCTACACGTGACAAAGCACCACCGTGAATCATCTTTGTCTTTCTCCAAATGAAGTTTATCGTTGTTTGTGGATTGTGTTAATTTTCAAGATTGTGACACAAAGATTGAGCCTCCTTGGAACTTGGAACATCTCAATGGTCCTCCTATTTTCTCGATATATATTATTCTCTTACCTTTTTGAACGAACGAACACTATTAATCTAAACAGTATACGCAAAACTAAAGTGAATAGCAACTTTCTATGGAAATTTTTGATTCTTTATTAATCTCAAACTTATCAAAGAGAGTTTTATAGCAAAATGGAAATTTCTCAGATCCAAATACTCTGTTTCCGTCTCAGGGAAAAACTTTGGAAAAAAAAATTTGATTCAGATTACACAATCTTGTTCAAGTTATTGTTGCTCTTTTTCAAGGGTAGTAGCCGGTGAAGGTGAATCCTCTTCCGGCGATTTCTCCTGCGCAGTACCATGCAAAGCATTCGAGACCAAACAATGCAGCAATTCCTGCATCTTCTACCTTAAGATCGGTTCTGTTCTTCCACAAGTTCTTTGCGTAGTCTACTTCCTTCCAGAAAGTTTCATAGCGTTTGGGAATGCTGTAATAAAAAAAAAAAGTTGAAGAGTATTAGATGCTGAGTAAAGCCACACATAAGATGTCCTAGTTTCTTCAGTTCATAGTAAAATAAAAACGGATTCTCAAACTATAAACCAAGTTTTAAGAATAAGAAACGAAATAGGAGTTAAGGACATCATCAAGGAAGATGCAAATAATTAAACAAGACAAAACAGCTCAACGTAAAGATAGTAATAAACAACATAGTAAAACATTAGAATCCAATTTACAGTAAAGGCTAAAGGGTTCTTCATATAGGCAAAAATCTGTAAACTAACCAGAATCTAGAAATGGTTGTATAACTATGAAGGGAGAAAAAAGAGAGAGATAACAACCTAGCAAGACGGGTGTAGAGAAGCTGCTTAGACAACTCTTGGCACTTCTCAACAGTGGCAGGTTCCTGGATGTAATGCTTGTTCTTCTCAAGCAACTGCCTGTAATAGGAAGTTCCATGCTTAGCCACAAACTTTGAAGCCTCACATGCCTTTGACTGAACTTGTACCAACTTCGATGCCATCTTCAGATATACCAAATCCTTCAAAATACAAAAAGATAGTAAATTTCAATCTCAAAAAATCAAAACTTGACACTCGAAATAACATTTTCCAACACAACCCATATCAGAATTACATTATAAAAACAGAGACTTTTCAATAATACATTTCACACAAAATCGAGGTAAAAAAAACCTAAAATTAAAACCCCCTAATTCTCAATTACAGAAGCAGATCTAGTGGGAATCAACGATACAAATCAAAAATCCGAAACCCTTTTGACGAAGCGGGAATAGATCAGTGGATATAGATCTAAGAAGTCAACCACAGAAACATACAATATACAAGTGGAAGCAGGAGCAGAAACACAATAAACCAAATCAATGAACACCCAACTGAGAATCTGAAACGAGAAGATTTGCAACAAGCTCGGCAAAAGCAGGAAGCTCACCGTGGAATTAGAGAGATGCGGCACCGGTGAGGAGGAAGATGAGTTTGATTGGGAGATTCGTGCCACCACTAATATCGTGACTTCTCTAAACGACGCCCACTCTTCGTACGCTGTCGTTTTGCAATCTCCTCCTCGCTATCCTAAACCGACGTCGTTTTTCCCTTTATCATTAAACGACAACGATTTAAGACATTTCGCGCTAGATCTTACCCAATTGGCCCGTGTTAGTTGGTGAAACCGAAGCATACTATACGCTATTACGTAAGCCGACATCGTTTTTGTTATACCTGTTCCTTCAAACGACATCGTTTTGAAATGTATGTCGCACTAGATCAGCCAATTAGCCTGAGTGATTTGAGCAAAAATCAAACTACTATCGCAAATCGTCATGTCCTCTCTGACTCCTCCACCGGTTCCGATGGAGCTCCACGCCGTTAACCGGCGGAAGCTCTGCGATTCACTGCGCCGTCACTTATCTACCTCAAATCGTCCTCTTGATGGATTCGTTTTACTTCAGGTAACTCTCGGTAGCTCGTTATATAAGATCATCTCTAACGCTTATCATGAATTGCATCGTCTTCTTGCTTGTTTGGTCGATAGGGAGGCGAAGAGAAGAACCGGTACTGCACTGATCACGCTGAGCTCTTCAGGTATTGATTTTAGATTTTCTTTTTTTTTTAAATCTGAGGATGATTGAAAATCGTTGATAACGATTAACTGAAATGGCTTTTTTTTGTAGACAGGAGAGCTATTTTGCTTACTTGTTTGGAGTCAGAGAGCCTGATTTCTATGGAGCTATTGTGAGTTTTTTTCTGCTATTTTTCAATTAATGCTTAACCAATGAATGAATTTGATCATCTTATTTGGTATTTGAAGGACATTGGAAGTGGGAAGTCTATCCTTTTTATTCCAAGGTTGCCTGAGGATTATGCTGTATGGTTAGGGGAGATAAAGCCATTGTCCCACTTTAAGGTAGTTTTTTCTTGAAGTTGTTTTAGTCTTGTCGGTTTAGTTTGTTCAATGCACTTAAAGGCGTTTCTTTTGATGCAGGAAACGTATATGGTTGACATGGTTTTCTATGTGGATGAGATTATCCAAGTCTTGAGTGAACAGTTCAAGGGATCTGGAAAGCCGTTGTTGTATCTTCTGCATGGGCTTAACACCGACAGCGGGAGCTTATCCAAACCTGCCAGCTTTGAGGTTTCTGCATTTTCATCTTTTCTTCTGCACTTGTTTATAATCATTCTTCTGCTTTTTAGTGGCAAAGCTATGTTCTGCTGATTTGGTGCGGAGAATGGGTGTCCTGTGATCAAGAATTTTTGGCACTTTGATGCCCATAATGTTTGTAATATCATTTGTACTACTTTTTTTACTATTTTGTGTCTTATTCAGGGGATAGAAAAGTTTGAGACTGATTTGACTACTTTGCATCCTATTTTGGCGGAATGTCGAGTTATCAAGTCAAGTTTGGAGCTTCAACTACTGCAATTTGCAAATGATATAAGTTCTGAAGCTCATGTAGAGGTCTGATATGATATCTTTAACAGTTTTTCTCTTGAATTTATTTACCTTTCTTTTCCAGTGGTATGCTTAAACAAATGAATAAAATAAATTGATAAAATGATGTGTTCTTCTTTGCTTGCTTATTAAATAATTCGTTTTGATCATTTCACTAATATTTCCCACCTAGGTTCTTTTAGTCACTCCATGTGGACATGTTTTCTTCTCTTCTTGCAATATTCTTACAGGTTTCCAGGTTTTAACCATGTTATATATTTTCAATCCACATTAAGGTTATGAGGAGAGTCAAACCTGGCATGAAAGAGTATCAGATGGAAAGTATGTTTTTGCATCACACCTACATGTACGGTGGCTGTAGGCACTGCTCGTACACATGCATATGCGCGACAGGGGATAATAGGTAAGTTTGCTGATTTCTGAAAATGCAGAAATAATTATTCTCGGGCAAGACTAACAAAATGATGAAAACTGTTCGCAGTGCTGTTCTTCATTATGGGCACGCTGCAGCTCCAAATGATAGGGTAAAAGAGCAAGCTTTCTTCTCTTTTCTAATTTTTCTCATTATGATTTATCTGAAAGTGTTTTATTACTTCTTGCAGACTTTTGAAGATGGAGATCTGGCATTGCTTGATATGGGTGGTGAATACCATTTTTATGCATCTGACATAACATGCTCATTCCCCGTGAGTTCTTTTTCAAACGTCGTCAAACCTATTAATAGTTTCCATTTAGGTTATGTTATTCAGAATACTTGAGAGTGTTACTGAATTGTATTTTCACCGAGCTGAGTTGTTTCTAATCCTGTTTACATGAACATCATAAGGCGTTGAATCTAGTAATTCGGAGCAAATGGTGCCTAATATCTATCAAAAATATTTCAGGTGAATGGTAAATTTACAAGTGACCAGAGTCTAATCTACAATGTAAGTACCTTACAAGATTTGTTTAAACGTGGATGTAGTAAAGTTATGTGCTGTTTTGTCTATTTTCCCACTCAATCCAGAGTTTTGGTGATCCTCTTGAAGCTTTATATATCTATATTCTCTGATTTGTCTTTATTCTAGGCTGTTCTGGATGCACATAATTCTGTAATCTCAGCAATGAAGCCAGGAGTAAACTGGGTGGATATGCACAAGTAAGATTAACTGAGATGCTGTATACCCCTGTTTAACTATGAGCTTAGGCTTGTATTCTCAGTTTGCTATTTTCTATTTGAAGTGCATCTCCTATGGTTATATAGCTTTATTTGCCAACTGAAACAAGTTTAATGTGTACAGGCTAGCGGAAAGAATCATCCTTGAGTCAATGAAGAAGGGGTCCATCCTCACTGGGTAGTTTTTTCTTGGACATTTGTTTATGCATAACATTGGTTCACTCTTCTCTGAAATCTAAATTCCATTATTACTGTTTTTTTTTGTCTCTGTCCTAGTGATGTAGAGGAGATGATGGTAGAACGTTTGGGAGCTGTTTTCATGCCTCATGGACTAGGTCACTTCATGGGCATTGACACACACGATACCGGTGGTTACCCGATGGTACATTAAATTACGTTTTTACCCGATAGTTATCCTCATTAACATGAAACTACAGTCCTCGTTTCTTACCCATTGCTTTGATTTTTTTTTTTTTCTGAAGGGAGTGGAAAGACCAAAGGAACCGGGACTGAAGTCCTTACGTACTGCTAGAGATCTCCTTGAAGGAATGGTAAAAAGCTAACATGCTTATGTTTCTTCTCATTACCGTCTTCGTTGATTGTCCTAATGGTTTACTAACGCAGGTAATAACGGTGGAGCCAGGATGCTATTTCATCAAGGCATTGCTAATCCCAGCCATGGAAAACGCAAAAACCTCCAAGTTCTTCAACCGTGAAACGATAGAGAGATTCAAGAACATAGGAGGTGTCAGAATCGAAAGTGATTTGGTAATAATATAGATTCACTATAATTATCTATATATATACAACAATTATCTCTATAATGATTTTTCTGTCCGTATGATTTTGTGTAGGTCGTTACTGCGAATGGCTGTAAGAATATGACGAATGTTCCAAGGGAGACATGGGAGATCGAAGCTGTGATGGCTGGAGCGCCTTGGCCTCCTGTTACTACCGGAAACAATTCTACCAAGTGATCTTAACTTATGGAAACAACTAAAAAACAACTGGTTTAGAATTCAATAATGAAACCTTTGTATTAATTGGGGAATAAGAATCTAGCTACTTTATTATGTTCTACTTTGTTTCTGTTTCGGTATTGTTGGGTCACTTGACTCACTTCACACACTAGTTAAAGAGGAAATCCACTTATTTGAATATTCAGTGAAGCGAACTTACGAACCGGGAAGATAAAATTAAACCGGTTTGGTACATGTCGAAGAAACCGAACCGGTACAGAAAATATCTTCAAAAAGACAAGAGGAAAGACTTCTCAGTTCTGAAATAAAAGCTTGTGGTGGCTTTCCTAAAACCCTAATCTTTGCACGTCGTCTCTATCCCCAAAACCCTTCTCTCTCTTCTCTCTCGTCCCTTGTGTGCGAAACCTAAGAGAAAAACAATGACTAAGAATAATAACAACAACAACAACGAGGAAGAAGAGTTCGTCAGCTTCGGACACAACCTGAACACGAAGATACGCTTTGAAGATGCTGATGAAGACGAAGTTGCAGAAGGCTCCGGTGCCCAAGATGAATCCATGTGCGATGCCGGAGAGAACACCGATACAGCTGAAGTCACTGATGATACCACAAGCGCCGATTACTACTTCGATTCCTACTCTCACTTCGGTAATTCACTTTGTTCTGTTTCCACTTCATATAAAGTTCGATTCTTTATTGATTTAGAGTGGTTATGAACTTCATGTTGACTCTGATTCCAATTAATCTATTTTTGCAGGAATTCATGAAGTAAGTATAGAAAAGCCATACTCTTTCCGGTGTTGTTACCAGATGTGTTTGTTACAGTATCTGTTCTGGAAACGAACTAGTTCAATATAATCAGTTCATTTATAAATCTGTTGTTTCTTTAGATGACTGATTCAGGGATGGTGTCTTGCAGGAGATGTTGAAGGATGTTGTGAGAACAAAGACTTACCAGAATGTAATTTACCAGAACAAGTTTCTCATTAAGGACAAAATTGTTCTTGATGTTGGAGCTGGGACAGGAATCTTGTCTCTCTTTTGTGCCCAGGCTGGAGCCAAACATGTCTATGCTGTATGTCTTCATAACATTTCTTGTTTCATTAGTTTAAAACTTGTTTCAATCTGAATTTATTTGATTTAGTATGTTTCTTGATAGGTTGAGTGTTCTCAAATGGCTGACATGGCAAAAGAGATTGTTAAAGCCAATGGATTTTCTGATGGTTAGTTTTTCTTTGAAGTTTTAAGTTGATTTTGAATGAGAAACATCTGCTTTGTAGTGATTGTTGTTTTATCGTTGCAGTTATAACGGTTTTGAAAGGGAAGATTGAGGAGATAGAGCTTCCTACTCCTAAAGTGGATGTGATTATATCTGAATGGATGGGTTACTTTCTGTTGTTTGAAAACATGTTGGACAGTGTCTTATACGCTCGCAATAAATGGCTTGTAAGTTACATTTCCACTTTGTTTGTTGTAATAGACCGATGTGCTTATGGTTGCATCATGTTGTTATTTAAACTTTCTTCACATTAATAGGTTGATGGTGGAGTCGTGCTGCCAGACAAAGCCTCTTTGTTTCTTACAGCAATTGAGGATTCAGAATACAAAGAAGACAAAATTGAATGTAAGCTCATTTGATTCGACTCCTCTTTATCCTACATTGACCTCGAATGTCTGTTGACAACGCATTTGCCGATTACATTTTGTGTTTTCTCTTGCAGTTTGGAACAATGTGTATGGCTTTGACATGTCATGTATCAAGAAGAAAGCTATGATGGAACCACTTGTTGACACAGTCGATCAAAACCAGATTGTCACCGATAGTAAGCTACTTAAGGTAAAGACATACACATTGACAATGATTAGTAGTATCTCTTTTACATGTGTGGCTAAATGCTCATTTCATTTTATTAACAGACGATGGATATCTCAAAGATGTCTTCTGGTGATGCTTCCTTCACAGCTCCCTTTAAACTTGTTGCGCAACGCAATGACTACATCCACGCCCTTGTAGCCTACTTTGATGTATCCTTTACCATGTGCCACAAGCTCCTGGGTTTCTCAACAGGTTCAGATCCCTTCTCCAGTTTCTGAATATTATTCTATGTTATACTGAATCAGTTGGTTTAAAACTTGCACTGAACAAACACTGGTTTGAAATGCAGGACCAAGATCCCGGGCTACGCACTGGAAACAAACAGTCATGTACCTTGAAGATGTGTTAACAATATGTGAGGGCGAGACAATCACTGGAAGCATGTCTGTTTCGTACAACAAGAAGAATCCTAGAGACGTTGACATAAAGCTAAGCTATTCTTTGAATGGCCAGCACTCCAAGGTCTCAAGGACTCAACACTACAAAATGCGCTGAAGTTCTTGCAAGAGAAGCTAAACTTCAAATTTGCATCTGAAATTGAGAAGATAACAGTTCTCAAATTGTGATTTTAGTTTTTGTATTTCTTTTTTTTTTTTTCCAGTTTTGCAACATTCCAATTACTTCACACTGCAAAAACACCTTTTTTCGAGTTGAATTTATGATTTTCCGCTAAGCTATTCAGTCATGTGTTACAGAGCTGATGTGTCTCAATACTGTTTAAAAGATCTAACAGAAACTATAAAGCTACAAGTGTGAAGAGGAAAAGTACATTAAAACAGACAAGTTTCAAACTGTTTCTACAACTCAGATTTTGGGTTTCTTTGAAAAAGAGGATCTAACTCTTTTCCACCATCTTCTGACCCGGTTTGACACTCATTATTTTCAATATTCAGTTTGGTAGTGTTTTTATAATTTTCACTCCATTTGTCATCATCATCACATCTATAATTTTATTATTTAATTTAAATTAATTTGTCATCACATCTATGTCTTTTTTTTTTGGAAAAGAAAAGTATCACATCCATTTGTCACCAAATCTCCTTTTTGGAGTTGCTTTAAATCTCTTCACTAATACATAAATCAATTTAAGATTTTTTTTTAAAAAATAGTTAAATTAAAGTATACTAGAATTATACCAATAGAAGATCTCTGCCCCCATTTAAACAAAAAAACTCCTATAAATTTGATGATTCCATAGCAACAAAGAAAAACACTAATAGTAAAAAATTGCAACGGAAACAAATTAAGACAAAAAATGGATTCCTTGACAGATGATCTCTGGGCTTTGGTACTTGCGAGGTTACCCATTAGGATTTTCACATGTTTCAAAGTTGTTTGCAAACAGTGGAAATCAATTATGGAGTCTCCATTTTTCCGTAAACATTTCGTGTCCATGCACGAAAACTCAGCCTCTTCTTGTTCATGGTTGCTCATGAGTCATGTCCTCTTATGAAATACGTATAATGGATTACTACCGCCAATGCGACATTTGGGGACTTAAACGACCACTGAGTTCTTTCATCAGGTCTGTCTTAAACGACAAGAACCCGGACCAAAAAGACCTACAAGTAAATGTCGTGGCGTACTCCGATGCTGGGTTGATTTTGATCTCAAATATCCCCATGTTCTATCTTGACTAGTAATTTCAACTATGCTCCTCTCACGATAAACCCTTTTGATGCGAAAACAGTCTACTTTTGGAACGAGAAAGAACAAAGTATGCTATATATTAACTTACACAACGGTAAGTCTGTGATCTACAATCAGTTTCAACTTTCAAGCGACGGTTGCAGCACTATGATTCCCGCTCACGACCCAAGAGCTGTTATTTCTCTCAAAAATACACGCATCGGCCTTCTCCTGTTCGTTCTCCCACAATGGCTGTATCGGATCCCCAACACGGTGACAGTGAGAAGAGCTTAGACTTGGTATTTGCAAGTCTTCTTTCTGTTTTCTTGTTATTGCTAATTATTATTGTTATTTCGCAAGATGAATAAGTCGTAAGACGACTTTTAATTTGTTTTTTTTTTTGTCTAGATGCTTATTTTGTTTTGTAAATTTGCTTGCTAATTGCCCTAGACACAATGCAATCAGATCTTTATCGTATTACCATATGTAACATATGAACATAGAATTAATATAGTTGAACTTAGAAGCAACGATTGAACTATGATTCCCGCTAACGACCCGAGAGCTGTTATTTCTCTCAAAAATACATATATTGAACAAGTATCCTTATCCCGTTCGTTCTCCCACAATGGTTGTATCGAATGTGGTTGGTGTGCCATGTTGCAGTCAATCCGGGATTCTTTCGCAGATGGTCATCGTGGGATATGCAAGTTCAGACATCGGTTCAATGATATAAATTATATAATTTTATATCTTTATATAAATTTTATATTCCTTTGATTCACAAAATTAATTATTTAGTTATTATTGTTTTCAAAATTATGCAGTTTTCTAATTTTTGAAATGAAATATTATTATTTTCTGTTTATTTTTTCCTTTGTTTATTTAATATTTTTTATGAATCAGATTTGATATCTGGTAATAATAATCAAATTTTCAAATATATGTGATCCGGAAGACTGTGGATCAAATCGAATATAAAAATAGATAAAAAGGTTGGTATTTTAAAATATTGTGGACAAAAGAATTGTGGAAGAATGAATTGTGGATTGGTTAAAAATGTTGTGGATGAAAGAATTGTGGATTGGTGAAATTTGATAGAGATTTAGAAAAAAATATATTTAGATATCTTTGATACTTTCTTGTAGTTCAGATACTTAATGATAATTTAGTTTATTTCGGGTACTTGAGATATACTTGATTATTATAGGTGATCATTTAATTTTCACTAGATTTTGACCCGCGCTTGAAAGCGCGGAAATTTTTTATGATTAAAAATTTATATAGTTGGGTTTTGTCTTAATTTAAAGAATATTTTGATATAAAATCAGTTCACCAAAATTTGTGGTGATGATTATTTTTCATTAGTTTTTAGTTTCAGTTTTTATTTTTAGATTTTGGTTTTTAATTTTTAAGTTTGTACTTTTCATTTTCAGTTTTTGGTTTGGGTTTTTAATTTTTAAACCGCTAAGTTAGTTTGAACTAATATTACAAACAAACAAATCTCAAATAATCGAACATCTAATTCAAAACTGAAAAGATGACAACAAATTAAAAAAAAAATTGAAATAGTTTATTTTGTAAATAAACAAAGCAAAAAAAATATAACATGTGTTTTACGCTTTTGGTTTTGGATTTTAGTTTTTAGATTTGGTTTTTGGTTTTGCTTTACATTTTTTCAATCAGTAAATTATTTAAGAAAAAAAAAACAATAAATTATTTAAAAGTTACTATTGAAATTTATCAAAATAAATTGATTGTTATTTAGAATAAAAAAATATATCAACATGATTTAAATAAATGATTAATAATAGATAATTTTGTTTTGTTAAAAATATTAAATATCTTTTTGGTCTGAAAATAATAATTGATTTTTTAATCTTTTAAGGTGAAAAGTTTATTCAATGTTTTTAGAATTTTTTCTTAATACTAAGCCCAAAAACCAAACTATATAATTTGTTCAAAAAATAAAAGTAAGCCCAAGACTATATTCCATAAATAACCACTGGTTTAATTTAAATATAATTAATAGATTTCCATATTTTGATGATATATATTATCTTAGAACATTCCATATTCGTAAGAGAAAATATGTGTTTTCGGTATACATATAGATACCTGCCATATATTGAAGGTAATTTACATTAAGGTCGTCTCTTTACATTAATTGTGTTGGTTTAATTTAAGTAATACGGTTCAATCAATTATATGACTTATATTATTTGTAACATTCTAGAAAGGGTCCAAATTTAAATGACAACTTGTATCAGTAGATAAAAAGAATGACTCTGTTTTAATATAGTAGATTCTTACCTTTTACTATATAGTAATATATAAAAGGTTATCTAGATCTTACCAATGGTAGTGATTTTATAATTTTCACTCCATTTGTCATCACATCTATAATTTTATTATTTAATTTAAATTAATTTGTCATCACTTCTATAATTTTATTATTTAATTTAAATTAATTTGTCATCACTTCTATAATTTTATTATTTAATTTAAATTAATTTGTCATCACATCCATTTGTCTTTTTTTGGAAAAGAAAAGTATCACATCCATTTGTCACCAAATCTCCTTTTTGGAGTTGCTTTAAATCTCTTCACTAATACATAAATCAATTTAAGATTTTTTTTTAAATAGTTAAATTAAAGTATATTAGAATTATACCAATAGAAGATCTAATGATATCTGCCCCCATTTAAACAAAAAACTCCTATAAATTTGATGATTCCATAGCAACAAAGAAAAACACTAATAGTAAAAAAATTGCAACGGAAACAAATTAAGACAAAAAATGGATTCCTTGACAGATGATCTCTGGGCTTTGGTACTTGCCAAGTTACCCATCAGGATTTTCACATGTTTCAAAGTTGTTTGCAAACAGTGGAAATCAGTTATGGAGTCTCCATTTTTCCGTAAACATTTCGTGTCCATGCACGAAAACTCATCCTCTTCTTCTTCATGGTTGCTCATGTCCACTGATGGCAGAGATGCGATAATGGATTACTACCACCAATGCGACATTTGGGGACTTAAACGACCACTGAGCTCTTTCATCAAGTCTGCCTTAAACGACAAGAATCCGAACCAAAAATACCTAGACGTAAAGGTCGTGGCGTACTCCGATCTTGGGTTGATCTTGATCTATGCAATATCAAAAATCAAGGAGAAGTCATCCCTCTATGTGGCTAACCCGGTTTCACATGAATGCGTAGAAATATTTCTTGACCCTCTTCTTGAAAAGAGTCAATTATGTATCCCGCAATGGGGAATAGCCACACGAGTTGATGAGAACGACATCCTTTTGAGTTTCAAAGTTGTTGTTGTTAATCGAGGATTGAGTGGTGCTATGTTAAATTGTCTCATATATTCATCTGAGACAGGCATGTGGAGTCTGGACAATACTCCCTTTTCCAAATATTTTTTTACTGAGAGTTCGATTAGCTTGAACGGTAATCTTCACTGGTTCGCCATAAACAAGGACAGTCAAGACTTTCTAATATCCATGGATTTATATACTAATAGCACGAGTTCTGATCGATGGCGTGTTTCACATTTTCCTGATTTAGAGAAAACTATCAAATTCGATAGATCTTGTTGTCGTACACCTTGTCATGGGTTTCTCATGTATATAAACATAGTCTCTACAACCAAAGTGGATGGAAGCCTAGAAGAGAAGTTGTGTGTATGGAGGCTTCAGAGCGAGGGATGGCAACTAATATCTCAAATATCCCCAGGTTCTATCTTGACCGGTGATTTCATCAACTATGCTCCTCTGACGATAAACCCCTTTGATGCGAAAACAGCCTACTTTTGGAGCGAGAAACAGGAAAGTATGCTATATATTAACTTACACACCGGTAAGTCTCTGACCTACAATCAGTTTGAACTTACAAGCAACCGTCGCACTATGATTCCCGCTCACGACCCAAGAGCTGTTATTTCTCTCAAAAATACATGCGTCGGCCTTGTCCCGTTCGTTCTCCCACAATGGCTGTATCGGATCCCGAACATGGTGGCAGTGAGAAGAGTTTAGACTTGGTATTTGCAAGTCTTCTTTCTGTTTTCTTGTTATTGCTAATTATTATTGTTATTTCGCAAGATAATAAGTCACTAGGTGTTTTCCTGCACTTGCGGGCCTAAACATTTTATAATTATTTTACTAATATACTTTTACTAATCGAAAGATTTTAATGATAAATTATTATTTATGTTTTTTAAACCAATAATATTTATATTTTCATTTAAACATCCTTACATATATTTCTTTGTACATTATGTTCACAATTAAAAATAAATATTAAAATCAAATAATATTTTCAATTATATAAATTAAGAAGTTGACTTGAGTTAATATTTAGTTATCTATTTTCTATTTTTTATTTAAATATATTTTTTAGACAGCAACACAATATATATATAGGAATTATATTATTTAAATACATATTATTTAGATTTTGGATAATTCTTATGATTATTATTAGTTTTAATTACTTATCTAATTAAAATAATTAAATTTGTTTTTATTTTGTATGTAATATTTATATTTTATTCATTAAGTGTATAAACGATATTAACCAGTCTAACTTTTAATGTGGGAGCTCCGTTGCGAAAAATCACTTCACAAATAATAGTATATCTTTTGGATAATTCTTATGATTATTATTAGTTTTAATTACTTATCTAATTAAAATAATTAAATTTGTTTTTATTTTGTATGTAATATTTATATTTTATTCATTAAGGGTATAAACGATATTAACCAGTCTAACTTTTAATGTGGGAGCTCCGTTGCGAAAAATCACTTCGCAAATAATAGTATAGATATGACAACTTTTAATTTGTTTCTCTTTTTTTTTGTCTAGATGCTTATTTTGTTTTGTAAATTTGATTGCTAATTGCCCTACACACAACGCAATCAGACTTTCTTTATCGTAACATATGAACATAGAATTAATATAGTTGAATTTAGAAGTAACCGTCGCACTATGATTCCCGCTAACGACCCGAGAGCTGTTATTTCTCTCAAAATACATAAACTGAACAAGAATCCTTATCCTTAACTGAGAATTGTTTCGGAAAGTTTCACAATTTTTTCTAAGGGTTCTAAATTTTTTTTAAGGTTCCTGAATTGTTTTGAAGGATTCCGAATTTTTTTTTGAAGGTTTTCGAATTGTTTTTGAAGGGTTCAAAATTTTTTCTGAAGGTCCTGAATTATTTCTGAAGGATTTAGAATTGTTTCTGAAAGATTTAAATTTTTTTCTGAAAGCTACAGAATTGTTTCTAAATGGTTCATAATTTTTTCTAAAGAGTTTAAAATTTTTTTTGAAAGGTTCATAATTTTTCTAAAGGATCCTAAATTGTTTCTAAATGATTCAAAATTGTTTTTTTAAGGATTAGAATTGTTTCTAAAAGGTTCAGAATTTTTTCAGAAGGGTTCATAATTTTTTCCTGAAATATTCATAATATTTTTCTCAAGGGTCCCGATTTTTTCGGAAGGGTTCCGAATTTTTTCATCAGAATTTTTTACTGAAAGATTCAGAGAATTGTTTCTGAAGGTTTCAGAATTTTTTCTGAAGTGTTTATAATTTTTCTGAAGGGTTCATAATTTTTTTCCAAAAATTTCTGATTTTTTTTCTAAAGATTCTCGAATTGTTTCTGAAAGGTCTAGAATTTTTTCTAAAAGATTCAGAATTTTTTCTAAATGGTTTATAATTTTCTGAAAGATTCAGAATTTTTTTTGAAAGGCACATAATTTTTCTTAAGGGTTCATAAATTTTTTCGAAATATTTATAATTTTTTCCCGAAGGTTCCCGAATTGTTTCTGAAAGGTTCAGAATTTTTTCTGAAGGATTCATAATTTTTTCTAAAAGATTCATAATTTTCCGTAAGTTCTCGAATTGTTTCTGAAATGTTCAGAATTTTTTTTGAATGGTTCAAAAAGTTTTTCTTAATATTACCAATTTTTTTCTGAAGGATGTTAACTTTTTTTTGGAAATGTTCAGATTTTTTTCTGAAAGGTCCAGAATTTTTTAAAATTCTGTTTTTAAATATTTTCGGAAGGAATCTAGTAATTACAGTATTCCTTTTAGTTCAGAAAAAAACAGTCTTTCTTTAGAAACACTTAATGGTGGCCTGAGGCAAGACTCTTAGTGATTAAATGTAATTGAAGGAACGAATTAAAAAAAGGTCATTAAAGTCTTCTTAACAGACACAATTAGGCTTTGCCGTCGGCCAATTACGAAAGAGGAGCCAAAGAGACGACGACGGCTGCTGCGTAGACTTTTAAGCTACAGAAATGGCCGGAATCGTGATAGTATTCGACTTTGATCGGACATTGATCGACGGAGATAGTGACAACTGGGTTGTAACAGAGATGGGACTCACAGAGATCTTCCATCAGCTCCGCTTCACTTTACCATGGAATCGCCTCATGGTTTTTCATCTATTTAAAAGCCTTTTCTCTATAATTCAATCTCTTTTGTTTGTTGAGTTTCGTTTTCTTATTTGATTTTGGAAAGGATAGGATGATGACAGAGCTTCACTCGCAAGGTAGATCGATTCAGGACATTGAAGCTTGCTTGAAAAAAATAATGCCCATTGATTCTCATATCGTCAAAGCTATCAAATCAGCCAAGTCTTTAGGGTATGAACAATGTTTTTTTTTTTTTTTGTATTCTTATGTCCGGACACTGATTAGTTTCACTTTGGTCCTGCTCTCATAAAGCTTTGATTTTTTCTTACTTTGGATTTGGGTTGATTTTTTTTTTTTTATTATTATTATTTGTAGATGTGATTTGAAGATTGTGAGTGATGCAAATCAGTTTTTCATTGAGAAGATACTAGAGCAGCATGATTTGTTGGATTGCTTCTCAGATATTTACACAAACCCAACCTCTGTTGATGAAAATGGAAAGTTACGGATCTTACCGTACCATGGTGGTGCTGCTTCGACTCCACATAGCTGCAATCTCTGCCCTCCAAATCTCTGCAAGGTACTTTATAATCCTTGTAAAGTATACAAAAATTATAAGCTTGGCATGTGATTTTGAAAACATTGAAGTCTAACGCTGTTTATGCGAGGTGTTGCTTATGGTTGATATGGTTTTTGAGTAGTGAATCTTTATTTGTTTCCCCTCAGGGTTTGGTAATGGATCATATACGAGCTTCTTCTTCTCCAGAAGATCAGATTTTAACGAAGTTTATCTACCTTGGAGATGGAGGAGGTGACTTCTGTCCGACATTGAAGCTCAGAGAGTGTGATCATGTGATGCCGAGAGTGAATTATCCGCTATGGAAGCGGATTTCAGACAATCACTCTCTGGTCAAAGCAGATGTCAAGGCATGGAGCAGTGCAGAGGAACTACAGAGAATCCTTATGCAACTTGTCAGCACAATGACAAGGGAAGATTCATAACAAAACTGTACTCTTTTGAAACAAACTCCAAGTCGGAAGTGTTTCTGATTGATATGCAACAAGGTGATGAGAGGACTCTCTGATGTGAGTTCTTCTTCACTTGATTGATTTACACATTGTTGTGTAAATTGGTAATGAATAAAACTCAAAGCTACTACGACCAATAAAAAAATCATATTAAAATAAATGAGTTTCTTGAATTTATAGACGTTGAAGAATATTAAAGGCAAACATGTACACATGCAAAAAGCTTATTCTTTACAACTTTCACAACATAAAACTAGTTAGTTATTTAAGTCTTAGGAACAGTATGAATTTTGATGGAACGTGGCCAAAGTGTGATGTTTTGTTTGAGATTTGAGCATGTTAGAGTTAACAAGACAAAGGTTGGTCTACTCTTTGTTCTAAATGGGAGTTTCAATTGGTCCATACTGTACAGTTGGCTCTTCACTGAAGCTAGGCAACGGCTGCAAACTCTATCCTTCCAGCCATATCTTTTTTTTGATAACCCAGTATCCGACCACTAAGCGTGATCGACTAGTCCACCGGGCCTAAGCCCAAGCCATGACAGGATTTTTAAGCGTCCACTTAAGGGCCCCTTGTTACGCTAAATGGTCTGGAGCGCCACACCAACTCCAACCATATCTTTGGAAACACATAGTTGGGGGAATCTTGTGTTCTCATGACGTAAAACCCCTTTGAGATCTCTTAGTTTACGTTCCATACTAATAAATGTGTCCTCTATTGTTTATCGATTGATCTTAGCTATGTGTGAATTTTTTGTCAGCTAGTGGTGCTGTGTTACGTGTGGTTATTGATGAAGAGGGTAAAGAGCTTCTAGAAGGATGAGATGGATTTTATCCATATGTGAACATTCCTTTATGCATAATAAACACACAACGTGCAAAGTGTGTGAGAGAAGAGGGACCTTTACTATTTAGCCAAGGAATGAAGAGAGAGTTAGGGTTATCTAGAGATTAGATCACTCATGTGTAGGGGGAGGTGAGAGACTCACATTAATAATTTCTCTCAAGGTCTTGTAAACAGTTTATCATCAATCAACGTTTCTACTTTCTTTCATTGTTTTGAGTCAACAAGATACATCAACACATAACATGCTGTTGTTGGCGATGAGCTTCCTGGTTCTACAGTCATAGGAGGCAATAACATTATCGGTCACCACGCTGTGGTTGGTGTTAAATGCCAAGACTTGAAGTACAAGGTGTGTGTGAAAAAAAATAACAATGGAAGAAAAAATCATTAGAATTGTATTATTTTCTGGTACTATTATGTGATACGTTAATGTTGTGTTTTGGATAATCGTTCTAAACACATTTTAATCTATCGTTTTAAAAAAGATTGCGACTTGTTAATATCGTTCTAAACTTCTAATATCACATTTTAATTTCACTGCACGATGACGAGCTCATCACCCAAACCTAATCTTTGCGAGAAATGCCAGGTTTGCGATCTTTAAGCCGTTTTTGTTTTCCTCGTTTGATTATTGAAACAACAACTCTTTTTTTTTTAAGATCTGGAAATTTAATTAGGAAAAAAAAACCTTAGAATAAGCAAATCCTTTGTTATATTCAAAATCACTTGTGGGTATTCCTTGGAACATGAATCAACACTTGTACCAAATTGAATATTGTGCGCAGGGTGAGATTACGTACACTGGGCCACCACAGCGCAAGCGGAAGATTGAATATACCGCCGCCGCACCTGAACCAGACAAAGACCGTTTAGCTCGGAGAGCAGATGATGGATCTTCTGACTATGTAATATAATTAATATATAAAGTGTTTTCCCTTTCTTTCTTTCTTTCTTTCTTGTGTGGTCATTCATTTCACTCTTATAATGCAATTAACTCTAGGAAATACCGGAATTCGATGTTCCAATTAAACCATGGAACCTGTACAAATTTGACGAGAACGAAACAGGTTACTTTCGTGACATGGCTAACATTTATGCTAGATTTGGACTCCACACCTACAATGCCCGCAAGGTAAAAAGTAAAACCCTCTCTCCAGTTTTATCTCTCTTTTTTTTGTTTTTTTTGGTTTAATAATACTATTTTGTTACTTGAGGTTAATCATATAGTTATGAACGTTTGTGTTTCACATTTGTCGTATGCTGAAATTCCTATTACTTTATGGTGGTGGGGTTGAGACCATTTTCTTCTTCTTAATATCGTGTGTCTTTTGGCTCATACAGGGAACCAACTTCCAGTTGTCAAGAGTAGACAAATATATTAGCCATGGAGTTTTCACTTTTTCCTTAACCTTTGAGGCCACAGATCCGGCGGACGGTTCTTGTTTCACTTTCCAGGCACGTGTTTTTAGAGATAGCCCTGTTATAGGAGCTTACTACAGATTATTGACCGAAGGTTGTAGGATCAAACCTGGAATCATTCCAGGTCAGTTGTGTGTCATGTGATGATTGCCTTTTCAGGATTTTTGTGGGTTGATTCTTTCCCTTGCCTCTTCTTTTGATATTAAAATTAAGGTACTAGAGAAACAATACATCGATGGGACTGGGATGCAAAAGTTTACGAAGACATTCTACCTGAGTGGTATTCCGATGATGCATTGAACTTGCCATCCAATGACCAGTTTTATCAAGTGAGGGCAATTTGTTCTTCTTTTATATTTCTTTATGCCTCAATCCTCTTCTTTTCTGCTTTATGAGTTTATTTTTGGTGTTTCCACAGGTGCAAGATTCAGACATCCGTGAAAACGATTGGCTTAAATTGTATGCTGATCTTGCCATGTACGCACTCAAGGAAAAAGACATGTCCGGGTTCGAGTCTTGGCTGCCCCTTGAGATCAATAAGGTGGTTGTGCAGACTTTTGAAGATGTAAAGTCAAAGGAAAAGCTCAAGGCCGGGAATGCAATCTTCTACTACAGTTTCAAGAACATGAATGCTCCTCCCCATGCTCTGTGCGAAGATCACAGAGTCATCATAAGAAGAACCACTACTGGGCTTCCAGGACATGCTTGTCTTGACTTTAAATCTTGCCCCGGTCGTAATAGTTTCAAGGGAAAAGTTCCGTATGAGACATATATGTCTGCTAGTTCTTAGTTAATAAGACTACTTAGTATCTATAAGCTATGTTGTCATGACTGAATAATCATCTCCTCTGTTTTTTCTTTTGTTTCAGTGTAATCCAGTACTTAATAACTAGTCCGTTATGTCTTTTAAGTTTGTTATCTGGTTTTCCTCAGTTTTGTGTTTTTATGTACAAAAAACGTTGAATAATTCATTTTGATTGTTGCTACTTGCAATCTAATCTACTGAAATCTAAATCCCATCAAATTCCATCGCCGAAGTGAAGGTTAATTTACAAATGTATGATTAAGCAATAGGATCTTCTGACTTTTGAACTAAAATTTTGTGAATAATGACTACAATCTACCATTAACATGTTACAAATTAAGAGTAGAGGACAATTGAAAAATATTTTGTCACTCTTTATCACATCACATTCGACTAAACAGCAACAAAATTTTCCTAAACTACTATTCGAAGAGATGGTTCGTGAGTCATATTTTACTACTTTTCTCTTCAAACATTAAACTTCTAAACTCTTATGTGAATTCACCACATCTACTTTCTACTTAATCACAATAAATTTAAATATTCATAACTACTTATGCATAAAATGATGGTTCATTGAACTTCTAAAAGTGGATCCTAAGAGTCACTAACACGTCTAATATATTGCCAACAAATTTCTTGGTTTGTAACTTTATATAGATTTAACTATCATACAGTGAAAATATGTCTAATTATACAGATATTGATTTATTTTCTAACATATCCAAAGTAATTCAATGTGAAAGTTGGTTTCCTGAGTCATCATGAGTCTTGATAGTGTATACACTCACAATTTCGTTTAAATTTTGAAACATTGCGTGTATGTGATTGTTTACGCACGACTTAATCACAACATTTTTAAAAACATTGAATATGCACACAACTTATCGTTAGATTGTAAAATACATCTTGTTCCAGATAGGATTAGTTGATTTTTCAGTTTTATAAAATAGTGAAGATTTACGTATATTATGGACCTAATCATAATCATACTTATTATTTTTCCAAACTCTGAAAAAAATATCCTGTATATGATTCATATAGTAGAAGGTAACACCACAATGATGCAACAATCTACCAATATATAAACAAACCTTTTTTTGATCAAAAAATAATAATATAAACAAGCCTTTTTAAATAAAACTATTTACTAATAGCTTTCATCTCTGTCACTATATATTTAAACCATCAAAACGTTGATAATTAAGGGTAAAGACAATAGAAACCAAGTACCAACGAGTCATCAGATTACTATATGTTTCTACCAAACTACATAACTGTCCTAACGACTTCGCCTTCGTAGTCACGTTCAACTTTGGATTCAACTACGAGTCAAAATCACCTTTTTTTACTAGTGTAGTTTGACAGTAAACATCATTTACAAAGTAGAAGGTTAATATGCATGATCAACTAACTTCACCTATATAAATAAGTTAAAGACGCCCTTCTCCACTTCTCATACTCATTTCCCATCTATCTACATTTAAAAAAAAAAACCTAGAACACGATCTAAAAGATCAGAGACAATGGCACAACCCACCCGCTACGTTCTGAGCCAAGACATCGACACCAACCATGTGGTGAGCAACCCAATGAACCTTGTGCTCCTGTTGAAACGAGAGCTTCCAAGAGTTCGTTCTCGTTCCTTCCCCGGAAAGACGCCCACCTTAGCCGCGGGGTTCGGATCATCGCGTAAGATCTATTTAGGCATCAATATCCAGCTTCCAGGTCTTCCTCTTCACCACTCCATCCACGCCGAGCAATTCCTCCTCGCCAACCTCGCACTCAACAACGAGAGACAGCTCACTCACTTAGCCATCACCTCTGATGGAATCTACTTCGACGCCCCGTCCGGCTACTGTCGCCAATTTCTTCATGAGACCCGGGAGGCGTCTAGTATTCAAATACTAATCAAGGATGCAACAAGGGGCGAAGCTGGAAGATTCGAGACTCTTCAGAACCTCTTTCCGCGTACAATCCGCCCCACCATATTCTTCCAACCTCTCCTTCTCGAGCCGCATGATAACAAGTTGACCTTATCGACGTATCATGATCTTGTGGGAAACATCTGCGAAGAGCTCGAGAGGTGTAACCATCTCAACTGCACGGCCTTAGCTGCGGCCAATAGATCCTACACACCGTTCACCAAGAGTTCCTCAGGAGTGGCGCTGTTGGATAACGTAGGAAGAGTGTACAGAGGGTGGTACATGGAAACGGTGGAATGTGGCCTAAGTTTGGGGCTAGTACAAGCGGCACTAGTTGATTTTGTGGCTAGAGGAGGCACAGAGTTCAATACCATCGTTCAAGCGGTTTTGGTGGAGAAGAAAGATGCCTTGGTTAGTCAAGAGAAGACGACGAGGATGATTTTAAAGAAGATAACCAATGGAAATTGTGTTATCAATGTCTTCCATTGCCATTTGGATGTAGCCGAGCAATTCCGAAGAAATATTATAAACATAGAAGCAACGCAAGGAGGATTCGGAAAACATATTTACTAAAGAAATATTATCAAAAATGTTAAGGGAAAGCTATAACCCAATAGGGAAATTACAACTGTTCTAGTCACTACAATATTTAAGAATAATGATATGAACTTTAATAATTAATAATATATGTTTTGAGTACAAAGTAAAAACAGTATAAAAAGGATCCAATATGCATGCTTCCCGTATAATGCATCATATAAATAGTTAATCTTTGCTTCCACACTGAAATAAGTCTATAGTTTCAAAGCCAAAGTGACGGTTAATTTACAAATGTATATGACTAACCAATATGCTACAATCTTCTGTCATTTGAACAAAAATTATGTGAATAATGACTACAATCTGCCATTAAATATTACTAATTAAGAGTAGAGAACTATTGAAAAATATTTTGTCACTCTTCATCAAATCACATTCGAATAAACAACAACAAAATTTTCCTAAACTACTTTTCTAAAAGATGGTTTTTGAGTCATGTTTTACTACTTTTTTCTTCGAACATTAAACTTTTATGTGAATTCACCACATCTACTTTCTGCTAAATTAATCACAGTAAATACTCATAACTACATATGCTTAAAAAGATGGTTCATTGAAATTCTAAAAGTGGATCCTAAGAGTTACTCACACGTCTAATATATTACCAACAATTTTTTTAGTTTGTATAGATTTAACTACCATACAGTGAAAATATGACTAATTACGAATATTGATTTATTTTCCTACCACTCTCTCGGTAAACAAATCCCAAGTACTTCAATGTGAAAGCTGGTTTCATGAGTCATCATGAGTCTTGATAGTGACACTCACAATTTCGGTTATACATTATTATGTAACATTGCGTGCAGGAAACTTATCACGTACGACCTTAATCACAATATTTTAAAAACATTGAATATGCACACAACTCATCGATAGACAGTAAAATACATCTTATTCCAGATATAATTAGTTGAGTTTTCAGTTTTAAAAACTAGTGAAGATTTACGTATACTTTGGACATGATATATGATAATCATTGTATTATTTTTTCCAATCTCTCAAACAAATATTCTGTATAAGATTCATATGTAGAACTCGAAGGTAACATCACAATGACGTCACCAATGCAAGAATCTACCAATGTATAAACTTAGCCTTTTTAAATAAACTACTAATTAATAACTTTCATCTATATATCACTATATATTTAAACCATCAATGTTGATAATTGAGGGTAAAAAGGCTATAGAAAGTAGAAACCATATGCTACCAACTAGTCATTAGCACAACCTTATATCTGAAAAGAAATAGTATTACTCTTTTTATCTGATGTCTCCGAAGGGACGAAATAGTATTACTCTATCTGTTCATATTAAATGTTACTTTATCTTCGTGCACATGTATTAAGAGAACAATTAATTTTTTATATTTTCTATATAAAAACATAATTATTTATACACCTAACCAGCCAATAGAAAAATAAATTGTATTATAAAATTGATTTAAATTAATTTTTCATCACATCCATTTGTCTTCTTTTTGAAAAAGAAGTATCACATCCATTTGTCACCAAATCTCTTTTCTAAAGTTGCTTTAAATCTCTTCACTAATATAGAAAACTATTTTTTTTTTAAAAGTTAAATTAAATTATATTAGAATGATATCAATAGAAGATATAATGATATCTCCCCCATTTAAACAAAGAAACTCCTATAAATTTGATGATTTCATAGCAATAGAGAAAACACTAATAGTAAAAAAGTGCAACTGAAACAAATTAAGACGAAGATGGACTCCTTGACAGATGATCTCTGGGCATTGGTACTTGCGAGATTACTGATTAACAGTGGAAATCAGTTGTAGAGTCTCCGTTTTCTGTAACCTTTTCCTGTCTCTGCACCAAAACTCTGCTTCTTCTTCTTCTTCTTCATGGTCGCTCATATCCTTCGATGGCATAGACCCAGACATAATGGAGTACTACCACTAATGTGACATTTGGGGACTTAACGACCACTGACCTCTTTTATAAGTCTGTTTTAAATGACAAGAATCCAAACCAAAATTAGCTACAATTAAATGTCGCATCATCGAGTAAGGTCTACTTAGGCATCAATTTCCAGGTCTTCCTCTTCACCACTCCATCCACGCCGAGCAATCACTCCTCATCAACCTCGCATTCAACTCCGAGACACAGCTCACTCACTTAGCCATCACCCCTGACGGAACCTACTTCGATGCTTGTGGCTACTAGCACCAATTTCTTCATGAAATTCGGAAGGCTTCTAGTATTAACATACTAATCAAAGCAAGGGACGACGCCAGAAGATTCAAGACCCTCTGCAGTTTATTCTTCCAGCCTTTCCCTCTCTAGCAGAATTATAACAAGCTGGCCTTATTGTATCAAGATTTCATCGGAAATCTTTGTGTTGATCCCACGATGAGTAACCATCTCAATTGTAGGGCTCTAGCGGCGGCCAACAGATCGTACACACCATTGACCAAGAGTACGTCGCACTGCTGGATAAACTAGGGAACGTGTACAGAGGATGGTATATTGAATCGGCAACGTATGGCCTAGGTGTGGGGCTAGTACAAGCGGCACTGGTTGATTTTGTGGCTAGAGAAGGCAAAGATTTCAATACCATCGTTCATGCGGTTTTGGTGGAGAAAAAATATGCCTCGGTTAGTCAAGAGGAGACGACAAGGATGGTTTAAAAAAGATATCCAATGGGTATTGCTTTATCAGTGTTTTCCACTGCCACCATTGCAACTAGAAGAGATACTACTAAGAGTTGTGAAAAAAAAAACATATTTATTAAAGAAAATATTAAGAAAAATATAAGGAAAAACTATAACTCAATTAGGCAATTAGGCTATGTTTATTGCGAATTTATAAGATGGAGTTCTTAGTTTCGATTAAGATACGTTTAACTAAGAAAAACTAAGAATCGACTCTTAAATAAGAGATATAAGAGCCGGCTTTTAGTCAAAAAATGTAAAACAAAATAACAAAAGCAAAAAAAAAATCAAATTATGAGTTAAAAATCACACTAAAAGCCTCCCAATAAACATGTCCTTACAACTACTGCTCTAGTCACTACAATATTGAAGGATAATTATATCAACTTTAATAATTATAATATATGCTTTATTTTCTCAATGGGTTCATATTTTAATGGGACTGTCAGTGCAGTGATTTTAATGGTACCAGTAAAAGTTTGCAATTTCAAAGAAAAGAGTAAAAGATTGATGTATACAATTTGACTACATATAACACACGAATTACTTTTCTCTGGATTACTAAAACAGGTATTCTATACTGGAATTGCATAGATCTCCAAAGTTTTATCTATCATAGTATTTGCATTCAGAGAAGAAGATATTTAGTATTCGCCCACAAGCAGAATTTTAGAAAATAGGATGGTAACTAAAGACTATAGCTATAGATAAAGACTTCGTTTTTTGAAGGTAAGGTATGTGTGTCACACTGTCACATTATGTTTCATTTTGTTAAAGAGGAAGAAGAAAGCGAGGAGGATGCTACGCTCATTTTCACTACGTTCTCTTCATCATCTTCCAAGACGAACAACGGCTCTGTATTCCTACACATGCCATGCACTAGAACAACGGGCAAACCAGCCAAAACCCCGAGCAGAATACCACTTGTTACGTTGGTTAATAGAATAATACAGAGCGTGAGGACCAACAATGTCAGCACCAAAGCAGAGTCATCGATCACACTGCCAAATATCACCAGTGGTTCGTTATCCCGAGAGTAGACATATAGCCATGCGATGATCAGGACAACGAAGACTGAAAGATGGACAGGCTGCCAAAGCATGCTGATGAAGATAGCAACAACGAAGATGACAAGGTAGTTGGTTCGAAAGATCATGATGTTTGTTTTGATTCGTTCGGTGGCAATACTGAATGAGGTAGGAAGGCTAAGGGAGCTCCATTGGACAAGTTCAAGCCATGGTCTCCGAGAGCTAAGGCCTAACGAGATCAACCCCTTTGCTCGTCCCAACATGGTCTGGTTTGGAGAAGCATCTGCTTGGGATGGTATAGTGCCATAGGTTGTCATGTTGTTTCCACAAACGACAAACAGGACAAGAAGAGAGAAACGGAGAATATAAACCAAAGGAACCTATATGAAGAAAAAGACTGTGAAGAAGCAAATCTACGGTGGCTTGATCGTTTTGAGGTTGTTAGATCGTCTCTTTTGTTTTGGAATGTTTTATTTCAGGACACCAGAAGAAGAGAGGCAAATAGCAATGTACTAATAATGGAAAGGAGAGAGATATTCCAAAGAAATGGATGGAAACCCTTAAACTTCTCATAACAAAAACCTTAATGTTATAACAGGAGACTGCCATTACATGAAGTCTCAAGAATCAAATTCTTAACCTTATTATACCAGCCAGTTTTAATCCATACAAGCCTAGAAAACATTTAAAACAAGTCGTAGTACGGACACACAAGCATTCTACTAAACACAAAGTTGGTTGGTTTGTATGTATATCAGCGAACCAGCACAAAACCATCTAGTGATGCCAACAAAGTTGGGAGATGTATCCTTCACTGGCTGCTGCTAGCATCAGAAGCAATAGCTTCACCACGATAAACCCTCCATGGTCCTCGATAGAATAGTGGCTTCATCAGAGGCACCGTTTTCCCTGGATGCTCTTCCCAAAACTTCTCCTGTTTATATACATAAGTGAATTAACATAAGTTTAGAACAACAAGCATAACACTTATTCACATCACACAGGGCTCAAACAGAGTAAGAAACACATTGACGAGAGATTCACATAAACCACTAAAGAACCATAACTTATTACGAATCACATTTTTACGCGCCAATCAAGATGCAAAAAAGCTTTCATTGATTCGAAGAACAATTCAAAGTTAAGGTTTTTCCTTGAACACGAAGAAAGGTTTCAACTTTAATCCCAATTTAACCCTAAAATTACCAATCACGAGAACCACACAAAATCTAATCACAAATCCGAATCGATAACAATGACGAAACTTACCTTGTAAAGCTGCTCAGTAACCGCAGCGCCGATGACGCCGGTGTAAAAGGCGGCGACGTAGATAGTAATCAAAGCTGTGAAGGTTTTGGGTCGACGGTAAGGCTCGATCATCTCCCACACAGCGAACCTCTCGAACTTGTTGTACTTATAATCTGCGTATTTCCTCCATAGCGTGCTCCACATTCCTTGCGATTGCATCTCTCTCCTCCTTTCTCAAACTTCGCCGAGTTTTGGATTTCGCGGCGGCGCGTGAAACCTGGGAGAAACAAAGAAACAGGCAAAAGACTTAAAACGTTGGAAGATTTACTAAACAGTCCTCACATTCCTCCAAGTTTTAGTTTTTGGCGCGTGACTTCTCTTTTTGATCCACTTGACTCTTTTAATTTAGACTTTCCAACTTGCGTATGATAAATTGATACACGTTGACATATGATTACTGCAGTAATTGTGTATTATCATCCTTTTGCATACAATACAAACTTATGCGAGATTGACTTATATAACCTCCTCACACTTGCATGATTGCATCATACATACATACATAAGCTTTTGATTTTGTAGCAATTACGGAGTAGTAGTTGAGCATGCTTCAGGAAAGAAGGATTCTTTTATACCAAAACAATGACAGATATACAGAATATTAATAAGCTCAGTGTTTGCTTGAGCAACAAAAGATTGTTGCAGTAATTGATCTACAAAGTGTGGAACATCAACTTGATCCAGCTGGTTTGGCTGCATTCCTCTGGCCAGATAGAGATTCCAATGTAAACCCTTCAGGTCCCTTGGCTGGAACAATGCTGCAACGATCTGTATTGTGTAGTCGGATGGCATCTTTTATCTTCTGGAACTGGAAGAAAAAAAGAAGACAAACCAATTGCGTTCAAGAAGCTGTGATAAGTAAAAAGGTTGATGCCCGAATGCTCAATGGTATCAATATCAAGCTATAAATTTTGAAGGGAAAGGGGGTTTATGTAGCAACAAGTAACTAGTGTATGGTCAGCTTATTTACCTTAGCAAGAGAACATGAGAAAGACTCGAGCTGGCCATCAGCTCCACGGTAAAAGTGGAAATAAGGAAGCACTTTGACATTCAAACTCTTGCACATTGGTTTATTCTCATCAAAATTTACTTTGAGGAACAATATATCCGGATGTTCCACCGCTGTCTTGCAAAGCTGAAAAAGATTAAGAAAAGAAAAAGAAGTTCTTATAGCTTCACTGAACAGAAAAGTCACAGAGGTAACGTCATGATACATACCTTAGGGAACAGTGCTCTGCAAGAAGCACACCAAGTTCCATAAAACTCTACAATGACTAATCTTTCACCCGCTTCACTTAAAGCCTTCAAGAACTCTTCAGTGGAATGAATGTCAACCATGTTCGGTCCAGCATTCCTCTCCCACCATTTCGGTGGCTCTGTCTCAGCCACAGTCTCATCTACCTAAACCACAAACACACACTCAAATTATGGCCTAAAGCATCACTATTTAACTTGAACTTATCCAAAGCACCAACTTTTCCTAAACTATTGATTCGAGAACACCTCAAGAACATAACTTAACTCCTAACACACTGCTACAACTGTCTAAAATTCAAACAAACGAGCTAAGATTTCACTACACAAGCCAAAGTTCACGTTTTGTGAACATAGCTAGAGGCTCAAGAATCAATCAGCTTCCAAAAGGGTATTTGAATTACGGACGTAATGTGCTAAAAAGACAAGAAAGTCTTTACCTTGACGCGAACCAACTTCCTCTTGGATCGTTTAAGAGAGAGGTGGCTTGCGAGACCAGAAGGTGGGTAATGAGAAGATGAGCACGAGGGAGAAGACGAGAACAAACGCAATCTCTTGTCGGAATTTGGAGGTAAGCAAGGTTTGAGAGAGTTGAGAGTGGTTGCAAAGGAGGAGGAGATGCGAATCGCCTGAACCGACGTTGCCGATAATCTCACAACTCCAGCCATCTAAAATTCACCACCAGCTCACAGAGAGATAGTGAGATTGTTCTTAGCTCCGAGAGATCTCTCCAGAGAGGAAATAAGAAGATCAGAGAAACTTGTCTGGTTCAGATTCTCGTGATATTTTCTTTTCTATCATCATTTGCTTTCTCTTCAAATTTTAATATTACATAGACGCGATTTGAACATTAAATTGGCGTTTTCACCGCCGTTATTTACTTGGCGGCGAGATGTTGTTGCGTTAGCGTTGAAAAAGTGTAAACGCGTTTTGTTCCGCCTGAACAAACGTGTTTTAACACGGAACGCAGAATAGTAATGGACGGTTTTATGGTATACACACAAAGAAACTAAGAAAGTTATGACTTCTATTTATTTTTAGTTTTGGTCCCCAACTTGAAAATGATATACAAACAAAAAAAGTCTTAAGATTTAGATTTATTTGGTCGTAATGATTCACATTTTGATCAACCAAGTAGATGCCAAGTTATCTACTTTGATTTATAGGACGGTTTCAATAAAAGGAAGGCTCTTTGTTGTTCTAAGCATGCCACTAAAGTTTTGACAATTATAGACACCATAATGTTACAATAATTTGAGTAGAGTTTCTTTTTAAATGACACAAGAACAACATACAGATCAAAGCGCATAAAGCGTCTAATAGATCAAAAGCTCACAAATGTTTTAGAGTTTGCTGCGGCTTGAAAACGCAGTTACAGATTCTACACTGCCTTTTATTTGACATAAGAATGAAATTACATATCCTCTGCTTTTACGCCCTTGGCAATAAAACGTTTGAAGAAAACTCTTCAGAACCATTATTTGGTGCAGCCTTAAGCCCTAAAATCGTACTAATGAGATTGTAAATCTCAACATTCTCAAAAGAAGGCACTTTCCTTCCTCTCGCAAACATAGGACCATGCCCCATGAATATAGTCCTCATCGAAAAGAAAGCATTATCATACCCATGAGCTCCACCACACTCTTTAGCTTTAGTCCTCTTCTGCTCAACCTTAAACCCTTCCTCAACCATTCCTATAATAGGCGGGATCCTATCACTGTCCACGTAATGCAACCTCTTAGGTAAATCCTCTTTGAGATAAACCTTCAAATACTCCCCATTCTCCACTTTACCAGACCCCAAACCTTCATTCATCTTCGCTACAACATCAGCTGGATCATGACCTTTAGGAGGTTTAATCACTAACATAGGAGTGTAGTAATGAACCCAGCTGCTAGGGATAGTAATCCAAGGCGCCAAATCATCAAGAGCAATCACTTTCTTATCACAAGTCCCAACCATTCCATGATCACCAACCATAATCATCGTCACATCCTCAAACACCCCTCGTTTCTCCAACCCATCTATCAACCTACCAATCAACCTATCAATGTTAACAACAGCTTCAGTGATCCTCGGATCATCAGGACCAACTTGGTGACCCTGATGATCAGGGTCCTCGAAGTAAAGCGTCATGAAGCTAGGAATCTCATCACTAGGCAAATCGAAATAGGACAAGATAGTATCAACCCTATCATCAAAAGGAACAGAACCGTTGTAGCTTTGACATAAGCCTTTAGGACAGTCCCAAGCTCCCTTGTGTACTTCAGAGCCAGGCCAGAAGTAAGTAGCGGCCTTTAGTCCTTGGTTCACTACTGTCTCCCAAAGAGGTTCACCTAACCACCACTCCGGCTCGTGGCTAGACATTGTGAAGACTGCCCCTGTAACTGGATCTATGAACCTGTTGTTGATGATTCCGTGGTAGGCAGGGTAGAGGCCAGTGACGATGGAGTAGTGGTTAGGGAAAGTTAGGGTTGGGTAAACCGGGATCAAACCGGTTTCTGCTTCTGTTCCGTTGGTGATTAAGCGGTGGATGTTTGGGAGTTTGGTCTTGTGTTGGTATCCGAAGCGGAACCCGTCTGAGGAGATGAGGAGGACGACGGATTTGTGGAGTTTTGTGAGTGGGCGAGCGATGGATCTGTGGAAAGGTTGTGACTTTGAGATTTGTTGGTTGAGAGAGAGGATGGGTTTTGGGGAGGAGAAGAAGAGGAAGGCGAAGGCGGAAGCGGCGGAGAGAGCGATGCAGGTGACGATGAGGAGAGATGTGAAGATGAAGCAGCTTGAGATGGTGGAAGAAGAAGAAGAATCTGAATCGGAGGAGTTGTTGTTGTTGTTGTGGAGAAGTGCCATTGATTGGCTTGGTGGGTCTTCTTCTTCTGGTTGTGGCATCGCTTTAGGCTTTTTCGCCGATAATGTGTCGCCGGAGATCATTACAGAAAACTTAGAAAGTTGCAGACTTTGATTTGATCAGAGTGTCTGAATAATTTAATAAGAGAGAGAGAAGACAACTTCGTGGGTTTTTGCTTGAAGTTTTGAGTATTGGTCTTTGGTTTGGACTAGTGGGCTTGGAGTGACTTGCACATTCCGTTTTACACGGATCGAGATTCTTATGGACGCTCGTTAATCTGCCACGTTTTCCCGCTAAACTTAAAACTCCCTAAGTTGATTAGTCAACAGCTAAAGACAATGGAAGATGTAGTTTCGTCTCCGCAAGTTTTGCTTTACTGAATGGCTAGTGGTTCAGGATACCATCAGTCTGAATGGTCGCTCTCTAATCAATTATATCTTTTTGTGAAATGTTCTTTCGTATCTCACCTTCCTGCTTCGGATACATTTATCTAAATGTTTATTACATACATGTATACTATTCAACAATTGCTCATCAGCTTAAGCTTGAAGTGATAGCCTGAAGCGCTTAGATGAGCAGAGCTAAAGAATTGATTTTATTTAGTTTTATTTTATCCTTCGGAAACTAAGCTATTCTATTATTTTATCAAAAACGTTACAACTTTCAATCTAGAAGTTGACGTTGGCGACCGCATTAGTAGGTTATTAAGCATTAATTAACGTCGATAACAGCAAAAAGAAAATGGATCATGTGATTCTGTGCGATATGTAGTAAAATGTACTTAGATAAAGACGTGATGTAGAATTAATTGACCACATTTTTCACGTTAGTGTCAGTTACTATCTTATTAGTTCGACAATAGATTAAGCCAACACGTACCATAGAAAATGTCCACTCATTGAAATAAACTATCATATTCTAGAGTATGCATATATCTCATTGGTAATAGTAATGCATTTAAGGACTATAACTACAACCAAGTTTCACCAAAAAGATATAGCCACATTGTCGGTGCTAGCTAAGGATGTTGTTACAACCCAAATCAATCTACACTATACTATATGTTTTGCTAAAAAATACCACCAACTTTGCCTATACATAAATGAACCCGATTTACAATTTGTTAATTTGATTTCAATATGCCTATTAACCATAAAATAAAAACTGGGACCAGTGTTATTTTAGTTCAAATTAAGTCCAAATACACTTTAAATACAATAAGTTACGTGTTGTTATCAGAGAAATGTTATTTTAGTTAAACTTAGGTCTAGATACAACAAGTTTTGTGTTGTTAGTCATGTTCCACTCTGTGAGATTTATCCAAAATAACATCTCCTCTTATTCATTTGCTGATACATTGATATTGAACTAAAACAGTAGAATACATCAGAACCTAGTTAAAAACGGACGTTATTATTAAGCCTCATTCTACTTGCGTTATTTCTCCAGAGGGCTTGAGAAGGCTACGAGTAAACAAAGAAGAACCATTATTCGGAGCTGGTCTGAGTCCAAGAATCTCAGCAACAACATTGTAGATCTGAACATTCTCAAACGAGGGCACTTTCTTTCCTCTCCTAAACCTAGGACCATGTCCAACAAAGATAGATCTCATAGAGAAGAACATGTTGTCGTATCCATGATCTCCATAACACTCTTGAACGTTTGTTCTGTTCTGTCTTACCAAAAGACCTTCTCCAACCATTCCTATGATCGGTGGAATCCGAGAACTCTCTGAATAATGCAGCCTTTTTGGTAACTTCTTTTTTTTTTTTTTTTGTCAACTGCATATTTCATAAATAATAAAAACGGCCCACGGCCCAAAGGTTTAGACACTTAGCCCACTTGGGCAATAAAGCCCTTTAAGGTAGCTTTTGCCAAACAGTCGGCCTGTAAGTTTTTAGAACGAGGAAGATGAACAAAAGCGATATCGACGAAAACAGTGGAGATTTGACGGATATCTTGGAGGATTCCGTAGATCTCTTTGATCTGTGCGTCGGTGTTGATAGCTCTGATGAGCGTTTGGTTGTCAGAGAGGATTTTGATCTTTGGGAGACCAAGATTCGCTGCTGCAATGATTCCGAGTCGGAGAGCTAAGGCTTCTGCGACCAGTGGCGAGTTGATGAAGTCCTGTGGTGCCGATCCTTGCTTGCTGATAGTATTTGTAGAATCTGAGATGATCCACGCTAGGCCCGCTTTGTTAGAGACCTTATCCCAAGCCGCATCCGATTTGCATGTAGGGGTCTCTGTGGCGTCTGGCTGAGATGGTCCATTCAAAGCACATCCAGGTACATTTAGTGAAGATCTTGAGCCTCCTTGCGCGAAACACCATTCTCGTGCTAACTTTAGCCCTTTTGTAGCCACCTCCTGCTGTGGAATTAGCCGTTTTTCGAATAGTAACGTGTTCCTTGCTGTCCAAATCGCCCAGCAAATCCAAGGGAGGATTGCTCCTGAGATTCCAGTGGGTGGTAGACAGGTAAATTTCCGGAAAACCCGTGTTATCTCTTTGAAGTCCGTAGTCGTAGGGAAGGCAGTTCTGTTAAGTAGTGGAATTCTGTCCCACACATCTTTGGCAAACGGACACTCAAAGAAAATGTGCATTGCTGATTCCTTTTCATTACACCTCAAGCATTGTGTTTGATTATGGAGTCCTCTGGTAACTTCTCCTTCAAGTAAACCTGTAGAAACTCACCGTTCTCTACTTTCCCTGACCTCAAAGCTTTGTTCATCTTCTCCACCACTTCAGCGTTCTTCTCACCAGGATTCTTGACATCTTTACCCCACCGTGGATTCATCACAAGGACAGGACTATAATCTTGAATCCACTCCGCGGGTATCTTGATCCAATCCGCTAAATCATCAATATAAATCACTTTCTTGTCACAGTTAGTAACCATTCCGTGATCACCAAGCAATATCACATGAACATCACTAAACACCTTCCTCTTCTTCAAACCCTTGATGACCCTACCGATCATTTTATCGATCTTCGCAACCGCTTCAGTGACACGAGGATCATCAGGACCATACTTATGCCCCTGTATGTCAGTTTCTTCAAGATACAACGCCATGAAATCAGGGATGTCACTCTGTGGAAGATCGAAGTAGCTCAAGATCGAATCAACTCTTTCTTCTAACGGAACCGAGACATTGTAAGGAGCTTGACACAACCCTTTAGGGCAGGTCCAAGAGCCTTTGTGTACGTCAGCGCCTGGCCAAAAGTAAGTCGCAGCTTTGAGACCTTGGTTTGTTGCGGTTACCCACAAGGGCTCACCTAACCACCACTTAGGGTCTAGGTTTCTTTTGAAGAGCTCACCGGTTATTGGATCGGTAAACTTGTTCATGATTATACCGTGGTAAGCCGGGTAGAGTCCGGTGGCTATTGAGTTATGGTTTGGGAACGTCATGGATGGGAAAACCGGGATTAAACCGGTTTGAGCTTCGGTTCCTCGAGAAATGAGGAGATCAATGTTTGGTGTCTCCGTCTTGAATTGGTAACCGAACCGGAAACCGTCGCTGGAGATTAGTAAAACCACCGGTTTAGTGAGTTTCTTGGAGGGGTGGGGTCTCCGGGTGTTGGATGATGGAATACTTGAGTCACCGGCAGTGACAGCTACGAAGAGGAAAAGAAAGATTAGAGATAACTTGCACAAGGGGTAACCTGAAAAACCGTACCGGACAGGCTTAATTTCCACCATCTGAGAGAGATAGGTTTGATGGTGAATTGGTGATTGAGCTCAACAGCGTTCATATACTACATACTTACATTTATAATATTATAAGAATGTTAAATAATCACAAATGTATTAATTTATTTTTATAATTTTAATATTCATGACAGCTGAGCTGACTATAGATGTTGAGTCTGTGACATACTGGCAATGACATGTATATATTTTGAGTGTTTTTTGGGTTAATTTGGCAGTTCTGAGTGTATTTTCCACAACGAGAATCAAATCGTATCCTCCTCGAAATCTTCGTTTTCAACTTATATGGATTCAACCACTAATTCGATTTCACGTGGTTATATTCTTGTTACCTTTTGACACATAACTTAAAAGTAACAAAAAAGATGATTTAAAAACTTTAGTATAACCTTTTACTTTTGACCGCATCTTATTATATAAAGCTTGGTTTTCAAAGTTACTAATTAACATGATTGTGACATGTGGCAATTACATATCTAAGATTATGACATATGTTAAATCATAATTTTCCTTTTTTTTACTTAAATACTTAATCTAAACGAATTTATTATTTTCTTACAATTTTCCTTCTTAAAAATACACTTAAACTAAACAAATTTAAATCATAACTTTCCTTTTTAAATACTCAAACTAAAAACGAATTTCCTTTTTTCTTACAATCTTATTTATAAAAAAATACTCAAACTAAACGAATTTATTTATTTTCTTAAAAATAATTATTCAATAGTAATTTTTCCTTTTTAAGTTAAAAAAAGGAATTCATAATTATCTTTTTTTTAGGATTTGTAAAAAGGAAAATTAAAATACAAAGAATATTTACTTTTTACTATTAAATTAAATTTATTTTTTTCTTAAAAATAATTATTTAATAGTAATTTTTCCTTTTTAAGTTAAAAAAGGAATTCAAAATTTTTCTCAGAAATAGTTATTAATAGTGTAATTTTTACAAAATATTGTAAACAAAAAAAATGATATTAATATTAGTATTTATTTCCCTAAGCATGGGTTTAAAATAATTACAAAGAAAAACAGTATTTTAAGTTTTATATACAAAATAAAATCTTAAAAATTCTTATAAATATAATAGTATTTTAGATTTTACAAAGAGAATTCTAAAACCAAAATTTATTATAATTTTATTTTAGTTGTAGAATATTATTTGCACTGCCAAATATAATATGTGTTTAAAATAATTAGAAGTCTATAACTTTATTTTAGTTGTAGTATTTATTTAAAATAAAATTATATTTGATTTAATTTTTTATTACAATTTTCCTTCTTAAAAATACACTTAAACTAAACAAATTTAAATCATAACTTTCCTTTTTAAATACTCAAACTAAAAACGAATTTCCTTTTTTCTTACAATCTTATTTATAAAAAAAAATACTCAAACTAAACGAATTTATTTTTTTCTTAAAAATAATTATTCAATAGTAATTTATCCTTTTTAAGTTAAAAAAAGGAATTCATAATTATCTTTTTTTTAGGATTTGTAAAAAGGAAAATTAAAATACAAACAATATTTACTTTTTACTATTAAATTAAATTTATTTTTTTCTTAAAAATAATTATTTAATAGTAATTTTTCCTTTTTAAGTTAAAAAAAGGAATTCAAAATTTTTCTCAGAAATAGTTATTAATAGTGTAATTTTTACAAAATATTGTAAAAAAAACGATATTAATATTAGTATTTATTTTCCTAAGCATGGGTTTAAAATAATTACAAAGAAAAACAGTATTTTAAGTTTTATATACAAAATAAAATCTTAAAAATTCTTATAAATATAATAGTATTTTAGATTTTACAAAGAGAATTCTAAAATCAAAATTTATTATAATTTTATTTTAGTTGTAGAATATTATTTGCACTGCCAAATATAATATGTGTTTAAAATAATTAGAAGTCTATAAATTTATTTTAGTTGTAGTATTTATTTAAAATAAAATTATATTTGATTTATTTTTTATTACAATTTTCCTTCTTAAAAATACACTTAAACTAAACAAATTTAAATCATAACTTTCCTTTTTAAATACTCAAACTAAAAACGAATTTCCTTTTTTCTTACAATTTTATTTATAAGAAAAAAAGAAATTCGTTTTTAGAATAATTTTTTTATGTAAGAAAAAGATTATTCATACAATCGAGATTATTCATACAATCGAGAAAAAAGATTATTCATACAATCGAGAAAAAATATTATTTTTTATATTATCTTTTTTCCTTTTTAAAAAAGATTATTCATACAATCGAGATTTTAAAACATAAGTTTTATAAAACACATATATTTTGTGGCTACAAGAATCAAAACAGGATAAAATTTCATAAGGTATTAATAGTTTTATTACCTCTAAATTAGATGATAAAATGCTGATATATAATGTTTTCTATTACCTATACAACTAAGATTATTTGCAATTCACTTATAGATTCATCTATAAATTTTGTTCTAAAACAGAAAAATTCTATTACCAAAGTATATAAATGATAAAAACACAAAAAAATCGAGACCTTACAATGACAACACAAGCATTACTAAATTACAATTGAAACTTCATAATATGTTTGAGTAAGAAGAATAAAAGCAAATTAATAAAGACAAAATTAAGAGTTTAATAAAGTATATTCCATTATCATATACTTGATTGGCTTGATTCACCTTTCAAATTCTTTGTATTTCACTCTAATTTACATTTATTTAGATTGCGTTTAATTTGAACTTTCGGGTCTCACTTATTTTCTCTATCTCTACGTATATGTGCCATAATTATTGAATTGAAGTTTAACCAAAACTTATGTTAAAAAACTGAATTCGACACACCATATATAAAAACATTCAATTTCAATAAAAAAAAGTTTCTTATTTTTATCTTTTTTATTAAACTTATAAAACATTAATCAAAACCCGTGCAACGCACGGGTCCATATCTAGTTATGAATAATCTTGTATATCCACGTAAGTGACATTAGGTAGAGATATGGTAATGACTAGATATTTATTCACTGATTGATCAGCTTAAAAAATATAATTAGCTGATCTTATTCGTTTCCAGATATAGCAGAGAATAACTAACCAAAAGAAAAACACAATGATAAGCTAATTATTATTCATGCATGAATGTCTCATGAGCAAAGGGATTTTTTAGCTTCACTCCACGTCCCGTGTCTCTCCAAAGGGCAAGAGAATGTTTCTAGTGAACAAAGAAGAACCATTGGTCGGAGCTGGTTGGAGTCCAAGAATCTCAGCAACAACATTGTAGATCTGAACATTCTCGAACGATGGCACTTTCTTCCCTTTCCTAAACCTAGGACCATGTCCCATAAAGATAGACCTCATGGAGAAGTATTTGTTGTCGTATCCATGATCTCCGTAACATTCATGAACGCCTGTTCTGTTCTGTCTAACTATGAGACCTTCTCCAACCATTCCTATGATCGGTGGAATCCTAGAACTCTCGGAATAATGTAGCCTTTTCGGTAACTTCTCCTTCAAGTAAACTTGTAAGAACTCTCCGTTCTCGACCTTCCCTGAGGTCAAAGCTTCGTTCATCTTCGCCACGAGTTCTGCGTTCTTCTCTCCTGGATTCTTCACATCTTTCCCCCAGTTCGGGTTCATCGCTAGCACCGGGCTATAAGCCTGAATCCAATCCGCAGGGATCTTGACCCAATCTGCTAAATCATCAATGTAAATTGTTTTTAGGTCACAGTTAGTAACCATTCCGTGATCACCAAGCAAGATCACATGAACCTCGTCGAAGATCTCCCTCTTCTTCAGCCCCTGGATGATCCTACCGATCATTTTATCGATCTTCGCAACCGCCTGCGTAACCCTAGGATCATCAGGACCATAGTTGTGTCCCGCTCCATCCGGCTCATTGAAATACAACATCATCAAGTCAGGGATGTCTTCCTCAGGGAGATCGAAATGGTTCAAGATTGTATCGACTCTTTCTTCAAAAGGAACAGAAAGATTGAAATGTGGACACAACTCTTTAGGACAAGTCCAAGAACCTTTGGGAACTTCAGAGCCTGGCCAAAAGTAAGTCAAAGCCTTGCGACCTTGGTTTGTTGCGGTTGCCCACAACGGCTCACCTAACCACCATTTCGGGTCTAAGCCTTTGTTGAACGTTTCTCCGGTTATTGGATCAGTGAACTTGTTCATGATGATACCGTGGTAAGCAGGGTAGAGTCCAGTTGCGATTGAGTAATGGTTTGGGAATGTCATGGTGGGGAAAACCGGGATTAAACCTAATTTGGCTTCGGTTCCTTCAGATATGAGAAGGTGGATGTTTGGTGTGTCGGTTTTAAATTGATACCCGAACCGGAAACCATCGCTGGATATCATTAACACCACTGGTTTGTTGAGTTTCTTGAATGGCCAGGGACGCCAGATTTTGGACGATGGAGTATCCAAACCATTGGTCACTGCGGCTGTGGCAGCTACAATGAGAAGATTGAGAAGGGTGATTGATAGTTTGAGAGACAGAACATGTTTGGATTTTGCCATTGGAAAAAATGTTTTGTGATGGTTATTGTAGCTCATGCTATCTATTTATGGAGTGAGCAACAATATTCGTTTATTTTGCTTTTTATTTTAGAAAAAAAACTAGGAGAAAATATTAGTACTAGTCTACTAGATAACGTTTGAAAGCTTGAAGCGTCGCCATATAATAATTTACAGTATATGTTAGGTATATGCCATAAATTCAAAAGAACTGTAAGTAGATATATGCCTTGTGGCGTTCCATTACAGATATGAAACATATAATTGTATATACAGATATGCACGTATACGGTAACGTTGCGGATTTATTATGGTATTTTAAAAATATATAGTCATTAATACGGTATTTATTTTCGAAAACATATCACAATAAATACAATAATCTCATAACATTCATCAAATTTTTAAACCTTGATTGTATATAATAGTGGCAACATCGGGTCTTTAGTTTTCTCTACTCTGGCTTTTGATGATGGTTTTGTTTGGTGGTGGGGCAGGGTGGTGAACATCCTCTGGTTGTGGTTTTCGGAGGTTCTCTCGAGCTTTTTATTTTTGACAATTCATTTCCATAAGCCTTCCCTTTTTACTTGCAGATTATCCTGGCGAATTTTTAGCAGTGAAAGATCGCCATTTGCTGCATTAAAACCTTTATAGTTTTAGTCTTTGTTCTTGAAAAAAAGGTAAACCTCACTATATATTGTACTATAAAGTCTTTTTATTTTTTTCTGGGTATTATAGTACCAAATTGCTGGTTAACTGATTGAGATCCAAACTCTGGTATAGACTCTACAATATCAAATAATAATATTCTCATTATTATACAAAGAAATTGAAGTTTTAACTAAAACTGACGTAGAAATATTGTTACAAAAATTGGATATGTCAATTACGTTCGTCACTACCATTAATATATATCTATGGCCATCTTTTCATTGAGTGAGAATAAATAGTAACCGCAAATTTGGAGGATAAAATTTATTTCAAATTATGAGCAAGTGTTTTTGTTACAAAGAAACTACAAAAATAATACAGAGTGTCTGTTGTAGCCTGTAGGTGAGTTAACACTTAACAGTAAAAAAAAAACAAGTGCCTTTAATAATATATTACCAGAGGGCAGTGGCAGGTGGCAGTTGCATTATCACGACAAAAACATTACAATCATCTGCATAGTCCAAATGTGGGAGAGCCATTTGATGAGGATATATGATCTCATGGTCTTGCTTTAATCACGTTTTTTATCACGTGCACCTATACTGTCGTAGTTGGTCGGCTTTTCCACCTAATCCTATGGGTGATTGATTGGCTGTGTTTGATATGTGATCTAAATGTCGATAAGCCCCAGCGTCCTTAATATGCGTTTCACTTCTGGTAACGCTTTGATGAAATTATTTACAACCTGGTCATTTGTATGGATGTGCTGGACGGTGACTTAATCATGTTGGGCTGCATCTCTAGCTTATCTTGCTCAAACTACTCTTCCTTTTTTTTTTCTCTTGCCTGCTAAAGAGGGACTCTTCGAGCATTATGAAATTTATGGGCTCTAAATGTAGCCCACGCAAAATTTGAAGAAATATTTATATATTCTCATTTTTTTTATCTCATTCTTGTAGTTTACAACCCTACATGCATTATTAATAAATCGGACTTGTGGAAATCATGGTAAAACTGATGGAACGTATGTAATTGAATTATTTGATTTACTGATGGAAGTTGATCTTAATTTCTAGTATATCCTTTTCATAATTAACCATTGATCGACAAAGCCCATCAATCCTCCGGAAACTAGCGACGCAAGCAACAACATTCCATCTCTGGAAACAGAGAAACAATGTCTATCACAACCAGTGTGTTGCACCTTTAGCGATCTCAAAGATGGTTTACATGGTTGTCAGAAACATTATTATGGCTAGGAAGAGGAGGAAGAAATTTCGAAACATTCTGTCAAATTGGATTATGTAATCGTTTGTTCTTATCTTGCTCTTCCTTGTTTTTATTTGTTTTTTTCAAGGTTGAATAAACTTTTTTTTTTTTTTGCTAAAAAGGTTGAATAACCTTTAGACTGTACTTTATAAAATCTGAACATCATCATTCTAGCATTTTTAGCAAAAAAAAGGTTTGAATCCGGGTAATGCATGATGCCACTGATGGAAAACAAAATTCAAGATTATGTATATATGTATAGACCATATATAACTGATAAGATAATTTTGGTTTGTTGGTATGATGGTGATTTTGCATGTTACAATGAATAACTCTAGCCCGTAATAGATTCACTATCACTATCATTAATCAGAGAATAAACTGACTTAGTGTCAATCTCATGATTATCAACATAATTCTATTGGATAGAGATTAAGGTTTAAGGTTGCAAGTAGACCGGTTAGGTTGGAAGACTTTAGATATCTAGAAGATCATCCTTTAAGGTTTGAAGTACACAAAATTCTTACACTTTCGTTTTCTTTTTCTTTTTGGAAAGAAAAATAAAAATGATACTTTAAAAATATCGGAATACTCTGATCATGACTAGTTGATTTAAAACTCGTAGAAAAGTATTTCTTTGAATCTGATTATGAGTTTGCAAAATGCTGGTTTTGTTTCATTTAAGATGATAAAATCATTTTTTATAATATCAGTCTTAGTAATATATATATATATATTATAAAGGCAAATACAATTTAGAATTTCTCTCTGAAAGAGAACACATGTCTTTGTTCAAAAAAAAAAAGAGAACACATGTCTTGAGGGTGCAACACATAATATATGTGGTGTGGAAGAACCTGACTGATGAGGCATATGAGCTTAAACTAAAGATGACACCAAGATGAAAATACCAAAACTAGACAGGGACAGACCAGAATGCAAAGGAAGCCATGTAAACATCACATTTGGCTCAGTCAAGAAAAACATCACATTTGGTTATTAATGCATTTCAGAACATATTGAACCCTCTTCTAATAATCAGTTTGGTTCACTTTGATTAGAAAAATTAAAGCCTACAAAAACAAACGACCTATTGCAAGCTAGGTCCCTAGATTCCTTCTTGGCACTTTTTATTTTCTCTACTTCCAGTCATGTCTTTTTCTTGGACAATTTGGAGTTGTGTTTAATATATATATATATGTGTGTGTGTGTGTGTGTGTGTGTGTGTTATAGTTGTTCCTTTGCAAATAGGTCCACTTTGTATAACATAATAATCACAAAAAGCTTTATAAGACATACAACCAAAAGAACTTTAATGCTTAAGAGATAATCTACTTAATTAATATATCATCCCCAAGTTCATCAAGGATGAATAGAAAAAAATTGTACATTGTAAATCCGTAAGAAAATAATGGACTTCAGCCTTGATATTTTGGTTGAATTAGTAGAATGCTATGTATATTCTTTATTTGCCAAAGAAAGAACTTCATGCATGTGGACTTTTGTTTCATTTAAGATGATAAAAGCATTTTTGTTATAACAGTCCTAATAATATTTTGCAAAGGCAATAAAATCAGAATCATTGCAGCTTTAGAAAATGATTTTGTAGTTGTTAAAATGATTTTGTTAGGACAAAAGCAAGAGTTAGACAGTAAAGCATCGACAGATAAGCAAAGACACAAAGTTACTCTTTGAGGAGTTGTTGGATTATAATCATCATTTTCCAAAATATAAATGATCTTCCGATTTTGTTGATTATTAATGATTAGAAATTCATCATGATATCTGGAAAAGAAAAGAACGAAATTCTTCATGATCTGATGTTTTCATTTGTAGTTTTGCGAAGATGGAGAAAAGTACATATTGGGTGAAACATCTTCTTTCACTAACTAGCTCATTTGATTTTTACGTTTTTTTTCCATATAATTTTCCTTTTCTCTTCATCAACTCATATGTTGCCACCAAATTGGTCAAAAAGCTCAGGCAAATCTTATTGTCTATGTGAAGTATTCCTTTTCTTCTTTTTTGCTCTTTCCCAGATTAAATGAATGTTGTTGGGAATAAATTATTGAACTTTTTACCCATTAAGTTATGTGAAAACTACACTAAAGTGTCTTTTGTATAAGTGACTTCCTAGTCAGGCGCTGAAGAAATTAAACATTAGCTAAACTAACATGTTTCTAATAAAAAATTTTGTTTAAAAATCACGTTATTGGTGTTTTTACAGGTTGATGAATAGTTCTCTGGATTGTAAGGTAAATAGAAAGAAAAAAAATTCTTGACTATTGGCATGTGATATGGAAAAAACGATGTTAACATTTTTTCACTTTCTCAGAATAAGTAACCGATGCTCGACTGAGGATGGATCCTGTATAGTAGCCTGAAGAGTGTGGCGGTACAAGTCGACAAATATAAGAAAATCTCGATAATTCAGTTAATGTTTTCAAAATATCAACAAAATCTCAATCAACGTAGTAAACTGAATCAGTCTTTGAAAGAAAATATGAACCTTTTATCAAAAAAAAAAAAAAAATATGAATCGCTGATAAAATTAGTCGGCAATGATTTAAAACAAATCAAACCATACTGCAAAATGCTTTTTAAATGTTGAATAGTAAAGAATCCTATTTTCCCCCAAATCTCAATCAACGTAGTATCATATTTGTAACACAAGGATTTATTAAAATCTTAATATCCAACATTAGTGAAATATTTGTAATATAGAGGTAATGACTAATCAAATAATAAAAATATTTTTGTAATTATTACATCAAAAGTACTACACAAATAATAAGATGTGATCAATGTTGTATCTTATAACTCCAATACTATTGCATAGTAAGACATTTTCATATCATATGATTAAACGATAGTACATTAACTACGTTGAAAAATCCGATCAGTATACTGCATGGAGTATGCAAACATAAACCTTAATATAAATGTAATATTTTTTTTTAATCTAATAGTACATTATAATGGCATCATGACTAAAAAGAAGCTAGCATATATAATTTCGATTTAGAGCCACCGATAAATATGCATATTTTGGCTATGAGTCTCGATTATTGCAATATGCATGTATCTAGATATAATGGTAATATATTTTACGTTTAAAGCATTATAAAACATAAAATAAAGTTAGATTTAGT